GGAAAGCTGACTTTGAGCGCCGATATATCGAAAAGTATCCGTCCTATCGGGCTGGTCATGGTCTCATTCGATTCAGAGTGTCATTTTCTACTGGAAAAGCGATAAATCGCGTGGATTTTGGCCGTTTTCTGGCACATTCGGCCGTCCGAAGATGACTCGGTGACTATATCGTACGGAAGTCTTAGGTGGGAAAATTGAAATTTTTATTTGGCTTATCAACAATCTGAAAAAAAATCACATAGACTAATTCGATGTCGTAATGAACGAATCTGTGGTGGAAATCGAGGAATTTTGGAAAATAGAGACGTAGTAGCCTACCGGAGTGCTCCTATTGGCAATAAAAGCAGAAAGTTAAGTTTGAGCGCCGATATCTTGAAAACAATCTGTCCTATCGGGCTGATCATGGTCTCATTCGATTCAGCGTGTCATTTTCTACTGGGAAAGCGATAATTCGCGTAGATTTCCGCCGTTTTCTGGCACTTTCGGCCGTCCGAAGATAACTCGGTGACTATATCGTACGGAAGTCTTAGGTGAGAAAATTAAAATTTTTATTTGGCTTATCAAAAATCTGAAAAAATTCACATAGACTAATTCGATGTCGTAATGAACGAATCTGTGGTGAAAATCGGGGAATTTTGAAAAATAGAGACGTAGTAGCCTACCGGAGTGCTCCTATTGGCAATAAAAGCAGAAAGTTGACTTTGAGCGCCGATATCTTGAAAACTATCTGTCCTATCGGGCTGATCATGGTCTCATTCGATTCAGCGTGTCATTTTCTACTAGAAAAGCGATAATTCGCGTGGATTTCCGCCGTTTTCTGGCACTTTCGGCCGTCCGAAGATGACTCGGTGACTATATCGTACGGAAGTCTTAGGTGGGAAAATTGAAATTTTTATTTGGCTTATTAAAAATCTGAAAAAATTCACATAGACTAATTCGATGTCGTAATGAACGAATCTGTGGTGGAAACCGAGGAATTTTGGAAAATAAAGACGTAGTAGCCTACCGGAGTGCTCCTATTGGCAATAAAAGCAGAAAGTTGAGTTTGAGCGCCGATATCTTGAAAACTATCTGTCCTATCGGGCTGATCATGGTCTCATTCGATTCAGCGTATCATTTTCTCCTGAGAAAGCGATAACTCGCGTAGATTTCCGCCGTTTTCTGGCACGTTCGGCCGTCCGAAGAAGACTTGGTGACTATATCGTACGGAAGTCTAAGGTGGGAAAATTGAAATTTTTATTTGGCTCATTAAAAATCTGAAAAAATTCACATAGACTAATTCGATGTCGTTATGAACGAATCTGTGATGGAAATCGGGAAATTTCGAGAAATAGAGACGTAGTAGCCTACAGGAGTGCTTATATTGGCAATAAAAGCAGAAAGTTGACTTTGAGCGCCGATATCTTGAAAACTATTTGTCCTATCGAGCTGATCATGGTCTCATTCGATTCAGCGTGCCATTTTCTACTGGGAAAGCGATAATTCGCGTGGATTTCCGCCGTTTTCTAGCACTTTCCGCCGTCCGAAGATGACTCGGTGACTATATCGTACGGAAGTCTTAGGTGGGAAAATTGAAATTTTTATTTGGCTTATTGAAAATCTGAAAAAATTCACATAGACTAATTCGATGTCGTAATGAACGAATCTGTGGTGGAAATCGGGGAATTTTGAAAAATAGAGACGTAGTAGCCTACCGGAGTGCTCCTATTGGCAATAAAAGCAGAAAGTTGACTTTGAGCGCCGATATCTTGGAAACTATCTGTCCTTTCGGGCTGATCATGGTCTCATTCGATTCAGCGTGTCGATTTCTACTGGAAAAGCAATAATTCGCGTGGATTTCCGCCGTTTTCTGGCACTTTTGGCCGTCCGAAGAAGACTCGGTGACTATATCGTACGGAAGTCTTAGGTGGGAAAATTGAAATTTTTATTTGGCTTATTAAAAATCGGAAAAAAATCACATAGACTAATTCGATGTCGTAATGAACGAATCTGTGGTGGAAATCGAGGAATTTTGGAAAATAGAGACGTAGTAGCCTACCGGAGTGCTCCTATTGGCAATGAAAGCAGAAAGTTGAGTTTGAGCGCCGATATCTTGAAAACTATCTGTCCTATCGGGCTGATCATGGTCTCATTCGATTCAGCGTGTCATTTTCTACTGGGAAAGCGATAATTCGCGTAGATTTCCGCCGTTTTCTGGCACTTTCGGCCGTCCGAAGATAGCTCGGTGACTATATCGTACGGAAGTCTTAGGTGAGAAAATTAAAATTTTTATTTGGCTTATCAAAAATCTGAAAAAACTCACATAGACTAATTCGATGTCGTAATGAACGAATCTGTGGTGAAAATCGGGGAATTTTGAAAAATAGAGACGTGGCAGCCTACCGGAGTGCTCCTATTGGCAATGAAAGCAGAAAGTTGACTTTGAGCGCCGATATCTTGAAAACTATGTGTCCTATCGGGCTGATCATGGTCTCATTCGATTCAGCGTGTCATTTTCTACTAGAAAAGCGATAATTCGCGTGGATTTCCGCCGTTTTCTGGCACTTTCGGCCGTCCGAAGATGACTCGGTGACTATATCGTATGGAAGTCTTAGGTGGGAAAATTGAAATTTTTATTTGGCCTATCAAAAATCTGAAAAAATTCACATAGACTAATTCGATGTCGTAATGAACGAATCTGTGGTGGAAATCGAGGAATTTTGGAAAATAGAGACGTAGTAGCCTACCGGAGTGCTCCTATTGGCAATAAAAGCAGAAAGTTGAGTTTGAGCGCCGATATCTTGAAACCTATCTGTCCTATCGGGCTGATCATGGTCTCATTCGATTCAGCGTTTCATTTTCTACTGGGAAAGCGATAATTCGCGCAGATTTCCGCCGTTTTCTGGCACTTTCGGCCGTCCGAAGATGACTCGGTGACTATATCGTACGGAAGTCTTAGGTGGGAAAATTGAAATTTTTATTTGACTTATCAAAAATCTGAAAAAATTCACATAGACTAATTCGATAACGTAATGAACGAATCTGTGGTGGAAATCGAGGAATTTTGGAAAATAGAGACGTAGTAGCCTACCGGAGTGCTCCTATTGGCAATGAAAGCAGAAAGTTAAGTTTGAGCGCCGATATCTTGAAAACTATCTGTCCTATCGAGCTGATCATGGTCTCATTCGATTCAGCGTGTCATTTTCTACTGGGAAAGCGATAATTCGCGTAGATTTCCACCGTTTTCTGGCACTTTCGGCCGTCCGAAGATGACTCGGTGACTATATCGTACGGAAGTCTTAGGTGAGAAAATTAAAATTTTTATTTGGCTTATCAAAAATCTGAAAAAATTCACATAGACTAATTCGATGTCGTAATGAACGAATCTGTGGTGAAAATCGGGGAATTTTGAAAAATAGAGACGTGGTAGCCTACCGGAGTGCTCCTATTGGCAATAAAAGCAGAAAGTTGACTTTGAGCGCCGATATCTTGAAAACTATGTGTCCTATCGGGCTGATCATGGTCTCATTCGATTCAGCGTGTCATTTTCTACTAGAAAAGCGATAATTCGCGTGGATTTCCGCCGTTTTCTGGCACTTTCGGCCGTCCGAAGATGACTCGGTGACTATATCGTACGGAAGTCTTAGGTGGGAAAATTGAAATTTTCATTTGGCCTATTAAAAATCTGAAAAAATTCACATAGACTAATTCGATGTCGTAATGAACGAATCTGTGGTGGAATTCGAGGAATTTTGGAAAATAGAGACGTAGTAGCCTACCGGAGTGCTCCTATTGGCAATAAAAGCAGAAAGTTGAGTTTGAGCGCCGATATCTTGAAACCTATCTGTCCTATCGGGCTGATCATGGTCTCATTCGATTCAGCGTTTCATTTTCTACTGGGAAAGCGATAATTCGCGCAGATTTCCGCCGTTTTCTGGCACTTTCGGCCGTCCGAAGATGACTCGGTGACTATATCGTACGGAAGTCTTAGGTGGGAAAATTGAAATTTTTATTTGGCTTATCAAAAATCTGAAAAAATTCACATAGACTAATTCGATAACGTAATGAACGAATCTGTGGTGGAAATCGGGGAATTTTGAAAAGTAGAGACGTACTAGCCTACCGGAGTGCTCCTATTGGCAATATAAGCGGAAAGCTGACTTTAAGCGCCGATATATCGAAAACTATCCGTCCTATCGGGCTGGTCATGGTCTCATTCGATTCAGAGTGTCATTTTCTACTGGAAAAGCGATAAATCGCGTGGATTTTGGCCGTTTTCTGGACATTCGGCCGTCCGAAGATGACTCGGTGACTATATCGTACGGAAGTCTTAGGTGGGAAAATTGAAATTTTTATTTGGCTTATTAAAAATCTGAAAAAATTCACATACACTGATTCGATGTCGTAATGAACGAATCTCTGGTGGAAATCATGGAATTTTGAAAAAGAGAGACGTAGTAGCCTACCGGACTGCCCCTATTAGCAATAAAAGCGGAAAGCTGACTCTGAGCGTCGATATCTCGAAAACTATCTGTCCTATCGAGCTGATCATGGTCTCATTCGATTCAGCTTGACATTTTCTACTGGAAAAACGATAAATCGCGTGAATTTTGGTCGTTTTCTGGCACTTTCGGCCGTCCGAAGATGACTTGGTGACTATATCGTACGGAAGTCTTAGGTGGGAAAATGGAAATTTTTATTTGGCTTATTAAAAATCTGAAAAAAATTCACATAGACTTATTCAATGTCGTTATGAACGAATCTGTGGTGGCAAACGGGGAATTCTGAAAAATAGAGACGTAGTAGCCTACCGGAGTGCTCCTATTGGCAATAAAAGCGGAAAGCTGACTTTGAACGTCGATATTTCGAAAACTATCTGTCCTATCAGGTTGATCATGGTCTCATTCGATTCAGCGTGTCATTTTCTACTGGAAAAGCGATAATTAGCGTGGAATTCTTTTGTTTCTGGCACTCTCGGCCGTCCGAAGATGGCTCGGCGATTATATCGCTCCTATTTCCAGACTCCCCTCTGCGAGACGACGTCTTCTCGCCGTCGACGGACCCCCGTCTGGAGATCCCGAGCCAGGAGCGCCTGCTGCCCATCGGCCGGCACTCCAAGGACGCGTGCCAGCTGGCGGACCGCGTGCGGCAGGCCCTAGGTGTCGGCCGGGCGGACGATGGGCGGGGCGCAGATCGACGCGGGCAGCCGGAGGGGCGGCCAAGGCGCGCGCCTGCGCCCTCGCATAGCCCGCGCAAGCTGACCAAGCAGGTGGCGCTGGAGAGCCCGCCGAATCAGTCGGAGAACGACGAGAACGGGCAGTTCTACAGGACCATGAAGCTGGATACTCAAAGTGAGTGTGCTCGTGCAATAATAGTAATATTCTTTTTACCAACTTTGACTGAGATTAACGAAAGATTCTCAGTGCAGCTCAATAGCTCAGTTGTATTACATCGAAGTATCTTCATTTGCCTGATGTACTCGTTATATACCCTTCAAAGCCATCTTATTTGGTCAGTGCGATTGTATCTGCTTCTACTAGCTGTATGCATGTCAGATGCTAAAATGCAGAGTCACAGTGTAATAAACATAGTCGAAGTTACTTATCCTGGCTGTTGTGTTCGTTAAAATCGATTCGATATCTTATATTATGGTCTTGGCGATCTATTCTGCTCGAATAGTATCCAAGTGAGATGATAGAATACAGTGTGCACACCGATGGAGTCAATGTATCTCAATTTGCCTGTTGAACTAGTTATATACCCTTCAAAGTCGTCTTATATGGTCACTGCGATCGTATCTGTTTCAACTGTTCAATCATAGTCGAAGGCGAAGTTTTTTGTTTTCTTGTTGTGTGCGTTATTTTAACTTCGATGTCGTCTCATAATATGGTCTTTTTCAACTTATCTGCTTCAGTAGCGTCCTTCTGAGAACTTATTGAGACTATTTCTTCCCCCTCGCCCCAACAAGGCCCCAACTGAGCATGCTATTCATCTGGTGTAGTGAGAAAAGGGCGAGACTGGACTAATTCTAGTAATTCTGTGGTTCTGTGCTGGAAATTGTGAGGTTATATCTTCATTTTGACATGCTTTCAGCTTTGAAGTTTCAATCCACAGGTTAAATACTTTGAATACTCACTACAATAATATTTTTATGCTCCTCATCAATTTCCTCAGCCATTTTACACTTTGGTTGAATTATGTTGGGTTATATTTTCTTCCCTTTTCCTTTCTGACAGGTAAAAACGTGTTCTTTTTATTTAATCGACAACTCAGATCCATCTCACCTCCTTCACTCAATTGATCTCAGTAGTGAGAATGTGACAAGGTAATTGCTATTGAATATTGCTATAGGAATATGGAAGGGTGACCAGACTACTGTTTATATTCACCAATATCATGCAGAGGAAAGATTTGATTGATTGTTTGTATTGAGTATGCTCCAAAACTACTGGACCGATTTGAAGAATTATTTCACCACTAGATGCCAACATTATCCCTTATGAACATAAACTACTTTTATGTGTTGGTAATATTCCTAATTCTTGATAAAAAATCTATTTCATAAAAAGAGTGTGAGAAATGTTCAAAATTTAATTTAGGTCCTTAACGACGCAGTGGAGTAATTAAATGTCAATAATTCATTATCAGTTCACTCGCCCATTATCCTTCCTTACCAATCGTTTCCACCTAACTTCTAAACGGCTGAACCGATTGGGTTGAAATTTCATATGGATATTTCGATGGTAGTTTTTTGGGCGATTCAAAAATACGATTGGACGTGGTAGGTGGCGCTGCTGTCGGTACGTCAACTACTGAAACGGCTTGACGTCATTTGACAAACTCATCTAAATGTACGAATTTTTGTTGCCTTTCCAGGAGACCTGATAGCGAACCATCGACAGCGCATGCGCAAAGCGGGCCCGTTCGCGATGACGTCATACTGCGCACGTGACCCGCGCCGCCCTGGCGCCTGGCTCAGTCCCGACACGTCCCCGAAGGCGACTTCGGAAGGGGCCGGCGACCTTCGGCAGAGCTCGTTCAGGATTGGCGAAGATTGCGTCAGCGAACGGTATGTAGCGGTTCTTTATACGTACCATGATAGTAATCGCATATGATACACACACTGGCACAATTAGGGGAACGGGTAAAATTTACACTAAGTTTGACATCAATTTTCTCTCGAACCGATCACTCGATTCAAATTTGTTTTTCACGAATTGTAGCTCCATTCTTCACGAATAAATCTGAGAAATAACCACCTCCAAACGATTCGTCTTTATATCATATACAGGGGTGTAAAGAAAGTACGGATTTTTCGGTATTCTTCAAGACATCCTGTGGAGTGAACCACTGATAATTGAAACGATTTCTCAACACCAAATTGGAGCCCAATCTATTCCGAATATTTTCGTTTTTTATTCATCTTGATATCCCAATTATCCAAGAAAATATAGAGTTTCAAAGAAGAGGTGGATATTGGTATTAATTTTACCACCTCGAAACTCGAACTGGGGAGAACGTGTCGTTTTTCAACTTGTTTCTGTGAGGATTTTTACTTCAAGATGGGAATTGTTCACCGTACACATATACGAATACCCTCATGAATATGCAGGGCTGATAAAAGTTGCTCCAATGTTCTTTTGGTGAAATGCAATTTTTGTTAATCAACGTTGGCTATTTTGTTAATGTCATTGATTATTGTCAAAGTCAAGCGATTCACTATTCATAAATTTGATTAATGAAAATTCAACGTGAGAGATTTGACTCCCAATGATGTGGCGAGGGCTGTAGCATTAATTGGAAATGACCAGTGGGCCAATGTTCTTTTAACATATGAGAGCCGCATCTGCACCAATTCAATAGATGGCAGGGAAAGACTATATCGCCGAGGTGAACAAAATGAACAATTTGATTTTACTGCTTCTGTCTCCTATGGCAGAGGTTTAGTCATGGTTAGGTTAGGTTGGTCAAGAAACGACACATTTTCAGATCCAATTTGAGTTTTGAGGTGTAAAATTGATACCAATATCCACCTTTCCTTTGAAACTCTGTATTTTCTTGAATAATTGAGATATCAAGATGAATAAAAAACGAAAATATTCGGAATATTATATTGGGCTCCAATTTGGTGTTGAGAAATCGTTTCAATTATCAGTGGTTCAGTCCACAGGATGTCTAAAAAAATACCGAAAAATCCGTACTTTCTTTACACCCCTGTATATGATGGAAAGACTCATCGTTTGGAGGTAATTATTTCTCAGATGTATTCGTGAAGAATGAAGCTACATTTCGTGAAGAACAAATTTTGAATCGAGCTATCGGTTCGGAAGAAAATTGATGTAATACTTAGTGTAAATTTTGGCCGTTCCCCTAATTGTGCCACTGTGTGTATTATACAATAGGGAATCGTAGAAGTGCCACGAATTATTTGTTTTTTCAATCGACGGAAATTCCTAATCAGTATATTTTAAAAACCTACTGATACAATAATGATGTGGATGTATATGTGGTTACAGGAAGAATCTTAGTGGATTGAATTTTTTGTAGAAAATCAGGGGGAGCAGTTTCCATACATAATTATAGAGCGGGATTATACAGCGATAATAAGATAATATCAGGAATAAGTAATAATGAGATTAGGAAGTTCAACATACTTATATTATAATGGAAACGCTTATACATGAAAGTTATGTCAAAATTTCAAGTTTCACGTAGAAATTTCGACTTTCTTCTCAAAATTTCAACCTTCATCTAGAAAGTTCGACTGAAAACAAATAATTCGTGTCCAGTGTACGCTTCCGTAATACACAACAATAACATTGTTCAATTAATTTATTTGCAAAGGTGGCCGGTTATTGTCATCTACCAATCTACCGGGTGGCCAATGAGAACCAGGCCGCCCCTGTAACTTTTTTAATCGTTCGAGATGAAATTTTTATATTTGGAGGGTTTCATAAAACATCATATTTTGCATTCACTGACAAGATTATGCTTTTCGAGTTACTTCCGGGGTCGTCGGAAATGACCTCAACTTTTAATTTTTAAATGAGACACCCTATATATTTTCAGAATTTTCGGGTGAAATTTTTCTTAGCGTCAATTTTTCAGTTGATTTTTGGAATCGTATCTAGAGGTGGCTGTTACTGCCATAAAATGTTTATGTTTCAATTCTTTTTCGAGAGAAAAATTTTAATCATACTATTTCACAACCAGGTTGCCTATAATAATGGGCACTCCGAGTGATTATAAAGGATTTTTCTAAATTGAATCTGCTTTTTTAAATAGAATGATGGTGGGCCAGGTAATTTTTTTCGAAGAATATTTTGCAACTAATTAATTGATACCACATTTATTTGCCTTGGTTCTCACGATGTTCTCTGAACATTACAGGAAATCAATTTTCGTGGGAACCAGAACATGAAAAAAACAAATGATTCAGAAGTTACAGGGGCGGCCTGGTTCTTGTGGCCACCCAGTATACAGTGTGTCTCACTTACCATGCTCACCATGGGAGTTTGTCAAGGCCAACTATAATGTGAAAAAATATTTTGATAAAATCTATTCGTTTTTGTTTTATACGCAAAAAACAGATTTTGGTCATTTTCATGTCTCCTCCGTAACTTCTTTATTTATGAAAATATTCAAATAGGAATTTCACATTCTTATGGCAGTTTTTCAAAGTGATTTCGAAAAAAATATGGAATTTATACCAACTCTTCTAGAATTTGAGATATCAGCACCAACTTTAGTTTTTCAAATGTAGGTCAGGTTATGACTAAGTTACAAATAACTTTTTTTTATCTTACAGATGATATGTCGCAGTTATAGTTTTGTGTTGATAACAACGGAGTTATCGTCATTTATACAATAACAAAAAATTATTTGGAAGCCGCCATCTTGAATTTATAAATTTTAACAAAAAATCGTGATCTCCGACCTCAAAAACCCTCACTTACCAATTTTGAATGGAATCGGACCAAATCTTGTCCGCCATCTTGGAGCAGCCATTTTTTCAAATTGATGGCGGACAAGATTTGGTCCGATTCCATTCAAAATTGGTGAGTGGGGTTTTTTGAGGTCGGAGACCATGATTTTATTGTTCAAATTTATGAATTCAAGATGGCGGCTTCCAAATAATTTTTTGTTTTTGTATAAATGACGATAACTCCGTTGTTATCAACACAAAACTATTAGGCCCTCCGCATACGGGTCGATCGGCGACATGGGCGACGCGATTGCAATGACGTCACAATTTCTGCATTCGTACGATTCAAGAGACGGGAGTGTGTGTCATCCGCATATGGGTCGACGTTTTGTGTAGTCGACTCGCGTCTGATCAACTTAGTTACTCCATTTTTTGCAACTTTAAAAAGAAATGTTCCGCTAAAAATGAGCAGTTTCAATGGCGAGGAGGACATATTCATGTTTTTGTGGCACCGGCAGATCAGGAGAAGAAGAAGACAACGAAGTTTATGGGTGCATCCGTACATTGCACGACATTTTCACACTCGACTTTTTGTTACTGCAAGTGAAATGCAAGAGAGTGACACAACATTTCTGGCATTTTATAGAATGTCGAAGGAATCATATATTGATTTAGTGGAAACTCTTCCTCCAGCCATAAATTATATGGATTCAAATATGAGGGAATGTGTCAGCGCAGAAGAACACATACTAATAACATTGATATAAGATTCATATGTTTCAAAAAATCAAACAGTTCCTAAAGTTGAGAGTATAAATTGGAAACATAAGATTATATGTTCTAGTTACTGAAAGTAAAGAACTGAGGAAGGTAACACAAATATTCACAATGATTGAAAAATTATTGAACAACTTTCTCCATTGAGACGCAAGATTCACTCGATCAAACTGCTTCCTTGCTAATCGCGTGAGACTGAAAACGAGGAGATCTTAAATCGTACGTTTCTAGACGACCACTAAACGACCCGTGTGCGAGATCCAGATGCTTTGCTTAGGAAGTCGAGTAGAGGGGAGACCGTCGTACGATTCGAATCGCGTCGCCCATGTCGCCGATCGACCCGTGTGCGGAGGGCCTTACTGCGACATATCATCTGTAAGAGAAAAAAAGTTATTTGTAACTTAGTCATAGTGAGCTATGACCTACATTTGAAAAACTAAAGTTGGTGCTGATATCTCAAATTCTAGGAGAGTTGGTATAAATTTCATATTTTTTTCGAAATCACTTTGAAAAACTGCCATGAGAATGTGAAGTTCCGATTTGAATATTTTCATAAATAAAGAAGTTACGGAGGAGACATGAAAATGATCAAAATCTGTTTTTTGCGTATAAAACAAAAACGAATAGATTTTATCGAAATATTTTTTCACATTATAGTTGGTCTTGACAAACTCCACATTTGGTGTCATTTAACCGACCTCGTATCTCTCACCGTTAAAAAGATACCCATGGTGAGCATGGTAAGTGGGACACACTGTATAATTATAGTCAAATAAATCAACTATCCTACAGATGCTCTGAGTGCGGCTTGGTCAGAGAGGAGTACGGCGACGAGGAGATCGGGCTGTGCATCGTTGCGTTGGGCACCTTCGTGCACCGCGAGCCGGCCCTGGCAGCTCCTATGCTGCCGGACATACTCAGCATCGTGGCGAAGTGAGAGTTTTTCTCATCACTTCTTTTTTATTCAGGAAAGAAAATACCCGAACTAGCATCTACAGTCTGTCCAAGATAAGGTTGAACAGCATGGGGATCTCGGAAACGGTAGGAGATACGAAGTCGCTTAAATGGGGAAAAAGTTGCGCATTCGGAGGCTCATATCAAAAGCCTTCGAAAATTTTGAAAATTATTTTTAGTTTTTGAGTTATATCGAAAAAAGTGAATTTTTGGAATTTCTATTTTATTTTTTTTTTCTCCGTTATTATCAGAGATACAGAAAAACTGAAAATACTTTTTCATTGCAACTTTTGATGAGGTTTAACGTGGTGATACCGATTTTTTTATGCGACGTTTCGTATTCGTGGAACCATCATCAACTTTTGTTTTTTAAATACGGTCCTGATAATTTTTTCACAGATTCTGACAGGTTTTTTCATTCTGAATTCAACAATGTACTATACAAGGTGATTCGAATGTGTTTCGACCTATTTCTATCCATCATCAATGTTTTTTCGAACTTCCAAAAGAAAAAAAGCCATCAGTTCCACTTATTTCTTATCATTTAGTGTCAAACTTGATGGATTAGTTATTCAATACTGAAAAGTGAATAAAAAATATTTCACTACATCATTCGATCAATGCAGCGTTTAAAATTGTTGATGAATTCTTACACGAATTACTTTAACAACTTAACTGTGACAATACCTACAGAGACATTCATAACAAATGTTCAAAATGATAACCATTATTTTCTGAACAAAGATATCCTCTTCTCACAGTTGTTTCTAAGACATTGCTAAGCATTTCTGGGGTTATTCTATTGAATGCTTCGAAGACACTGTCCCTTAGTTCTTCTTCATCCTCAAAGTTATTTGCGTGTACAAAGTTCGATATATCCCCTAAGAAAAAATCCAGCTGTGTCAAATCAGGCGACCGCGCCGGCCAAGGGATAAAAACGCACGGACTTCTCTGGAATTATGTACCGGAGCGCCATCTTGTTGAAACCAACAGAGTTCTGAACTTCCGCAATCGGTAAATCATCCAGAGCTTCCTCAAGATGATTCTCAAGCGAATTTCTATAACGTCCGGAAGTCTGTGTTTCATGGTAAATAGAAGGAACAATAATTCGTGTACCAAATATTGCAACCCACATATTAAAGCCGAAACGGTGTTGGTGTCTCGCTGTAATGCTGTAATGTGTAAATGTTCATTTTCTCGTGAACAATAATGTGTATTTTTTCTATCGAAGCTACCATGATTAGTGACCATGCTTTCATCAGTCCAGATGATTGTTCGGAAGAAATCTGCAAAATTTTAACATTTCCTGGCATACCACTCACAGAATGTCTTTCGTCATCGCCTGGTTTTAGCGCTTGACATATTCTGAATTTGTATGGATGGAATTTTTGTTTCCGCAAAATGAAATGGGTTGTTGATTGAAACCAGTTGATGAGGTATTAGTGTGTTGACTAATTTTCCTTCAAAATAAGTGGAACTGATGGCATTTTTCCTTTGGAGTTTCGAAAAAACATTGATGATGGCCAAAAATAGGTCGAAACACAAATGAACCACCTTGTATAATACATGGTTGAATTCAGAATAAAAAAACCTTTCAGAATCTGTGAAAAAATTATCAGGACCGTATTTAAAAAACAAAAGTTGATGATGGTTCCACGAATACGAAACGTCGCATGAAAAAATCGGTATCACCAAGTTGACCGTCATCAAAAGTTGCTATGAAAAAGTATTCTCAGTTTTGCTGTATCTCTAATAATAACGGAGAAAAAAAATAAAATAGAAATTCCAAAAATTCACTTTTTTCGAACTCAAAAACTAAAAATAATTTTCAAAATTTCCGAAGGCTCTTGATATGAGCCTCCGAATGCGCAACTTTTTCCCCATTTAACCGATTTCGTATCTCTTACCGTTTTCGAGATCCCCATGCTGTTCAACCTTATCTTGGACAGACTGTATACATAATTAGAACGGGTTTAAACAACGAATAAGATAAAATGAGGAATAACCCAGCCAACACATCTGTGACATGACATCTCTGAGATATCGCGTTTAGGTAACAGTAGGATATCACAATAAACGTTCCATCGCTGTGATGTTCATAAGGAAGCACATCTGCGACATGACATCCCAGTTAACACATTCATGCCACAAATCACATCCGTGACTCGAATTGAGAGTCCCACTGAAATCACAATGACTGCTATTCCTGACCCTTTTTGTCATTCTATGATTCACATTATGATGCCAAATGAAAGTCACAGTACGTAGGTATTAAGCGACTCCTCATTCAACATCAAAATTGATTGATTCCGTTTGTTACATAAATAGACAAGAATGTGAGGTTTCATTGAGTCTCTACGTTGTTAGGGAGCCTCATAAATTCACCTATATTTTAAGTCTCAAATCCAATAACATGTGACGAATATTGCGAATGTTTTCTAAAATGAAGAGTCCCCTAGCAATACCAATGATGTTTTCTTGAAATTCGCATCGTTACCTAGCGAGACATGAATGTGATATTCCAGGGATGTTTGTTTTTACTGGGATATCCTTGAGATGTCCCGATGTGACAACACTGCGATATTACGAATGTTGCATCGCTTCGATGTACACATGTGGACTTCCTATTTCAGAAAATTCGTCGAAACTTTGATATTTAGATTCTTGTTGAGTGGAAAAAAAATAATAATGGAAATACGGTACTCAACGAAGTGAAGCTAAATTCGCGAACACTCTCATTGCTATCAGACTGTTCTTGATTTGCATACTTCTCACCGACACACACTATATAATTTTTGATACAAATAATACGAGTAACTGATCTCATCCTGTTGGAAATGCGTATAGGTACTGAGGATAGTGCTCCTGATAAGACGATTGAATGGACAGGTCAACCGAGGGACCACCAACTATTTAGTCACAAAAATGCATAATCAATATTATTAGATGTCATCAGTAGTCAGTGGTGTATTATCACATCATGTTTGAGGAAACTTTTTTCGTCATCTCGCGTCACATTTTATTTTGATCGCAAAAACACATCGCTTTTACATCACAAATAACATATCGCAATTACATTGCAAAAACTATATCGCAGTTATATCGTAGATAACTTATCGCAGAGACGTCGTATGGATAAAACTTGAGTGGGACAAAATAACATCTCTTTGACATCGCAGCAACGTATATGCGACATAGAATGCGATATCGCAGGTCCAATTGTTATATCACTGCGATATCTCTGTGATGTAACTGTTTACTGAGAAGTAGGAATATGATAAAGAAGTTCAACATATGTATATTATAATGGAAACGTTATTTATACATGAATTAACATAAATAAAATGAGGAATAAAATAAAAAATGTCAAAATTTCAACGTTTATCTCGAAATTCCAACTTTTATCTAGGAATTTCGATTTTTTTCTCGAAATTTCGACCTTCATCTAGAAATTTTGACTTATTTTATCAGAAAATTTCGACCGAAAACAAATAATTTTATATGCACAGGTGGTTATATACATATATATAGTTGTAATTATTATTTTTCCACAGAGTAACAACTAATGCGATGTATCCTTGGCAAAGTGAAAGCAATATTCATCTGCCTGGCGGAGCAATAAGTGTAGCACATCAATTTTTACGATGTGTCTTACACCAACTGGCGCCAAACGGTATTTTTACGCAAATGTTTCAAACAAACGCACCAGGTATGTCAGAATCTGAACAAACTCTGGAAAAATAGAAACTAATCCATTTTTCATTTCAGAAAACATTCGGGTACAATTTTTCAAAAGTGTTATTCAAGCCCTAGTCGATTTTAATGAGTTGAATCCAGTAGCGCCTTTACATTTATTATTGGAGGTAAAACTCACAACAAGTATATACACAGTGAAATTGAACCAAACTTCTCATCTGTTTTTCAATTTCACCCTGTATATGAATACCGTGTGGTCAAGATAATGTTGCACAGCATGGGGATCTCGGAAACGGGAGGGGAATCAAATTCGGCTAAATGGGAAAAAAGTTACGCATTATTATATACATAAAAACTAAAAATACTTTTCCATAGCAAATTTTGATGCGATATTCATGGGTGATATTGATTTCTCTACGCGACGTTTCGTATTCGTAGAACCATCATCAACTTTCTTCAACACGGTCTTGATTATGTGTTCACAGATTCTGATAGATTTTTTTTGTTCTGAATTCAACCATGTGGTTTGAATGTGTTTCGATCTAGTTTTAGCCATCTTCAATTTTTTTCGACATTCCAAAGAGGAAATACCATCAGTACTTATTTCTAATCATTCAGTATCAAACATTGATGAATAGTTACTTATTTAATACTGAGAAGTAAAAAAAATATTTCATGAATCATTCAATGCAGCGCTTCCTGTTAGGATACCGCTGGATATTTTTCTTTGTGGATACGTTAAAAACTTTGTAGATATCGAAAAATAAATAAAAGGAAGTAAAGGGACATTGTTATCGAATCTATCAATAGTAGGATATATTTGTTTAGAAAATATTGGTTATATATAATTTTGAACAGTTATTGCTCTTGATGTTGATGATACGAAAAAACATGATGGCTAAAACTAGGTCGAAACACAGGTAAACCACCTTGTATAATACATGGCTGAATTTAAATTAGTAGAAACTTCCAGAATCTGTGAACATATAGTCAGGACCGTATTTGAAAAAAATAGGATGATGAAATCAATATTACCACGTTGATATTCATCAAAAGTTGCTATGGAAAAGTATCTCCAGTGTTTCTGTATCTCTAATATTAAAATATTAAATAGAGTTTTCAAAAATTCACTTAACTGGAGAACTAAAAACAATTTTGAAAATTTTCCAAGATCTCCATGCTGTGCAACCTTATCTTGGGCACACTGTATAATCAACCGTCATTCACTCAAAATAATTTTTGTAGACGTTGAACTCGAAGAAGACATTACCCATCGATATTCTACCAACCATACTCCAAAATATGGGACACTATTTGAACTGTCTGCCTCTGGAAGCTGCCTTAGGACCGAGTACCCCAATGTGGGGTACTGTATTGCAACAATTAGAAATACTGTATAGGAAAGTAATATTTTTGTTGAACACTATGGATGACGTAACACCACTATTGAGGATCATCGCTTCCGTCTTCAAGATTCCTCTTGTCTCACAATTCAAGGTGAAACGGCGTAAGGTGACATCTTGAGCTGGATTAAATTTTCACTGTTTTTTTTTTCAGGGTCTTTTGGAACCGTTTTCCAAAGTTTTGAGCTACGCTATCCAGACTCAAACCCTGGAATACAGCTGTCTTGTGGAGATCTGTTATTTGTGTTACAGAGCTTTCACGAAAGTATGTGAACTTGTTTTTTGATTTTGAAACAGAACTGATCTGGTTGTTTCAGGAGAGGGACAAAATGATACTGAGCAGAATGGTAGTGATTGAACTGGTTCAGGCACTCAAATTCAAAACAACGATACCGGATTCGAATCTTCTCATGCTGATCAACTTAATTTTGCAGGTAAAAAACCTAAATTCTAATAATTACGTAATCTCGAATTTGGTTATTTTCGGTGTATCAATTGAAAATGATAATTTTACCGTAACAATAGCTCAAACAGGGTATTTATAAAGGCAAAAATTCCACTTTCATTCTCGATTTCAATGCCCTGTAAGTATCTCGAAACAAGTCTTTTTACAACCATCCTAATAATAACGTTATTAGGTTCTTCAAATTGTCACTTGTAATGTCCTGAATTAGAAGACTTGAGGACAACCTGGGTACATTATTTCTATTTGCGAATCTAGGGACATCCTCAAAATGTTACCAAAAACTTTATTGTTAACTCTCAACTAACTACTCAAGAAAAAATATCCCTCACCACTAAACATGAAACCTTCCATAAAAATTTCAATTTTACCCTATAGTGGACTATTTGAAACGTTCCTTGAAACGTATCCCAGACGTTTTATCCAGGTTTTTCGAATATTTTTAAGTTGCAAGAACGTTTGAACGAAACCAAAATGAAACGTTTGAAGAAAGATGCACCCATGTAAGAATTCATGGTCTTATGCTGCTTCTAATGATATTTATTGTATCATAATAAAGAGATTGATATTAAAATCACTATAGAAAATCACCAATCGAAAACCAGCTGCTGCCACAGTTGTACGACAGTACCACGACGCCATTAATGTTAAATGTACTCATAATTATATTTTACCTTAACGCTCTTATTCAATTTTCAATATTGTTGATGCGCCATACTTTGTAGAGGTATATGTATTTCCTATGTCGAATGTCGAATTTCTTGTTGCTAAGTGAAAATATGTGAAAGGATCGGTACAATGTCAGAGGAAAACGAGACCACACGACCACCAACGACAAGAGTCAGTGAGAACTTGTCAGCGTGAGCGTGTGATGACGTTACCATCGAGACTATTCACGTGGGTATATAACGGTGATGATCGTGTGAATCGTGTCCGGAGTCCGGGACTCCGGGAGCTCATTCCTAAACAACATTCAATATTCATTGACAGTGGTAACCGAACCTGAAGAAGCATCTTGCCCGTAGAGAACATCAATCAAAATACATCCAGCATAAGGAGAATATTAGAGAAAATGGTGTCTTTTAATGACAGCAAGACTGCTGCAATGATAGTAAATAACGCAGATTGGTTGGATAACATAAAATACATAGATTTTTTGCGTGATATAGGAGCTTATTTTTCTGTAAATCGTATGCTAAGTTTTGATAGTGTGAAAACCAGGCTGGATAGAGAGCAAACCTTAAGCTTTCTGGAATTTAATTACATGCTATTGCAGGCTTATGATTTTGTTGAGTTGAATAAAAAGCATGGCTGTCGTCTGCAGATTGGAGGGTCAGACCAGTGGGGAAATATAGTAAACGGAATTGAGCTTGGAAAAAAGTTGAATTTACCTGAGCTGTTTGGCCTTACTGCCCCTCTTTTATTGAATGCTCAAGGGGTAAAAATGGGCAAAACTGAAAGTGGAGCAGTGTGGCTTGATGATAATATGCTAAAGCCTTACGACTACTGGCAATATTTTCGCAACGTTGATGATCAAGATGTTGGACGTTTTTTGAGATTGCTCACTGATGTGTCAATTGATGAGATCAAAAAAAGTTAGAATCCTTAAAAGATCAGGAAATAAATGAAGCAAAAAAAGTTTTAGCAACAGAGGTGACAAAAATATGTCATGGTGACAAAGAAGTGGAACTTTGAGAATGAAGATAGCTCACTACTTCCTGATTACATCATAAAAAAAGCACAAGTTGCAAGCGGCATATCCTTAGTAAACCTACTGCGTGACACCGGTTTTGAACCTTCAAAAGGCGCAGCAAAGCGTTTAATACAGGGCAACGGGTGCAAAGTTAATGATAATATTATAAATGACGTTAACTATATAATAAATTTCGAGAGCTTTAAACGTCAGCCATTTATAAAATTATCTGCAGGAAAGAAGCGCCATATTAAAGTTGTGGTAGATTAGGTCTCGAAGTAAGAAAACAAATTTTATACAAGTGAGAAATTAGATAATGATGATATGAATGACTTAAATCAAATATATTTATCTAATCATAAGCCTATATCGAATCTCTTTTTAAATTTGGATATTATTACGTTACGTGAAGCATTAGAATATGTACATGAGCTGCCTTATGGACGCAATTTTGACCGCACAGATTGTATATCAGTATTCAATGAAAGACGAGGAACGTCAGAAGGAGCTTTTTTAACTTTTTCTACTTTTTCATATAGTGTATTAAGTATCGTATTCGGTGAGTTATTTTTGATAAGATTATTTAAATAATCCGTTTTACTTCCTGCTTTATCAAAACAAAAACCATGCAATTTTTCAAAGGCAGAACAAATACTAAGTCCTACTCTATGTAACACCCTAGATAAATTTTTTGGTGTAAAAAGTTTTTCCTCGGCTAAGAAGTGATTTAAGTAATTCCTTTCATTAAAACATGATTTGTGGAAATTTTTTAAGATAGAAGCTGAATTATTTCCTGCCATGTCTAATATTGCGGATAAGTGACTTGCCGTAAACCCTACGCTATAGAAATCATTCAAAAGATGCGTATTGTTCCCTTGCTCATCAAAACAAACATTGTGAAAATCTTCCAGAGCAGAACAAATGCTAGCCCTTGCTCCATGCAGTATATCAGATAATTTGTTAATAGTAAAACCTGCCTGTGAGAAATGGATTAAATACGCTTTTGCTTTTTCTGTGGAACAAAAATCATGAAACTGACCTAAACTACTTACTGATGCGCTTAATATACTGCACAGACTCTGAGGATTAAAACCTATCTTACGAAAATCACTTAAAAGTCCTGTTTCCTTTCCTTTATCGTCAAAAAGAGTATTATGAAATTTTTTTAATCTATGAGAAGCGCGAGATCCTGATCCACATAACATAGAGGATAAGTTACCTGGCTTAAAGCCTACATCATAGAAATAATTTAAAAGTTCTGTCTCTTCTCCATTGTCGTTAAAACAAACGTCATGTAATTCTTTAAAAGCACTGCTAGCTTTGGCTCCTGCCCCACTTAAAATACCAGACAAGTTACTTATAGTAAAATTCCTTTCCTTATTCTTTTTTTCAGTAAAATGTTTTAAATACTGTTTTTTATTTCCTTGCACATCAAACCAAAGATCATATAAGTCTTTAAAAGCTTTTTTAGTATTCGCTCCTGCTCCACTTAAAATACTGGACATATTAGGTAAATTTATTTCTTCTTTTTTTAGAGTTTTTAAATATTGTGTTTTATTTCCTTCTTTATCAAACCAAAGATCGTATAAGTCTTTAAAAGCTTTTGCAGCATTAGCTCCTGCTCCATGTAAGATACTGGACATGCTAGCAAAACTTGTTCCTTCTTTTTCTATAGTTCTCAAATATTGAGTTTTATTTCCTTCTTCATCAAACCACAGATCATATGAGTCTTTAAAAGCTTTTGCACCATTGGCTCCTGCTCCATTCAAAATACTAGATATGCTAGATAGATCTATTCCTTCCTTTTCTAGAGTTTTTAAATATTGTGTTTTATTTCCTTTTTCATTAAACCACAGATCATATAAGTCTTTAAAAGCTTTTGCACCATTAGCTCCTGCTCCACCTAAAATACTAGACACATTAGTAAGATTTATTTCTTCTTTTTCCAGGGTTTTTAAATATTGTGTTTTATTTCCTTCTTCATCAAACCACAGGTCATACAAGTCTTTAAAAGCCTTTGCACCATTAGCTCCTACTCCGTGCAAAATACTGGACATATTAGTTAGATTTATTTTTTCTTTTTTTAAGGTTTTTAAGTATTGTGTTTCATTTCCTTGCTTATCAAACCAAAGATCATATAAGTCTTTAAATGCTTTGGGAGCTTTAGCTCCTGCTTTACTTAAAATACCGGGCACATCAGCTAGATTTACTTTTTCTTTTTTTAGAGTTTTCAAATATTGTGTTTCATTTCCTTGCTTATCAAACCAAAGATCATATAAGTCTTTAAAAGCCTTTGCACCATTAGCTCCTGCTCCATTAAGAATACTGGATACATTAGTAAGATTTATTTCTTCTTTTTCCAGGGTTTCTAAATATTGTGTTTTATTTCCTTCTTCATCAAACCACAGGTCATACAAGTCTTTAAAAGCCTTTGCACCATTAGCTCCTGCACCATGCAAGATACTGGATATACTAGCAAGACTTATTCCTTCTTTTTCTAGAGTTCTCAAATATTGTGTTTTATTTCCTTGCTCATCAAACCACAGATCATATAAGCCTTTAAAAGCTTTTGCACCATTAGCTCCTACTCTATGCAAAATACTGGATACATTAGTAAGACCCATTCCGCTTTCTTCTAGAGTTTTTAAATATTGTTTTTTCTTTCCTTTTTCATCAAACCACAGATCATATAAGTCTTTAAAAGCCCTTGCACCATTAGCTCCTGCTCCACCTAAAATACTAGACACATTAGTAAGATTTATTTCTTCTTTTTCCAGGGTTTTTAAATATTGTGTTTTATTTCCTTCTTCATCAAACCACAGATTATATAAGTCTTTAAACGCTTTGGGAGCTTTAGCTCCTGCTTTACTTAAAATACCGGATAGATTAGTAAGATTTATTTCTTCTTTTCCCAAGGTTTTTAAATATTGTGTTTTATTTCCTTGCCCATCAAACCACAGATCATGTAAGACTTTAAAAGTCTTTGCAGCATTAGCTCTTGCTCCATGCAAAATATTGGATACACTGGCTAAGCCTATTCCTTCTTTTTCTAGAGTTTTTAAATATCGTGTTTTATTTCCTTGCTCATCAAACCATAGGTCATATAAGTCTTTAAAAGCTTTTGCAGCACTAGTTCCTGTTCTGCCTAAGATACTAGAAACACTAGCTAGATTTATTCTTTCTTTTTCTAGAGTTTTTAAATATCGTGTTTTATTTCCTTGCTCATCAAACCACAGATCATATAAGCCTTTAAAAGTCTTTGCAGCATTAGCTCTTGCTTTACTTAAAATACTAGAAACACTAGCTAGATTTATTCTTTCTTTTTCTAGAGTTTTTAAATATCGTGTTTTATTTCCTTGCTCATCAAACCACAGATCATATAAGCCTTTAAAAGCTTTTGTAGCATCAGATCCTGATCCACTTAAAATACTGGACATACTGGATAGGTTTATTCCTTTTCCTTTCAGAACTTCTAGACATTCTTTTCCTTCCCCTGCAATTAAAAAATCTAAGAACTGATTAAATCTAGGTGTCCCTTCTTTACCGGCAACACTTTTAGCAAATCTAATTTCTTCATTAATATTGTGTACATCCACACGCGACCTCTTCAATACTATATCATCTTTGTCTGTAACAGAACGTCTTCGTTTTCTACTCGTTTTACGATCTTCCTTACCTGTACTCCTTGAATGATCGTTTTGCTCGTGTGAGGAATTTTCAATATCTTGTAATGGTGTAGAAATGTAAGATTGAGAAATATTGTTTGCTACCACATTACCGTAAGCTTCCTCTCTAGAAACTTTTATGCTTCTCTTTATATCTTTTTCAATATTACTAAGAAGTGGTACAAAATGGTTCCTGTAATTTACTATGTAAATAATATTATTACCTGTACCTACCTTACCTTTAGTAACATGTAATCCATCTATCTCTTTATCTCTCAATTCTATAGTCCTAACTTTCACGCCATACTTTTCGCATATCATTTTTCCTTCAACTTCAGGTCTTCCCCATATAGCGTTTTCCAACTTTAGAATTTTTATTTCTGAATCAGAGCTTGTATTTTCAATGTCTTCTGCAGTAAATTCAATACGCGGAATATATTCACAAAGTTTTTCACCTTCTCCTTTTAAAGCACTACCCAACCATGAACCTTTTTTTAGTTTTTTTGATTGATTAACTTGTTGTGCATATTGCTTACAATTTTCCCGCAAAGACTTTACACTAAATCCTTTACTACCTGCAATCAGACCTTTATCTTTTAGCTCGTTCAATCCTTGAGCTATGGAATCAAAGAAACAATCCCCTTCACCTATAGCAGCTCCTATCTTAAAGCCCTCAGGCAATTTCTTCCTTAGTGTCTCTAAAAGTTGATTAAGCTTCTTTTTTTCCTCTTCATCACTTGCATTTTTTATCCTACTAAAAATGAAAATAGGTTCTCTAGTAACAAAATCTGACTTTTCTAGAGTGCTCTTACTATTAGGTGGTTTACCGGACTCTTTATTCCCTGCTAACATATTGACTCACTATACTAAATTAATATGAATAATTCCACATCCGAAGGAAATGTGAATAATATTGTTGAACGGATTACCATTGAGACGGAGCACGGCGAGACCGCTCTCAGGGATGTAGAAAGAAAGTAGGGCAGAAATCCAAAACCAAAAGTATCTCGAAGGTATAGAAACGATAGGTCTATCGTTCTTCGCAAAACTTTATTTAATAACGGCTAAAAATAAGAGGAAGACGCCTTTGAGACGGGATCCAACATCACGACGTGCAGTTAGGTTAAAGTAATAAGTGGATGGCGAAAAAGTGGCACTTACCTAATAATGCAGGCCATCCAACGACACCGATTGACGCCGAAAACTAAGCCAGGGAGCACTTTGAACCATATAAAAGAATAATTTTGTGAATTACCACATTCCTTCGCAACTTTCACGAGAGTTGACCAAAGAGAAAAACCCGCCAATTCCTGACAGATCAAATTAGAATGACTTTAGTGACAATATTGACAACTCCTACTGACGGTGACATTCCCGAAATACTAACCCTGCATAACGGCACCTAGTCGTGTGCTACCGTGGCTCGATGCCCGACAGACAGATCATAAGAAAGCTGTTTATATTAAAGGTTAAAAGGTAGGACCCATCCTTTTGGCAATCGAATTAATGGCTGGCTGTACATTCTCCCGACGTTTTGGGGACATTATATTGTGTTTTAGAGATATCAATTGAAAGTGTTTATCTGGATATTTTGGGCTAGTGTGGATTTGATTAGACTTTTTACGTTTGTATTTCCCACGATTTGTGTTATGGGCAATTGCCTACTGTTCGTCAAATTAGAATAAGTAGTAATAACTAATAAATTTGTCTGTTGCTACTGTCTGTGTAACATTATTTCTACACCATATCCACTTTCTTTGAAAAGTTGATAAAACTATATACAAAGTTGGAATCCATTATTTGAAACGTTGCCAGGACAGTTTTGTTGAAACGTGGTCAAGACAGTTGTTGAGACGTGTCCAGGACTGTTTTGTTGGAACGTGTCCGAACGGTTGTATTGAAACATGTCTGGGACGATGTTGTTGAAACGTTCCATAAAACTTCACTGAGGTTGGACATTCACATTATCTGAAACGTTTCTGAAACTCCAGAGAAACTTAAGTGGGAAGGTTTCAGATTCAGATAACCGTCAGACATTTCTGAAATGTTTCTGATACTGAAATATGTTTAGTGGGTCAATTCCTCATAAGGACTGTGAAACTTCTCAGACGTCATATGCATGTAGAAAATAATAACAGGTGGACGTCCCAGAGACGTCTCGCGGCTGCCACTGGATATTATAAGTGTATATATATCATTCAGAACTTCCTCACAAAGTTCCTGAGACGTCTTCAGACAGCAAGCTCAATAAACTCGGGACCGATTTGATTCCAGGACATAGGCGGCTCGATCCCTTCGAACGTCGTCATAAAAGACTGCCCCTCAATAGCCCTGGACTACGGTCCGTCCTTCAACACTGGCATATCCGAATGCATGAAGATGAACTTGACCGACATAGTGGACTTCCTGACTGATTTCCACGCCATGTCGAAAATGAAGAGCTACTGCAAGGGGGCTCACGTCGGCCTTAACGATGACACTCTCGGAGGCATAATGAAGTGCAGCATCGCGCAGTACCTGGCCCTGGAGATGACGAAGGGCAACGGCAGGGACAACAGGGCCGTGGCCAAGTACTTCCCGTGGTTGTGCAACACTTCGGCGACCCAGCAGGTTTTGAATTCAGATATAAGTAGCACAATGAGCTTGATGACGAATGTATCTGGTTGCGAAATATTCGATGTTTATTGTGGGAGTCAAAAACAACATAAGACTACAGAGTGTTACGATTTCAACCCGCAACACCTTCCAAATTTGGAACCCGTCGACCAATTTTCAGAAACAAAAATTCCATAACATATAGTACTCAACGAGCTCAATTCGAAAATGTGTGACTAGCCAATCCGATTCAGGCATAGCTGAAATACTTCCATACAAAATTGGAACGCAATATCTCATTTAGGGTGTTAGTTATTCAATGGCAAATTTCAAAATTCTGGCTTTTTCGGTACAACTTGTAATGAAATCTGTGTGTGTTGCTGGTTGAAATCGCAAACACTCTAGAAAGATTTTAACTGCTATTTTTCATTTTCTGAACACTATGGCTGTCAATGAGATTATTTTCCTTTGAACAATAAAGTATATTTTGATTCGATTTGAAAATCGATAAGAGGACGGATGTCGGTTTGCTGCAAAAGATACAGCGAGGCAAACAATGAATACCAAAACACTTTTGATTCTAATAAACCATCGAAATATTAACTTTACCTTGACGCTAATAATTTGTATGGTAAAGCTATGAGTGAACCACTCCCCTATGGAGGTTTCACTTGGGTCGATATGACACCAACATTTGTGTCAAGCAGATTTGGAGTATCCAGAGAGGTTGAATGACTAGCATAAAGACTTTCCATTCTGTCCCAAACATATCGCACTCTACAAATTCCAATAAATTATCAAAATTAACGGCCACCCTTCACAAGAGAGAAGAATAAACTTTGCACTACAGAAACTTGAAGTACGCTTTGGAACATGGATTAAAACTCACAAACATACATGGGCCGGGTTTTGAGATTTGAGCAAATTCCGTCGTGGCTAGCGTCTTACATCGCGTTAAATACACGATTGAGGACTTTAACTATATACAAGCGACTTCGAGAAAGATTTGCGGCAATTGATGAACAATGCGGGTGTTCGGGAAAAGCATGGAAAATATCCGTAATCATCGCGTTGTAAAATTAGTTCAAAAATATGAAGGCCGTTATGGTGCCAAAAATTTGATTGCCAGTCCCAAATTTCACAATCGTAGTTTTCGATGACAGCTTCATGGCCACAGAATTGAGAAAGTCTGGGTCAGTATTCAATAAAGCCTGTATACATTGGTATCACTATTCTAAATTTGTCGAAAATTGTATACTTACGATGTACATACATACACCGACACAGACGATTTCATCTATGAAAAAATGATAATCGCCACACATTTTTGGTTATATCTTGGAACACACAATAATGCATCATGAGGAATAAGGAATGAAGAATAAAAAATGATATTTCTGTAATTGACGAAATTGTATTCCATATTCTTATTCCGTCAACCTTTTGATCAATCAGAACAGTGTATAATCTCAATAAAACACAGTACATAAGAACAGTAACCTATTTACTATTCATGATGATAATGAGGTTTGCCTCATAAATAGGTATATACTCGAAAATACTATAAAAACACCCAAAATATCAGAAAACTGACAATGGTAACAAACGTCATTTGCAAGCTGTTTATTGGTCAATATTTAACTCTATTCCTGCTTCATTTCATCCATTCTGCCTTGAAGAAGAATGACATCTATATTCTTTATTTCTCATTCCCAGTTCTCTATTACTATTTCTTATTTCTATGCATTAGTAGCGTTTTATTTACCCGATTTCGCCACCGGAATCACTTTTACTCACCCTCCATACAAGTAGAATCTAGCACTGATGCCAATCAGCAGGGTCCCAGGGAGTTCGTCGAGTGTATCGGCCACATCCGACTGCTCTCCTGGCTGCTGCTGGGCTCCCTGACGCACACGGCCCTGCACGGCCACGGCCACGGCCAGCTGCCGAGTCTGCCCGTGCCGCACGAGGTCTCCTGCCAGATCGCCGACCACATCCAGGTTATTATGGCGGGGTTCGCCGAGCAGCCCAAGGTGTCTGTGCTTCATATGTCTTCGTTGTTCCATACGTTCATCTTGTGCCAGGTATGAGTTGACTTTTTTTTTAACACTCTTTTATGTGCTTTTATTAGCTTCACTCATACATTATCTACTATTTCTATATATGGCGCATCGCCCATACGATTTCTCAACAAAAATTGGACCAAAATGAGAGGTACTTTTTGAATTTATAAGGACGGAAAGTGAAGGATGGAAACTGCTAACGTGAGGATCAGATTTTAAGTTAGGTTAGGTTCGTAAATAATTATTCGATCATAATAAAATATTCAAAATCATCATTGATAATACCACAGTATAATACCGTCAACTTCGATTTATTCCTTCATAATGTGGTTAAAATATAGCAAAGCATAATTTCAGTAACTTTGAGGAACAGGAAACAGCCATTGCAGATGATAATGAAATAAACTGCGATACTAATTTCAGTCAGTTCGGTGGAATCTCGAAACACACCATTTAATCCAACATTATTGCTTCAGATCTTGGTATTGAATATTGAATATAGGTCAGGGTTAACCTAGGTATATGTATTCTTTTTCAATGTGGTGAGTGAACCACTCAAATCTGTTTAGCGTGATAGGACTACACTCCAAGGAGATTCCCATTATATTATGCTAGTTGCTGGATGATTGATTACTCCATTGATAATGTAAATAAATGTGTACCTTTGTGCAGGTCAATATAATTATCTATAAAACAAGATAAGATTTGAAAATTCAAATTTACTTTCGAAAAGAGGATTCCTGTCTATTCTTTTCTCCGCAAATACTGCATTTCGTTCCACTAGACATGGTTAAAAAAGTTCAGTCTATGAAAAATAAACGAAAACACAAACACTAAAGAATTGTACAACTAAAAACGCAAATATTCGAATTTCAATCACATACGCGCTAAAAGCAATTTAAAAATTTTAAATTCGTAGCCATATTGGTTTAACAAGTTTCGTATTATTTTTTCCCTACGTCGGCATCAACGCCTATTGGTCGATTTTCGTTACCCATAGAAACAAAAGTTGATCCCGCTTTGAGAACAGCTATATGCTTCATAATAATATATGAGCTATATTCTTTGATATGAGTAGGAAATATATGGCTTCACGAGGTATGTAACTTATCTCTGATGTGTATGTAACCGCAAACCGACTCCTTTGGACTCGAGTTTGACAAACTTCAAACTTCAAACGGAATGATTGATTTGAAATTTGGCAGATGTACATAGTTCGGGTGGCAATGCATCATGAATTTTTTGTTAGTAAAAAAACAGAATGGCGGCCCCAAAATGGCGGACGAGTTCTGTAATTATGATCCGGTTCTATTCAAAATTGGTATCTGGGGGTTTTCGGGGTCACAGATTATATTATTTTCCTTAAAAATTTGGAAATTCGAAATGAGGAATCCAATATGGCGGACGAGTTTTGTATTTGGGGGTTTTCGGGGTTGGAAATTATGATTGTTTCCTCAAAATTTGAAAATTCAAGATGACGGATCCAATATAGTGAACGAGTTATGTAATTATATGATTCGAGTCTATTCAAAGTTGGTATCTGGGGGTTAACGAGGTCGGGGCTTATGATTCGTTCGTCAAAATTGGGTACTTACTTACAAAAAGATAATAAAATTGAAAACACGCTTTTGTAGTTAGCCGAACTAAAAAATAGAAAATAAGTAGAGTAGTTTAAACACTAAAGAAACACCCTTTTATACATAGCCAAACTGAAAAGAAGTAGAAAATAAAATAATGTGTAACGTGAAAATTGCCTTTCCTCGAATTTTCAGTTCCATCTTTATAATTCACATATAAAAGCATTGAGACACTGTATCTGAAATTCTTTATTTATATTCAATATTTACATGACACTAGATAATAGTGATGTTCCCTTAGTTGATCAGACTTCTACGACCTGAAAATACAAGTAAATATAACAATTTGATTAAATAACAATTGGAAAGTACTCACCTGGTTCAGGATGTTCTTTCAGTCTGGGTGTGATTTTTGTGCTTCAGGGATTTCTTCCAAGACTTTGACTTTGGTGGGTGTTTGGCCTCTGTGCATTATTTAGCTGGTATATCTTCTTTTTCTACCATATTGGATGGTCCTCATACTTATATCAGTAATTTCAATGATTATTGTTTTGTTTACTATTGTTGAGCTGTCATTGAAATATAGGAATTTCATTAGACGTTTTCATCAAGTTGATTGTCAATTGTCAGATGATGAGGGCAAGGGTACCTGCACCTGACCTACACCTAACCTGCACCTGACCAACGCCGAACCTGCAGCGAATAGTTGGACGGTAAAGTGAATTATTGCAGCCAGGATAGTTTTATGACTTTCAGGGTACTGGCGCTAGTCATCTTTGGAAGGCGAAGAGCAATGTTCCGTGTATTTTTCAAGGTCGTGTCGCATCTGTTCATTCTGGCCCTGTGGAATCCAAGTCGGAAGAAGTCGGGGATGCTCGGTTGTTTCGTAGCTGTCATTTCATTCTGGGCGAATCACAAGTCAGTATTTCAGTCACATGTAGGGCGCTTAAAGTCATCCTGTATTTCCTCTAGTGCGCAGAGTTTGCATATGAGTTGTATCCTGTTTTTTATTGTTAGTTTTTGGGATGTAAAGTTCTGAAAAGGCGCAGGAGGCTATCCCTCCCAAAGTGTCGAGACGCCACTTCAACATTCATTCTCGTCAAGATGGGCATCACCCATTATTTTGTGGTGAACCTTTTCAAAAGTGAGGCCTTTCCTTCTTGGGGTAAGTGTTTGAACATTGAAAATCTAGCGGTCAATTCCTCCTATGATATGAGGCTGGTTATTTATTTGGATCTATTCCGTTAGATCTGTGGGCCTCTTTGGTACCCCGTGTCGACCACGTGGCCATTTTATTCTCTCAACGGAGAGATTCCACCTCTGGAGCAGGAGGCTATATGAAGCCTCATCAGACGTCGCAGGATCTCTCGTCGCTGCAGGCACCTCAGGCTCCTTCATCCCTGCAGGCCTTCCAGGCCCTTTCGTCTCTGCAGGCATCCCAGGCTCTGCAGGCTCTCCAACCGGCGCTGGCTCATCAGGCTTCCCTGCCTCTTCAGACTACTCAGTTTCACCAGGCTTCCCTGCCTCTTCAGTCTGCACAGGATCTTCAGGCTGCCCTGTCCCTTCAGTCTGCGCAGGATCTTCAGGCTGCCCTGTCCCTTCAGTCTCCACAGGCTTATCTGTCTGTGCTGAGTCATCAGTATTTGCTGTGTCACCAGGCTTCGCAGTGTCATCACCTGGAAGCTGCCTCTTGCTGGCTGGGACCTGGACCTCACCTGCTAGACTTCATCAGAAGGGGGCCATCTTTCTTCTGGGGACTGGCCATTGAATAGTCTGGCCAATCAGGCTGAGAACGCCATCAGGATGCCACCCTGCTAGATTGCCCTACTAGCACGTGGCTTGAGTAAGAAAGCCATCCAAAAATTTGAGTCAATACTTACCATGAAGTTTACCATCATTTTTTCTTGAGGGTGTCTCAATGTCTAGTATTCTTCACCATTATTTCACCATTATTTTTTTTATGATATTTAATAGGTTGCTAAATGCCCATTTTATAATTTAAGCATAATAATAATATGTGCATCCGGCTTATAGTACTATAAAAGGGATTTTAGGGTTTTTGAATATACTGGTCATACATAGTAACTTTTACTGAGAATATTTTGAATTCTATCATATTACTTAGACAGCAATCTACCTTGTAGGTAATAAAAAACTGAATTTTATCCTCATTAAATAATATCTGAGTTCACACAGTGTTTTTTCTTCTATTTCTCTTTCAGGAAGCTAGACTGAATTTTATTATAACTTTCTTGGTTTTGCCTATAACAAATCAAGTGGCGCCCTTTGTCATTCAATAGTCTGAATTCACTACCATTGCTCGCCAGACGAAAAGCTGCTGTGCCTTGTAAGCTCTTATGCATTTTTTTAATTTGAACTTCACAATATTTTTCCAAATTTCATAAGTTTGCTACAAGAATTTGGCGCCCAACGTGCAGTCAAACAACGGCAATATGTGATGTCTCCTTATATGCAAGGGCATCTAAATAAAGAACTTGACAAGATGTTGTCGTTGGGCGTAGTTAAGCCTTCAAAAAGTAATTGGTCCTCACCTGTACTCCTTGTTAAGAAATCAGACGGAAATTTTAGATTTTGCTTTGATGGAAGAAAATTGAATTCAGTTACTAAAAAAGATAGTTACCCTTTACCTGTGGTTGATAGAATTTTGTCAATGCTAGGCCATTCTAGGTATATGTCGTCGGTTGATTTGCGCAGCGCATTCTGGCAAATTCCCCTGGACGAAAGTTCCAAGGAAAAAACCGCTTTTTCAGTTCCTTCACGTGGACTTTTTCAATTTGAGGTAATGCCTTTCGGTTTAGCTAATGCAGCTCAGTTTCAACAGCGCCTAATGGACGCCATTTTCGGGCCAGAATTAGAGCCAAATATTTTTGTGTACCTGGACGATTTAATCATAGTAAGTTCCACCTTTGAAGAGCATATTAAATTACTTCATGAAGTAGCCAAGCGTCTAAAAGACGCCAAATTAACTGTTAATTTCGAGAAATGCGAATTTTTCAGAGATTCATTGAAATATTTAGGATTCATCATTGATAAATTTGGTTTACGGACTGATCCTAACAAGGTCAAAGCGATGGTTGAATTTCCACAGCCTCGCAATACTACAGAAATCAAACGGTTCACAGGTATGTGCAGTTGGTACCGAAGATTTATTCCTCATTTTTCTACCCTTATGGCTCCTATCAATGATTTATTAAAAAACAAGAAAAAAGGTCAGAAAATCAGTTGGTCAGCTAATGCAGAACAAGCATTCAAGGACATAAAGCAAGCTTTAGTTTCAGCACCAATTTTATCCAGTCCGGATTTTTCACTCCCATTCACAATACAGTGTGATGCATCTGACTCAGGCCTAGGTTGCGTTTTAACCCAGATTCAAAATGATCATGAGAGGGTGATAGCATTTGCTTCACGAAGTCTTTCCAAAAATGAACGCAATTATACAGTCACTGAGAAGGAATGTTTAGCATGTATCTTTGCTTGTGAGAAATTTAGAGGGTATATTGAAGGGGTGCATTTCACTTTAATTACTGACCATGCTTCACTCAAATGGATGTTCAACATCAAAGAACCCATTGGTAGAATTGCCAGATGGAGTGTTCGTTTAAGTCAATTTGATTTTAGTATACAGCATAAGGCTGGAAAATTGAATGTTGTACCTGATGCTTTATCTAGAAGCCCAGTAGAGCCAGCTACTGAAGAAACTGATATTTGTTTATTAGATAGGGAAGATGAAAGTATCAACCTTGAAATTAGTTTGGACAAATTAGAGCCGTTCTATGAAAATTTGCGGAAGAAAATTCTAGAAAACCCTGAGGACTATCCACAGTGGTCTGTGAGAAATAATTTTGTTTATAAGCTGGTACCTTCCAAATGTCCTGTTAGCTCAAATATTTCAGATTGGAAACTTTTAGTGCCGAAGTGCCAACGTACCGAAATTATCAGGTTATGTCATGATGTTCCAACTTCCTCTCATATGGGTTACTACAAAACTTTCAGTAGAATTAAATTGACTTATTATTGGCCAAAAATGAGGCAAGACATTTTCCGGTACATAAAAACTTGTAAAGTCTGTTCTGCACAGAAGTCACCGAATTATGCTAAATTTGGGTTAATGGGGGCTGAGAAAAAGGTCCGATTTCCATGGCAAGTGATAGCACTTGACCTCATGGGTCCTTTACCTCGTACTTCCAGCGGTTATCAGTATATTTTAGTAGTTAGCGATTGGCTAACCAAATACCCGGTTTTGTGTCCTCTTAGAAAAGCTACTTCAGCCAGTATAATTAAATTTTTAGAAAACGAGATTTTCCTTGTCTATGGTGTTCCACAACATATTATCTGCGATAATGGGAGGCAGTTAATTAGTAAATCCATTAAAGAACTGGTTAAAAGTTATGATTCTAATATTTTTTATACTGCCTACTATCATCCGCAGGCAAATTATGTTGAGAGAACAAATAGAACAATTTGCACAGCTATACGCAGCTATATAAATAAAAATCATAAACTATGGGACAAAGAATTGGCAAAAATTGGTTATGCTTTACGAACTAGTGTGCATGAGGTGACTGGATATAGCCCTGCATTTTTAAATTTTGGGAGAGAAGTACCAGGTAGTGGTCAATATTATGGGAAGGGTAATATGGATATTAATGTAGTTAATCGCGATTATTGGATTCAAAATTTAGGTAAAATTTCAGAAATTTATGAAGATGTTCAGAATAAAATTCACGCTGCTCATCAGAAAAACGCTAAGTATTATAATCTACGCAGACGTGATAAAGAATTTTTTGTTGGAGACAAAGTTTGGAAGAAAAATTTTGTTCTTTCTAATGCAGGTAATAACTTTGCTCAGAAACTTGCTCCGCGTTTTGTACTTTGCACAGTAGCAAAGAAAAAGTCGAAATTAGTTTATGTCCTTAAAAATGAAGATGGCTCTAATGCCGGAGTTTGGCACATACAAGACTTAAAACCTTATCATGGGTCGATGTCCGATCTCTCTGGTGAAGATGAGACGGGTTCTGTAGCATCAGATTAAACCTTTTGATCAATCAGCAATTGCTTTATGCAGATTTGAAGTATCCAAGTTGTATATAATACTAGTTAAGGGTAGGTAAGGACTTAGCAAAAGTTAAGATTTAGGAGTAAGGTAGTATAGGGCGCGCCTACTTTAAGTTGTATATATGTAAAAATGAATTCTCTATTTTTAATGAGGAACTTTACGACCTTTCCTAGGGGTAGTATTCAGACGAAAAATTTCTTTGGCAGAAATTTTTCTTTTTTTCAGTAGGGGGGTGAGTGTAACGTGAAAATTGCCTTTCCTCGAATTTTCAGTTCCATCTTTATAATTCACATATAAAAGCATTGAGACACTGTATCTGAAATTCTTTATTTATATTCAATATTTACATGACACTAGATAATAGTGATGTTCCCTTAGTTGATCAGACTTCTACGACCTGAAAATACAAGTAAATATAACAATTTGATTAAATAACAATTGGAAAGTACTCACCTGGTTCAGGATGTTCTTTCAGTCTGGGTGTGATTTTTGTGCTTCAGGGATTTCTTCCAAGACTTTGACTTTGGTGGGTGTTTGGCCTCTGTGCATTATTTAGCTGGTATATCTTCTTTTTCTACCATATTGGATGGTCCTCATACTTATATCAGTAATTTCAATGATTATTGTTTTGTTTACTATTGTTGAGCTGTCATTGAAATATAGGAATTTCATTAGACGTTTTCATCAAGTTGATTGTCAATTGTCAGATGATGAGGGCAAGGGTACCTGCACCTGACCTACACCTAACCTGCACCTGACCAACGCCGAACCTGCAGCGAATAGTTGGACGGTAAAGTGAATTATTGCAGCCAGGATAGTTTTATGACTTTCAGGGTACTGGCGCTAGTCATCTTTGGAAGGCGAAGAGCAATGTTCCGTGTATTTTTCAAGGTCGTGTCGCATCTGTTCATTCTGGCCCTGTGGAATCCAAGTCGGAAGAAGTCGGGGATGCTCGGTTGTTTCGTAGCTGTCATTTCATTCTGGGCGAATCACAAGTCAGTATTTCAGTCACATGTAGGGCGCTTAAAGTCATCCTGTATTTCCTCTAGTGCGCAGAGTTTGCATATGAGTTGTATCCTGTTTTTTATTGTTAGTTTTTGGGATGTAAAGTTCTGAAAAGGCGCAGGAGGCTATCCCTCCCAAAGTGTCGAGACGCCACTTCAACATTCATTCTCGTCAAGATGGGCATCACCCATTATTTTGTGGTGAACCTTTTCAAAAGTGAGGCCTTTCCTTCTTGGGGTAAGTGTTTGAACATTGAAAATCTAGCGGTCAATTCCTCCTATGATATGAGGCTGGTTATTTATTTGGATCTATTCCGTTAGATCTGTGGGCCTCTTTGGTACCCCGTGTCGACCACGTGGCCATTTTATTCTCTCAACGGAGAGATTCCACCTCTGGAGCAGGAGGCTATATGAAGCCTCATCAGACGTCGCAGGATCTCTCGTCGCTGCAGGCACCTCAGGCTCCTTCATCCCTGCAGGCCTTCCAGGCCCTTTCGTCTCTGCAGGCATCCCAGGCTCTGCAGGCTCTCCAACCGGCGCTGGCTCATCAGGCTTCCCTGCCTCTTCAGACTACTCAGTTTCACCAGGCTTCCCTGCCTCTTCAGTCTGCACAGGATCTTCAGGCTGCCCTGTCCCTTCAGTCTGCGCAGGATCTTCAGGCTGCCCTGTCCCTTCAGTCTCCACAGGCTTATCTGTCTGTGCTGAGTCATCAGTATTTGCTGTGTCACCAGGCTTCGCAGTGTCATCACCTGGAAGCTGCCTCTTGCTGGCTGGGACCTGGACCTCACCTGCTAGACTTCATCAGAAGGGGGCCATCTTTCTTCTGGGGACTGGCCATTGAATAGTCTGGCCAATCAGGCTGAGAACGCCATCAGGATGCCACCCTGCTAGATTGCCCTACTAGCACGTGGCTTGAGTAAGAAAGCCATCCAAAAATTTGAGTCAATACTTACCATGAAGTTTACCATCATTTTTTCTTGAGGGTGTCTCAATGTCTAGTATTCTTCACCATTATTTCACCATTATTTTTTTTATGATATTTAATAGGTTGCTAAATGCCCATTTTATAATTTAAGCATAATAATAATATGTGCATCCGGCTTATAGTACTATAAAAGGGATTTTAGGGTTTTTGAATATACTGGTCATACATAGTAACTTTTACTGAGAATATTTTGAATTCTATCATATTACTTAGACAGCAATCTACCTTGTAGGTAATAAAAAACTGAATTTTATCCTCATTAAATAATATCTGAGTTCACACAGTGTTTTTTCTTCTATTTCTCTTTCAGGAAGCTAGACTGAATTTTATTATAACTTTCTTGGTTTTGCCTATAACAAATCAAGTGGCGCCCTTTGTCATTCAATAGTCTGAATTCACTACCATTGCTCGCCAGACGAAAAGCTGCTGTGCCTTGTAAGCTCTTATGCATTTTTTTAATTTGAACTTCACAATATTTTTCCAAATTTCATAAGTTTGCTACAAATGAATAAAATGTGCTGACAAATACACATCTCTTTATGGAATGAATTCAATTTAATCAGTACATTACAAAAGCACTGTTTATTTATTTATTCCATATTTTCTACTCACTTTTGCACAAAAAGTGTCTGCTGCCATCACAGGATTAAATATATTGATTTATCTATATTTCAGCTTTGGACAATATATTTGGAACAGGGATTGAACAGTAACATACCGATCACAGAAGCCTACAACGTCACGATGAATATCCTGTTCGATTTTTGGGGAAAAGTAACACCTTGTATATTACAGTTGATCCAACAGTCCAAGATGGTATTAGCAAATATCTGGGAAATAATGTTTCAATTAAACAAAAGATTTTCAATTCCAGCTGAGTGAAATTGTGAGTCTCCATTTTTTGAGTATGATAGAAGCCCTATTGGAATGCCAGTCAACATTTGTAGGGAAGTTAATGCCTCTTTGGACCCCTGTTTTATGTTCAAATCAAATACAAGTAAGTGATATGATAAGCCCCAATTTTGCTACCTACTATAGAAGAGTGCATCTTAATACAAGAAATTTAGTGGAAATTTCTTTTTATTTCAATCTCATGGAGTTTCAAACTTTCACCAAAGTTGAAAGTAAATGTAATAATTCAGTTGTTTTGCGTAGATACTATACTACATATCGTCGACGAAACCCGAAAAGTGTGTAACTCCATCTCGAACTCCATATAAGTAAATTTTGCAGGAGAGCAATGAGAGCATTAAAAAAAAAGCCAGACAAGGAAATGAGGAAAATTGTTCTTCTTCTTCCCTTCAGTTTGAATGGCCTTAGCTGGAGGAAAATTGTTCAACTCCTCTTGTATAATTTCTTCTTCTTCGAAGTTGTTTCTTCAAGGTCGGCCATTTTGTGCTACTGAGGCTAATCACCGACGCCGGTGAGCACACTAACCTCAACCGGAAATTTTGCCGAATCTTTAACGAGTCCTACCTTGTGCTCATTGATATGGTAGCTATGATATGATATGCTATTTCGCTGTATAATTTAACGCGTTTGAATGAAAAGTAGGTATATAATGGAAAAAGGAGGACGATGAAATATTCTACCACCCACCTCGAGTCTCATATTCATGTATATCAGCAGTTAGATGCTATTGATGACCGTTTTATTGTATATTCCACACCCTTCAGGAGCACAATTTTTCCAGTACGGAGTTACACGGTTTTCTGAATGACCGTTTACACAGATAAATATGAATTTGATTCATCAGATGTCCTTGAAATCTCAATTTCAGTTAAAAGTGGAGTTGCACTTTTCGGGTTTCGCCAACGATTACTCATGTGCTTTTTTTACTCTTCATTGAAAATTATGAATGAATTACACGAAAAAATCAATTATATTAAGTTATGAGTAAGTAGTTAAATGTTGAAATCATGCACAAAAATCTCTGAACACCTCTTTATAATCTATGTTAGAAACAATCTCATGCAAGTTAAGATGGCATCAAGAATACCTACTGAAATTTGGAGTGAAATGTTAGCATAGTTATAATAAGAGGCATGCAACTAAAATAATATACATTTTTGTCATGAAGTTGCCAGGACATCTGCAGGTGCGACTTCAGAATTGCCGGAATTTTCCGCCTACCATTTTCCAAGAGGCTAATCCGGAAAAATTGAAAATCGCCAATCATCACAACCCCATGCTACTGAAATGGTTGCAGAGGCTACAGTTCAAAATGGGACAAATTGAGTTGCAATCATCAACAGCTACACAATTTTATTCATTGTAACTCAATTTTGTTTTAACATTGTTATATAAACTCTTCAATTTGTAAAAAAACAGTTTTACATAAAAGTTGTGATAAATTAAAAGAAAAAAAACTAACCAAGGGATTTTCAAACAAATCAACATATTTCCTTCTTCAACTTATCCATAATTTCCTTTGAATCCTTTGAACCCAATGGACATAACTGAAAAACAAAACATCAACCTTCTGAAATCTACCAAAAAAATGTTTTGCTCACCTTATCAAGAAAATAGGCCACATCTAATTTGATTTGTTCCCTGATTTTCATTTCATCAGAGTCAGTCTGTGGGGTAGATTCATCACCAGCATTTGAAGTCCTATTTTTCAATCTTCTCAATGACTCTTCAGTTTTACAAACGGATTGTAGAACCCCTTGAACAAGACTAAAATACCTGAAACACAAAACACATCAAAGAGTGTATAGGAAGCTGATAATTTATATATCTTACTGTTGACTCACTTGCAGGATCACTTTGTTCACAATGTCCTGTGTTTTAGTCCTCATACAGTCTTGGAATGTTTCTTGGAAGACTATAATTGGTTTGAGTGCTTCTATCATGTAAGTGCTAGGCTCTTTTGGGGTGCTCCTGTTTGTTCTTCTATAAAGTCTTGGAATAGAAGCAACATTTTGTAGCTGTGAAGAAATATTGCCAAATTTGATGTTAACTAAGTGATTAGTCAGATGACTTTGCACTTTCTCAATGCTCCCTTTATTTGACTTCAATACTCTCAGAATCACTTGGCTCATGCTATGGTGTACTATTTTGAAAACAGTGTTTTCAATATCAGAAAATTTGATTATATCAGCTGCTAAGAATTTTTCTACTACTCTGAAGTCTGCAAGAGAATCCATTATGAACTTCTCTTCAGCTTGCTGATCTTGGAAACCAGCCTGAAAAATGCAAACATGTAAGGAAGAATGAATACCAATTATTGATAAAAAGTTCTTACTTTTATGACTGTTTCAAACCAAATAAGGTATCTTGACAGTAACATCATTGAGAGTTTCAAAAACTGATCAGCTAATTGGTCTAAATAAATATGTTCATGAAAGCATTGAGAGACAGCAGTCCATAACCCCAAAGTAGGCCCTAGTTTGCAAGTCAGCTCATTGGGTGAGCAGTACATTTCACTATGGTCTACCTGTATATTATTCTCAAATGTTCCAGCAATCTGTTGATAGCGAATTTCAAAGTAAACAGGTAGATTGAACCTTTTTAGATGCTCTTGGAAAGTTGTATCTTGGTAAATGAGATTTTTGTCTTCACATTTTTCAGCAATTCTGAGAAGGACAGCCCAGGTACTTTTGAAACGTTTTTGAAAAAGTTCTGGATTACCAGGAGCTGTGATGTTGGGTAAACCTTCTCTTGATTGCCTATCAAATTCTTTCCAAAAACTGTTTAGTGCAAATTTGTAGGACCTGAGGTCTGGATTGGTTACTATGATTTTCAAGAGAAGTGACATTTTGCTATCCAAGAAATTTAATACCTGCTGGTAAATTTGGCAGAGGTCTTGATTCAATTTTTCCAAATTGGTTTCTGTGATAATGTTTTTCATAAATGGGCGAATTACTTTAACCTTCAATATTTCTTCAGCTTCTTCCTGTTTGTGTAAATTATCATACATTCTCAGACATCTTGTCAGAATTTCAGAATCATCATTTTTCACAGCCTCCAGGAAATTAACATTCACCATATGCAGCAGACTGTTCTCTATGTTTCTAGTCAGATCCTTTATATCTTCTGACATCAGGCCTAATTGAAATATGTGGTTACATTGGAAAGAATATTTACAAACAATTCTTTCCAACACAAATAGGTCTTCAAAAGAATCCACAGAAGCACACAGCATTTTTTCTATATATACTAAAGATGAAATAATTCCAAGTTTTAGATGAAAATGGTTTTTCTTCAGGTTATTATTCTTCATTTCATTCACCATTGTCTTGAATTCATTTTCAATGGAATCAATGACTTTGAACAAGGTCTATAAGGAAAATACATTAGATATTCTGTGAAAACACACATTATCAAAATATTCACCCTAACTTCTTCTTGCAATTGATTCACAGGAAGGGAGAGGTTTTCTATCTTTGAGTTGAGATTAGTCAAATATTCAGCTAAATTTACTATAGCTTCTGTTTCAGTTTTCAGGATTTCAGACATCTGCTGATGTAAATCAGCTCCATATGTCTTCAGGTCCCTTCTCAGGGTCTCCAAATCTGATTTTTGGGTATATTTTGACAAACATTGATCAACACTGAAATTATCCTGAAATAAAGTATTGTCGTCATTTAGTACTTATTTGATTGAAATCTACGAATATTCACTTTGAAAAATGATTCTTTCCATGCCAAATTCTCCCTTGGATCCATTTCAAATATGTTTTTTTGTTAAATGTTTACTTTATTTTTGTGTGTTGTTTTGATTGAAAAGTTAAATAATTCGGAATTTGACGTACAGTTGTCAAATGTCATAACAACAAAGGTGCCATAGAAATCAGAATGATGGGTTTGAAAAAGAATGACATACGTTGTCCAGTAGTGTCTGTGACTTGACAACGATTTCTATGCCTGGAAGCTTGTCAGTGTGGCATTTTTCAAACCAAATCTTTTGATTCAATTTTAAAAAATAGTGATGTGATTAGGTGAGATACACATTTTTTCATTTTTTTTTCTCCACAAATAATATGCGCTTCAACCATTGTGATAATTGGTGCAGGAAAAAATAATGGGTACACACTACACAGTATCCATAATTTAAAAACAGATTTAACAAAAAAACTTTATTTCAACAAAAAATTAATGGTCAATAAAATACAATGATATAATTCTATAAAAAGAATGTTTGAATCAGTAAAAATTGATTAGGTATAAAGAAAAATATTTTCCAATTAGGAAGGTCTATTGAAACAAAAAACATTGACTAGATTATTCTTCTTGTAGAAATATAGACTGACCCTCAAATAAAATGTACTTCAACAGATCATCAAAATTCAACAATTTCTTGGTATTCCACATTGAAGCATAATAATTGTTCCAATCTGGGAATACAAAAATTATGGGTATATCATTTATATTTACAAACCAAATAATGAAAATTACTACCTCTTTTTCTGAGGATATGCTTCACTGGAACAAGAATTATCATTTTTGAAAAAAGGTCTTATGTTATGACTGTTCACAAAATATTATCCACTTTAGATGAACTGATCTCCATATTCTTCACCACACCTATGAAATAAAATCAATTCAGTTTGATGACAGGATAATATTTGTTTTTCATAAAATCAAATTCTGGCGGTTTCAATGATTCCTTTTTATGACCACCAGCCAACAACTTGAGTACAATAAAATTTGTTTTACATATTTTCAATAATTCTGTAATTTCGGAATCAGCGGTTATGCTCTCCAACAACTGGCGGGCCTGATGAAAATGTTTACAGCCCGCTATATACAGAAACACGCTGTCCACCGGTTGCTGTTGAAACCTTTCAAAGGAAGTCATTTCCCTGAATTCCGCATAAACAACTGGTGGAGGTGTGAGCAGATTCTGGAAAGGGGCGAATCTGTGTTCATACCTAACTTGTTCATTGTCAAAACGAGGATGAGGCATTGTCAATTTCCCTTCTAAACGGAACCCCATCAAAGCCTGAAAGACAATTGAGCTCTTTTCTATCTTGAACAAGAGAGAGGAAAGTTCTCTCCTCTTCCATCTCTCTCTGCAATGCTACCAACGTGGCCGCATTGAAATATAGAGAGGTCCGATAAATCTTTCCTTGTCTAACATCTACTTTGTGCGCAGAACTATTTTTCAATTCAGCACAGTGTCAAATTTAACGATATCAACAAATTATGTCAAAATAAGTATGATATAAATCAAAAATTTCATTTCGAAAATTCGTAACGTCATCAGTCAATGACATTCATGACATAGACATATCACGTCATTATAATATCGAAAATAGTTCAGTGGCGCAGACTAGAGGTTAGACAAGGAAAGATTTATCGGACCTCTCTTTATTTCAATGCGGCCACATTGGTAGCATTGAAGAGAAAGATGGAAGAGGAGAGAACTTTCCTCTCTCTCGTTCAAGGTAGAAAAGAGCTCAATAATTAGAATAGTACAGCATTAATTTCAGATGAATGAGACGAGTACCAATATAGGCAATATAACATTCACAAATATTGTATTCTTCCGAATTCAAGAATACAAATTATGTGTACACAAAGTGTCCCAGAACAACGTATCATAAATTCAACAGGAAGACCTAGAGACGAAAATAGGCGGATTGAAGTCAACTTACCTTTTTATGAAAATGCACCATTGAGCTGTGAGAGAGCCTTGAAGAATAATTTTATTCACAGATTTTCTTGAATATTTCAAAATCCTTCAGAGGTACTGCTCTAAAATTCGTATGGCTATTTACTACCGTGAATGTGCATTAAAAACATGTCATATTAATTCAATTAATATACAGGGAGATACGTATTTCGCTTTTTTTATGAAATTTGATATAACTTTTAAGCCACTGACTATATTTAGATATTTCAATGAATGACAAAAATGATTATCTAAATTTTTTCCAACTGCAGTTTTTCTTATAATTTTTCTTGGCTTTTGAGATATATAACATAATTAATGTTGGTGCTTCTCCATACTTGTTCATGATGATGTCTCAGGATTATCATATTTTGCAAGTTTCTACCTCATTTATGCTGAGTAACTAACAATTAATAATCATGTTTATGAACTACTTCAGCACATAAGGTTGTTGGTCATCTTCAAATTAAATGTTATTTCTTGAAGTTTTTTGGAGGTAATTCTGACATTATAAACAAGTATGGAGAAGCATCAATATGAATTTTGTTAGATATCTCGAAAACTAAGAAGAATGATAAAAAACTGCAGTTAGAAAAAAGTTTGATAATCAATTTTGTCGTTCATTGAAATATTGAAATATGGCCAGTGGCGTAGTCCAAAGAAGTTACATCAATTTTTATCAAACAGAATGTGAAATACTCATCTCCCTGTATATTGAATGAATTGTTGACATGTTTTCATGCACATTCATATAAGTAGTTTGCCCTACGAATTTTAGAGCAGTTCCTTTCAAGGATTTCAAAATATTCAGGGAAATTATGTGCATAAAATTATTCTTCATGGCCATGCATTTTTGTATAGAGGCTATGATAGAGGTAAGTTGATTTCTATCAGTCTATTTTCGTGTCTAGTTCACCCTGTAGAATTTATGGTACATTGTTCTGGGACACCTTGTATATACACTAATTTTCAAAAGAATTCCAGAAATTAATCATCAATAAAAAAAATAAACCTCACCTTATAGTACCCTCCACACATATTCTGTAGAGCCTGTAAATAAATGATATCTCTGTTGTAGGGTCTAGTCCGCTTTTTGTATTTAGTTTTCTTCTTAGAAGTTCCTTTATTCCTTTGTAATTCATTGAGAATCTCATTTTCAACCAGAAAACTATCAGCTCTTGATAAAGCTGATATCAGCCAACCATATAAAAATTCATATAAATACCTGAAATATACATTGTGAGCCTGCTTTGTGTAGGCATGTGTGAGCAACTCACCAATAAATATAGTAAAATTCGTGTACACTGTAAAGTTCCAATTCAAAACCTGCTAAAAGGTACATTATCATTATCCTCAATGTGTGGTATAATACCCAAGTTCCAAAACAAGCAATGTGTGGTCTTGATAATGGAGAGTTAACAGAAAGATTGTGTAAATATGCATCCACACGTTCAGCCTAAAAATACAGACATACTATTTTTCATCCATAAAGACAAGACATTGCTTTACATCAAAATACACACCTCATCTTGTAGTGTGGTAAATTCATCTAATAAATGAGCTAATTTGTCTCTCTGCCTTGCTCTGTTGTGACCACAGAGTTGCAAAAAATTTATGAATGGCCGGGAACAATGAGTAAGAAATGTGTCAACAAAGTACTTAGCCTGAAATATTGGATTTTAGAAGGGTGGGTATCTTTGGTTTATAGCGTACTCACTTCCACATTACTCATTAGTGTTTTTGATAGTAGAGCAGGGGGACAGATGAATGCTTTCACAGCTTCTTTCAATATCTCTTTGGAGTTTAAAGGATTTGTACCAGGATACAGCAACTGTAAAGCAGACCTTGATAATATGCATGGGCTGGATTTGCTGAATTCGATAAAAAAATCCTAAAACACATTTGATTACCTGTTTTTTTAATGGCAAGAAGCTGACATTATTCATACCAGGGCTTGGTGCAAAGAAGATATCATTTGAATTTTACTAACTATTTTGAAACGCTCTGTCATTTCAATGAAGTATGATATAGCTTCTGATCTGGACTTGATTTTAGTATATCTTGGAAAAGTGGGAGGTAATAGGCGCTGGTTTATAGATGGCTCAAATCCCAGTATATATTCATGTTCAGCTGGAAAAATATCAATACAAAATAGTCTGATATTGTCATTGTCAGAGTCCTATCACTAGGAAGATGACAATATATGGCATAACCATATTATTCTTCACATCAATTGGAATATCAAAATTAAAAGAATAGTTTAACAGAAACAATATCATTTCAAATTAGGGATGTGCAATGTAGTTCTGGATGAATGTATGGATTGTGTTATTTTTTATAGATTTAGCTGATTGAGCTCATCTAAACATACATTTTGTAGATTATGGTAGGTACAATATTGTATATCTTTCAAATCATACATACAGTCTCTATTTTGTACACCCAACTCAACAGTTTCTTGAACCACATAAAGCATTTCTAAGCAACTGGCTAACAGTCTTTGACTGTCAGGTATAGATGGTTGATCATCTTTTTTGAAAGAAATCAGAATTTGCAGGAACAGTCTCAAAAACTTAATTCTTGCAAATAAAGCTTGTGTTTCAAGATTAGGTTTGGATCTAGTTTTTCTATGGAGATCTTCTTCAATTTCTCTAAGCATCCCAATCATACGTTGTTCTGAGACTTCAGGATTCAAATGATAACCATACTGCATGGGTTGGAAATCCTCTTCCTCATATACCATTGCACTACAAAAAAAGAACATGTTTGAATCACACAAAACCTACTCAGTTCCATCATTCTTGGCCTGTACTACTTACTTATGAACCAAATCTTTGATTATTTCTAATAGTTTATATATAGCTAAGCAGAATGCTCTCAATGTCCTGTCTTCTATCATGTATGGTTTGTGCAGGTACAAATTGATGAAAACTGTTTGTGCTAAGGAATGCCCTTCCAACCAGGAAACAACACAAGCAAGAGTACCATCAATTACACCTATTATTTCTGCATCTTTGAAATCATGAAGTTTGATGATATTATCCTTGAAATTGAGAGAAAATGGGAATTTCATATTATCATTCATATAATGCATGCCAACCTGGACAGCTTGATCAAATGATATTATTTTCCTGACACCACGATTGCACAACATCCCAGCATCCATTTTTGGGTCCATCATTTCTATTGCAGACATGGCCTCAAAGAGCCCAAACAATTCGTCATGAAGCAGTTCTCCTAATTTCAAATCTGCAAAAATATGTTTCCATGAAAATGATATCTTAGAAATACCTTATATATGATTATTAATTTAGTGTTTCTTCTTTTCAAAATGATTGATACATTTACATGCAATTCTATTGGATCCTGCTTTTATTCATCAAATTCCACTTTCTAGCAGAGCTGAAGAACAGTGAGCCCTGCCCAACTGTAATCTAATCTAATGGGGTAGAAATGTTTCTGTAATTTAAATATTGCAGCAGCCGTATCCAAAATTCCAAATGGATGCATTCTTTCGAAATTCTAGTAATTGCATGGTATCACCTTTTACTGTTTCCTGAAATGTGGCTGTAATATCTGTCCAATTTCCATAGAGCCTCCATGATGCACAGGAATGAGAACTAAAATCAGTTTATTAACCAATAATTGTTATTCGCTTTGATAAATGTTGAATACACCTTACTATTCATTTTCCATATTCCACAACAAGAAGTCCTGTAGTCCTGACCCTTAGAAACCTCCGAATTCCTAAAATTTATAGGATTGTAAAACGAAAACCCTAACCTATATCATCAAACATCAAAAGTTGATGTTCGAGTTCGATGCCTATATTCAGTCCAGTCCAGTTTGGATTCTGTGCTAGTGTGCTGCTGTGGCTGTGGCACGCTTTGTCAAGAATCCTTCCGCTACCCCACCTACCACGTCCTTGACCTTCATCAACATTTGGAATTGGAAAATGAAAATTAGCATGTTAGCAACTAAAGTTGTAAAAGGCATATTTTGATACAGTATCCTCTTCCCAGCCTCTTATTTTGAATCTGAGTATTCAGCAGTATCATAAATTCTGATTACCCAATTTTTGGATTCGATGATTGAGAATTTGAGAATTTATTTGATAAGAGTTTTAAAAAATCCCGCCAAAGCAAATGTCATGCGTCTACAAAGTGCACCGAACTTCAGGTTATACTGGGCATCGAGAAATCAGAGAATGAAAACGTCGCTGGATCTGGATATGTCCAAATTCGTTTTCTACCGCCGTTAAAAAGAAAAAACCAGCATAATCGTGTTAAAATAATGAGAGGTTAATCCCCCGAGAAGAGGCAAAGTAAAGTACAGTAGCGGTTTATGTTCCAGTGAGCCGATTCAGTTGAGGAAACAGCAAGAGGATTACAACCACATTGATAAGCAAAAAATGGCAGCCTTACCACGCAGGATAATTAAAGAAACCCAACGATTAATGCAAGAGCCAGTGCCGGGAATCAGCGCTGTACCTGATGATAGCAATGCCCGTTATTTTCACGTCATTGTGACTGGCCCAGAAGACTCCCCCTTTGAAGGGGGCCTGTTCAAACTAGAGTTATTCCTCCCAGAAGACTATCCTATGTCGGCTCCTAAAGTAAGGTTTATAACGAAAATCTATCATCCTAACATTGATAGACTTGGTAGAATATGCCTTGATATTCTTAAGGATAAATGGAGTCCAGCACTTCAAATTCGCACTGTTTTACTGTCTATTCAAGCCTTACTTAGTGCTCCAAACCCGGACGATCCTTTAGCAAATGATGTTGCTGAACTGTGGAAAGTGAATGAATCAGAAGCTATAAGAAATGCCAGAGAGTGGACTCGCAGATATGCTATGGACAATTAAAGTGTGCTCTGAACAGACACCAGTAATAAACATAAGCATTCTACTTCTGAATTAGGTTTATGATTATTTAATTTATATTGTTACAAGAGTAGAATTTTTATGTTTCCTACTATAGCTGTATCCAACAATTCTGATACTAATGTGAGACACTTGTCAACATTTAATGAGTATCTTAATGTTTCATTTTCAATTGTAAACAAAACTATGTTTAAAATGTATATTATCAATTATCTTAAGTTTTTGAAATCAGTTTGCTTTGAATCAGGAATCCTTTTTTACTTCTTGAATTTCATCCCCTGATCTCTGCAAGTTTTGATGTTCAAGTTTCATTATTCAGTTCAATCATTATGGGTGGAGAAGTATTAAAGGATATTTTCTCTTAAGCTTATATCCTGTATACTTTAACAACAATTCCATGCTTAGTTGCACATGAAAGATGGATTTGTAGTTTGTTGTGTAAATAAAGGTATGTAAGGCTTTTTACAAATAAATTCTTTTCACAAAAACCTTCAATTGTTGTCCATTTGAATCATGAATTCATAGCCTTACAACATCCATAACAATCTGTGCTTGTAAGAAGAAACTCAAAATTTGTTATTGCCTCTAGTGCAAAACAGACATACATCTGTAATTGGGTCTTATGACCTGTTGGATGTATTTACAAATAAATAAATAAAAACAAAATGAAATTCTAAAACTAAAGTCATCCACTGTATAAAGCACAAGTTACCAGGTACATGGATAGCCCTGTGTCAAATAGCCCCAATGTATTCTTATTATGTAAAATGAGTTTTTTAAATAAATTTTATATGATGTCACAATTTTATTCAAAGAAATCTTATTCCTATTCCCTTTTTACAAAGAAGGTGCATAATTGACCTCTTCAAATTAATCTCCATCAGATAAGCATGTTTTCATATACCTACTCTGAAGTCAGATGATACTGGATAGTCTAATATTGCAAAGTGCAAATGATTGGATAATTATTTTATGGCCCCCTTCAATTTTTTTACAGACAGATCCATATAAATAATAATGATATGTTACAACCAAGTGATTCACCCCTTTTCAATTCATGCAGGTGATAAATAAAACAAGATTAGTTTGTAATTATTGTATTTTGTAAATATTTGTTACACATTAAGTTTGTAATATACAGACTAAAGGAATGCTAAGTAGGTATATAAGTAAAATAAATATTACTCCAATTGTTCTGTTATAGGCATTGATATGATTGGATAAAAACTGTTCAACAGGTAATAGAAATGAAAAATATATCTAGAGGTAAAGAATGTTGTCTATTCAATACAAGAATTTGAATAATAAAAAAAAATCGTTTCTGTACAGTAAACCATAACGTTCGATAAAATAAGAGAGAAATTCAACTAAAAGAAATGTACAAATAAATAAAGTATCCACAAAAACAAAGACTTCATATCACATTTCTCTTGACGAAAAAAATATATTTAGCTACCTACCTATTCTTTAAAATGTGATGTGAATCACTGGATTCAAATGAATGAAAGCGACAAAGCTTACAGTAAGTAATAAGGAGTCCCGGCAATTCAGTGCCATATGACGAATATAATAATATAATAGCCTTCTTGTCAAACAAAAATATATTTTTTAGAGGATCATACAATGTGTACAGGACACTGTTCACAATTCACTGTGTTATTTCTCAGTTACAATAGGAATTCGCTTCATTTTTTGCTATACACGTCAATGTAAAACTATATTGATGAATATAAAAATAGTGATTTTTGTTTAGTCTAGTAGATTCCGAGCTAGTGAGCTAATTCTTCCCCAACTTTTCACTACAAAGAGCAACAATTCCATTGAAAAGGTTTGCATCTTACTACCACAATATCTAATGAAATGAAAACACTAGCCAACAAGTTTTTTATGGATATTTATGCATGAGGCATATTATATTACCCCCAAACATCAAGATTGGAACATTTATACAGGATAGGTTTTTATTTTGAAAAATAATCCATGCATTTTATAGTGGAAACAGCACAGTGACCTCTGAACATAACTAAATAATATGTAAAATCATTATAAAAACTCATTTATATATAACCTCTATTGATGCTGACTAGATATATTACTATATAATAAATTTTGAGCCAGCATATTGAAGGTTGGGGTAAATTGAATATTTCTTCATAAAATCAATAAAGTTACTAGGTACACATATAATACTCAGTTATTGATCATTTCAATTTGATACAACTCGAAAATATCATTCTACTAACATATATCACAGGAACCATCTAATATAGATTTTAGAATTGATACATCTGAGATTTTACTACTTGATTCATTTTAATAATCTCATGTTATCTAATATTTGAGAAAACTTGTTGAGCCAACATTTACTATGCAGAGAAACTGTAGGTATGGGTAAAACATTAAAACACACAATTATTAGAATATTGGAACACTGACCAAGGACACTTGTAAATATTTTCTTCTCTCTGATACATTATAAAAATTGATATTCAAACTAAATTTCACATGAATTTTGTTTGAATCTTCATGTTTATAACAATCCAAATCTCGTTATATCAACTCTTAATCAAACTATTTGGTGATCTTTTTCAATGAACCAGAAACTTAAATTCTAAGGAAATGACGCATTTGTTCTATGGTCGAGTTTTTTTTTGTCCGATCATAGGAAACATGGAAGGAAATATTCTTTTATGCCAACCAACAGTCTTTGGTATGCTCTTCACATTCACGACAAATAAATAAGTTTAATGCAGTCATTTTAGATCAGAATTTGACGGATATAGAAAAAAATCTCAGTATTTCATACTAACAATTCTCAGAAGGTAGGATTTGAGTTTCACAAAGAGACAAGTCTTTAAATTGAGTTTTGGAGCATTTCAAGGACGAAAGAGGTATTCATTAATATTTAAATAGATATAGAAAACATCTTTGGTTTGTATTTCACGTACTTGTTATTTTTTTATCTATTATCTATACAGGGTGAGTCAGTTTTTTGTAGCAGGACTTCCAACAGTTTAAAGAAGACATTTTTTCAAGATGAAGATCTTCTATAAACATATATGCGTGGGAGCATCGTTTCCGATATACATATAGTTTCAAATTTTGCACAATTCTAGAAGTGTATCATTCTGTAGGTATTCAAGAACGCTCGATAGCTCTAGATATTGCGTTTCCAAAGTGTGATAGGTGTACTAAATTTCAATTCATTATTCTGGAAATTGTAGTAAGAAATTGGAAAAACACACAAAAAATCTCAAACTTTGATATCCTGTATATCGGAAACGAAGCTCCCACGCATATATGATTACATAGAATCATCTTAAAAAAAATTCTTCTCTCAGCTCTTAAAGTCCTGCTACAAAGAACTGACTCTCCCTGTAAACAGAGGGTGTTTCAAAACTGAACATCAAGATTTCAGGAACTCATTTTTCAGATCAAAATAAGACTTTTTTCCTATAAAAATGTGTTCGTAAACGTTTCCTTACCGATCTACAGATCGTTAAAATTTCAAGATTTTTTCTTTTTCCTTATAGGGATTCCCTTTCGTGCGCTCCAAGCGATAAAAAAAAAGGTTTGAAACATAGGTTACGTTTAAAGGGTAATATAATACAGTATGCTGAGTGATTTTAAGAAGCTACAGAGAGATATTTTTTGAGATGAGTTTAACGTTGGGTCAGGTTCGCACCAGATAACGGTCAAGAATGCTATCTGGGACAGCCCTGAAGAGAGCCAAGAGCTCGAAACCGGTCTGTAGGTAGTGACGCGTTCCTGAACCACGATTTTAGGGAGGAAAGTAGTTGTTTTTCTCTCTTTATCTACCATTTTCGTTCATTTTATGAACTATTGTGGTGATGACTATGACGAATTTCTCTCTCTTTGTGACCATTGCATTCTACTTTGAGTATTTGACTTTTTCCTAGTTAATAAATATTTTTCATAGTTCACTAAATTCGATTGAATTTTTGAACTAAAGATTTAGTTTGTGATTCTAATTACAAGTTTCCAAACATTACTTAAAGAATGAAAAAACCTAGCGAAGCATGACTTTTTATAAAAGATGCTGGAAAAGAAAAAATCTTGAAACTTTGCTCTGTAGATCGGTATCGGAACGTTTTTGGACAGATATTCATAGAAAAAAAAGCATTATCTTGACCTGAAAAATAATTCCCTGAAATATCGATACTGAATTTTAAAACACCCTGTATAACACAAATTAGAGCGCATTTTTACACGTCAAGAGAAACCAAGTTTCATGAAAACCAGGAAGGTTTTTGTACCTACAAGAAAAATGGCTTTACAATTGTTTGAGTTCGGAATTCCAATTTTGGATTGTGAAAACATCAAGATGAACCATGATCATCGTATGAATAAAAAAATGATTTCATGTGCTAGAATCTAGATGATCAAGAAAATGTGAGCAATAATTTTTAAACCTATACAACTCCTAGAAATAAGTATATTGAGATATTTTCGCACAACCAGGGGTATATGGACGAATAAGAATCCTCTGAAAACGAGCAACAGAACCTGAGATTTTTTTCTCAACGTGAGCTAAAACGAATGAACTAATGACGCGACAAAGCAGAGATATGGTCTATCACGAAAGCTCAGCGCAAACGATTTTGTGCAGAGCGCAGTTCTTTTGCTTGTATTGTCTTCAGTCTGTAGAACTTATACTAACAATAAAAAATATATCGATCTGCGACTCAAGCATTATCAAAATCAAAACAATTCCCAAGGACAGTTCAATATCAACTACAAGTAGGCACTTTCGAACCTTGGTTTATTTCAACTTAGATGTATACAGGATTCTCTTGACCAGTAAGCAAACGAAACATGGAAGTCGGCATTGTTTTCATCAGGATCTGGAAAATAGTAGATTGTTCTATTAGGATCAAAAGTGACACTTTGTTTGACAAGCGAATTTTCGAGTCAAACAAAGTCACTTTTGAACCGAATGAAACATGCTATTTTTTCTGCAACCGAAAGAATTAACTAAAATAAATATTAGTGGAGTAACCACCAATGTGACTCACTTGACAGATTATTATAATGAAGCAAGACCTCAGACTACTTCACTTTGTTAGAATTTGTGTTGACATGCATCATGTCATCAGATACTACAGGCACGAATTCAATACAACCGGAAAAACGTGGATACCGAGCCCCATGTATGCAATGCAACAAATAATCCGTGTGGTGAGAATATCCTACCTGCATTTACAGATCAGGTTTATTCAATTTTCAAGGATGTTCGAATTAAAGTTTCGATATAAATACAACCACAGAGTGGTCGATGAATTCATTTGGGCCAGCCCTAATAGAAATAATATAATAATAATAACGATTATTTAGTTCTCTCCATATTCCATTGTGTTTGGCTCGGTTATCAAATGAAGCTAAACAATATCGTTGTGTGAGGCAAAATAGTATTGCTGGCCGTGATTATTCAAAAACAAGTTATCCAATCAATCAGATCCCGAGAATAAAGGAATGAACTACAGATCGAGCAAGAATGTGAATCTTGAAGGCTTTCCTGATCAAAACAAAAATTTTCAACTATCTGCCAAATCTGCCGAAATCAGAAACAAATCAGGTATGCGTCCCAACCCATAAAACCAACGGTCGTTTATTCTTGATGACCTAGTACATCCTTTTTAGTTCCTAGGAGCCAAAGTTCAACTTTAGCTCCTAGAAACTAAAAGCGTTGCCTAGCAACATAGCTATGTTTGGTATCAGTAATAGAAACGTCAATTCAAGAGCTAATTTTGGAATTGAATTGGACGACTTTTGTATATTGGCATTCAATTTGCTACACCCTAACCCCGATGATCGTCTTTATTGGGCGATTACCCTTTTCTTCCCACTTTCTCAGTATTTTTGGACCGTGCGACGTGATCGGATTAATTTTGCAATTCAAAATTTTCCGAAAAACTGTGGTTTTGAATTATTAACAACAACAAGTCCCTTTGAAAAACAGTAGGGATTTTCGATAATCATCAATGAAAGGAGATGTATTAGTTAGGATTGCTATCTAGTAGTTGACAAACAACTAGAGACAGGACGAACCAAATATTGTCGCGAATCTCCTCTCTCATTGGCCGGAATCGCTCGCAATATTTGAAGCGTTCAGTCTCTAGACGCTAGCGGCTAGTGTCAAGTTGTGAGAGGTCAAGGTTAGGTTTATATAGAAAATGTTTGTTTGAAATGCCGTTCATACTAAAATTCTTCGATCAAAATTCAGTGCCTATCATCATTTTGCCTGAAGTTTAGAGTTGTGTGCTATTTATCCCTGAAGTAAGTCTTTTCTATTTCATTTTGTTTTATATTCGATCAAATTACCAATGAGGAAGCAAAATACAAAAACGAAAACATCATGTTTTCGCTCATCAACACAAATATTTCAAAACAAATCAAGAACGTGTATTTTGAAATGACTGGAATAATTGAGTTAACAGTTTACGTTCGCAAATCTGGTTTGAGGAGCCCGTTTTTTGATAACCCTCAATAGAAATTGAATGGAAGTTTAAAATTGATGGGAAATTTAGAACATAATTAGTTTCATAAATGAACATTTTTGCTCTGCCGGGGAATCGATCTCACACCCTGAAGATCGTGAATAGAAGGCCGCAATTGAAAAACAACCAACTAAAATGCTAATATTAATGATAAAAAATACTTGTTCGTCGACCTCTACAACAAATTACATCTTACCTACTAATTTTCGAATTAAAAATCGACTGTTGCCTTCGAAAATAGTGTTTTTTTTCAATCAAAAATTATTAATTTTTTGTAGAGGTCGACGAAAAAATTCAATATGCACCTCGGCGAAAAACTGCCAATTGTCTCGCCTGCTCCATTATAACAGACAGTTCTTCGTCCTTGGTACATAAATAACTAATTCAATCTACTTACTTCTCCCACCGAAGTGGCCAATAGGTTGACAATTTTCTCATGAGGAACTGCAACTACACTTTGATTATTTATCTCGATAATCCTATGCCCCACTCTCACGCCTCCTCTCTCTGCAATACCACCACGCAGCAGGCTGCATATCTACGACCGAAATACTAAAACAACACAGCCAAAAAATGACCTTGAAAACTTACGACCCCGTTCTGCACGCTGAACCCAAGCTGATACTTCGTGTCCGGCCTCTTTATCTTGACCTCGACCACCGGAGCGCACGGCACGACGGTCAACTTGACCACGGTTTGGTTCTTGGAGTTCTTTATGTACGTTTGACAGGTAGACAGGGGCAGTCCCACGAGACTCACGCCGTTTATCGCTATGATTTGGTCGCCGATGTTCAGTTGGCCGCATCTGGCGGCCGCCCCACTGGGAGCGAGATTCGCTATTACAACTGTTGGCAGCATCGAGCCCCAGCCCGATTCCACGATGACCACACCCAGGATCTCCCCTTTTGCTTTGGGCACCACAACCTGGAATAAAATTCGGGATGCATATAAGAATACATTTAGATGAAACCTTGAGAAGTCTTAGCGAAAACTGAAACAATAAATCATGAAACATCATACATTATCCGTAATTATGCAATACTACTCGATTTTCTAGACTTATGAATAGGATTTTTCATAGTATTGAACATCGGCGACCAGATGTTCAGTTAGCTACATCTGGCAGCCGCCCGGCTGGGAGCGAGATTCGCTATAACAACTGTTGGTAGCATCGAGCCCCAGCCCGATTCCACGATGACCACGCCCAGGATCTCCCCTTTTGCTTTGGGCACCACAACCTGGAATAAAATTCGGGATGCATATAAGAATACATTTAGATGAAACCTTGAGAAGTCTTAGCGAAAACTGAAACAATAAATCATGAAACATCATACATTATCCGTAACTATGCAATACTACTCGATTTTCTAGACTTATGAATAGGATTTTTCATAGTATTGAACATCGGCCACCAGATGTTCAGTTAGCTACATCTGGCAGCCGCCCGGCTGGGAGCGATATTCGCTATAACAACTGTTGGTAGCATCGAGCCCCAGCCCGATTCCACGATGACCACACCCAGAATCTCCCCTTTTACTTTGGGCACCACAACCTGGAATAAAATTCGGGATGCATATAAAAATACATGATGATTTTCTAGACTTATGCATAGGATTTTTCATAGTATTGAACATCGGCGACCAGATGTTCAGTTGGCCGCATCTGGCGGCCGCCCAGCTGGGAGCTAGATTCGCTATTACAACTGTTGGCAGCATCGAGCCCCAGCCCGATTCCACGATGACCACACCCAGGATCTCCCCTTTTGCTTCGGGTACCACAACCTAGAATTAAATTCGGGGTGCAATTGATAAAAATACATTTAGATATATTCCACTGATAAATTGATCCAATTAGCAATTTGAAAACACTGAACATATTTCAAAATCAAATATTTTGTTGACTGTGGACTAGTTGCCAAAACGTATAAAACGACGCAAGTTAGATCGAGATTGCGGCGACGAAACCGAAAGCTCAATTTTGCTCAAAATATTAAGAGACTACTTTGGATACATCGCCGAAAGTAGTCATATCGCCGAAAGGAGAGTATTCATAAATATGGCGGTACCTCCTCTGATAAAGGAATATAATCTATTACATACCGGGTGTCCCAGATATTTTCTTACAGTCAATACCTCAATTATTCTGCTCAGAATTTTAATAAGGATAAACACAGAAGAGGAATCATTATGTTATAATGTTCATAATCTTTGGTTTAATTTTTTTTTCATTTTTCAAGTACAGAGCCAGACATGATAAAATCCGATACTTTTGACCACCTATCCACTGGAGTTTTTCGGCATAATGACCGTTTCAATTCCATTTATTCCATAAAAACATTTGTACAATACAACGTGTATAAACAAAACTCTTTCAAAGGGGACATTGGACATGATGAAAATGTAAAACATACAATGTAGAACACTTAGATACGCCACAGAATTACCCTCCAAAGGAGCCCTCAGAGGCGGCCGATGCAGGCCTCGCCGATGATTTAACAACCCTGATGAAAGTCATGGGGAAGCTGACTCCTAGGAGTATACCTTCAATCCAGTTCATGTCAGTGAGTTGCCCAGGGCAGAACAGATTGATCGTCAATTGCTACCTTGTTCTTTCTAATTCAGCATTTTTGTGTTGGAAAATAAAAATGAAGAACCAACTTTCAAAAATTCTCTGTGGAAGACTCATACATAATGACCATTTTTGGCAGTGTCCCCCAACCTGTTTTGGCGTTTTGACCAAAAATTCGGCGACTTGTACATTTAGCGAACTGTCATGGACACCCACCCAAAGTCTACAAACAAGTAAAATACTTCAGAATAAAGATAATAATATCATCATGTTGCTTGCCTTCTCTGTGGCTCTCACTGTGATGCATACTTTCAACAATTTCCTCAACAACTTCCATCAGGAAATGTTGAAATGAAATTCAAGCAGCCGTTACCTCTTACCTCTTTTTGCATTTCTTTCTTGGCAAACATCTGCAACTCATCACCGAATATTTCCTGGGAATTCAACACTTCTTGGTAGTCCATTTCTTTGACGAAGCTGTGGTCCTCGATGCCGTTGGCTTTCAAAAATTCCATGTAAGCCACCTGGAATGCTTGTCCGATCGACTGGGCGATGAATTGGGCCTCTTCGCTTTCGAAAACGTGGCATATCATTTTGGGGGTCCGATTGATTTTCGGGGCCTCTTCCATTTCGTGAGGCACAAACCTACGTCTGGCCATGAGAACCACCAAGTCGCCTATATCTGCTATATAGGAGATGGTTCTCAGAGCGTGGTCCATCATGATTTCCTTGAGATCTGTGTTGAGGACCATTATCTTTTCCGTTGAGATAAATAGGTCAACTTCTGTGCTGGGCTGGGTTTCGCCATCAGGTGCCTTAAAAGAGATCGTTTTGAGTCCGGGTTATTTTGTGATGATACAACAAATGCTTACCAAAGCCTATGAATCCGTTAGAAGCAGCAACAAAAAATTTTTGGTTAGTAACTTTTAGCATAGTTAGTAAACATAATGAAATAATGTCCATGAGATGATAGAAATTAATGTCAACTATTATCGAAGGTATTGGTATCAATAAATTGAAACTAGTAATTCAATTATGTGATTCGATAATGTATTTCATTTTATGAAGGAATGTTTTCAACAGGAAATTAAATAACCAATGAAGTGAACTGTTACGGAATTGCCTATTGAACCATATTGAACCTGTCATTGATGAGTTGACAAAACAAATTCTTGAAAATAGTCCCTCTGTGAACTTTTTTGAAAAACTACCAATTTTGATATTGATATTGGCGGTTGAAGAATCATCAAGTTGACATAAAACAGACCTTAATTTTCGTTACAGCTACTTCTACCATATTTTTCTTGAGCCTTTTTCTTCTTTTTCTACCCCCTTCCTCATCGACCTCAACAGAACCGAGGAAATGCAGATGGAAAACTGTCCCGGTTGTCCCAAGCGGATTGTCGTTAAAGTGTGGCAAACCCTCTGTATAATTACTTTTCATTTCTTGCATTCACAAAAAAAAATACATGAAAATATTGGCATTTTCGTAGATATAATAATCATTACATAGGATACTTGCAGAATGATTTAATGTATTAGCAACATTTGAAAAAAACAATAATCGAAGAAGAAGAAGCAAAAATGTAAACTAGAATAATTCGGATAAATCAATTTGTACAGAAAACTCCTGCACTAATTTTTCATGACTAATGGAAATATTTTTATTATTTCAGAAAATAGTTAGAATACAGAAAATGTTCCTAATGGCTTTGGACTTCCACAGTGGGTAAGAGAATACCATTTTTATGATTAATCAGACATTCTACAAGAAGTAATGATATTTATATCATTCAAACATTGTTAATTGAATTCAAGTTTCTATGTGAATGACGAACATTAAATTCTCACCAGTGTTAATGGGTTGCAAGGTATTATCTGTGATCATTGCAGATTCCTGTAAGCTCTGTGACTCATCTTCAATACTATCACTTTCTGGGCTACTTGGTATGAACTGTTGCCCATAAGTTTGAATCATTTGGTTGGATACCTCCTGCAAGGTTTACCTTCTATCACACTACCAATTTTTTTCATATTATGTTTGCAATCTATTTTTCAATCTATTTTTTAACATCTATTACAACATTTAAAAACTGATATTTGGGGTATACAAGACTGACTGTATTTTATTTGGTGCATTTCTATGTACAATTGGAAAAAACATCCAAAGCAATGGACAGAGGGAGTGCGACATAGTCTCTCTAGTGAAACCCAGGTAAAACATGAAACAGGCAACCAACCAAAGAGCACAAAGGGATTGCCAACTGCAGAAAGGTAGAATACAAAAAAAACAGATCCAATAGGCAAAGTTACCTAATACTATCATACTAATAATACTAATACTAATACTATACTTCATTCATAAATTCCCGCAGATCAATTTTTGTACTCGAATATTTGTTCCATTCGCGATAGAAAATAAGCGTACGCCACCTATCGGAGTTCTTGTAAGCTGTCAAAGCGGCATGTTTACTTTGTTTTCATTGGTTCACATTTGTTTTTTGTGTGCTAATTGGCCATTTCATCAAAATAAACCGCTCAGAAGTGTCCAAGTTGCTGCCGTCAGGTGGGGCGACGTGTTATTTTCTATCGCGAATAGTAGTAGTAGTGCCGTTGAATTGTTTCATCAAAAAATAATTTTCCTCAGATGAAAAATAATAATTGAATAATCAATTGAGTATAGAAATTATTGAATGATAAGAATAGCAAATGTTTGGATCATTTTATATCGAAACCTGAATTTTCATTTCTTATTCAATGTATTTCAGTCTTTGTGCAGTTGGCAAAAAGCGTGAACCCACATAAATATATACCGGGTGTCCCAGTATACCTGTTCCAATAGATTATCTCAGCCATTTCGGAAGATGAAAATTTGAAAATCACATGATCTACTACAATTCTAATAACTTGAAATTATTGTTGACGTCGAAATGAAGATTACAAAAATATCGTAGCCTACTGCAATTCGGTCAATTTGAAATTTCAATTGTCGTTTTCTCCATCAAATCAAATTTAAAATACGAAGTGTGATACATCGTTGGGACGGTAATTTTGAGTAGAAATCAAAAGTTGCAACAAATATACAGGGTGCCATTTGAAATAAAAAAGTAAGACCGGAAGTGACTTCCAATTTTTGGTTGTCCTCAGTTGAAGCTTCCTCGAACGAATTGGAGATCATGAAATTTTCGAATTTTTATTTCTCGAAATGGCTGAGATAATTCATTGGAACAGGTATACTGGGACACCCCGTATAGGCACAAACGTTGCACATTTGGGAAGGGGGGGGGTCAATTTTTTTCAACACCCAATTTTCACAGTTACATTTGTCCGTGCTGCAACATGCTTCCTTGAAGTTTGGCAATTCTTAGGGTAGGAGCAGCTTTAACGTTTAAGGGGATACATAATGCTGTTTTGTTCACAAATGACAGGTTGACATGCTTTATCGATATGTACACATATTTTTACCATCAAGTTAACAGTGGGTATGACATTTATCAGTGTGAAATACCGTTTCTGCCATCAATTGTTTATATGCATTTTGTTATACTGCTATGATTATTTAGTTCATATTAAGTAGATTCATTATATCATAATAATGATTCAAGAAGCAAAAGTTTAATGAATGGGCTAGTGGATTGATAGTGAATAATTAGCATTCAATTACTCCACTGTGCCGATACGGACCTGAATTAATTTTTGCATCACTTCTTACGCGTTTTTTATGTAAATAATGTGTCTATATGCGATGTTTGAAATTGTTGAATTTCAGAGTTCATTTTGAACGCGCCGTCATGACCGCCATTTGGCATTGTTCTCGAATACGTCCGATATACAGGGTCGCTGATATGTATGGAAACAGGTGAATATCTCGGTAACCTGTTGTTGGATTTTTTTGAATTTATGTACTGTGTGATTTCAAAACGAGGCAGATTTGAAAATGTTATAGCCAATGTTGCCACTTTTTCAGTTATACCGGATTTTCTATTAACTTCCTTATTTTGAATAGAACACCCTGTAATTTATTGGATTTTCAGATTCTCCCTGAAGAGCTAATTCCATCGATCTATCACACTTGGGGTCTAGCAGGAATGAATACATAGGTATAGGGTGTTTAAAATCTAGATTTTTCAACTTTACTATTTTTTTGTGTCGAAACTATTCATTATCGATCAAAACCGCTCCAATGTTCCCATCTTTACTTCTGATTTACTATCTACTGACATTTGATTGAAATAAATACAGGGTGGTTCAAGATTCAGAATTCTGATCACCCTCAGTATCTGTTCCAATTAAATAGTCAGTAGATGGTAAATCAAAAGTGAAGATAGAAACATTGAAGCGGTTTTGATCGATAATGGATAGTTTCTACACAAAAAAATCTTGAAGTTGAAAAACCTAGATTTTAAACACCCTATACCTATGTAATCATTCCCGCTCGACCCCAAGTGTGATATATCGATGGAATCAGCTCTTGAAGAAGAATCTGGAAATCCAATGAAGTACAGGGTGTTTCATTCAAAATAAGGAAGTTACTAAAAATCCGGAATAACTGAAAAAGTGGCAACAGAGGCTATTACATTTTCAAATCCGCCACGTTTTGAAATCACACTGTACATAAACTCAAAAAAATCTAACAACAGATTGCCGAGATATTCACCTGTTTCCATACATATCAGCGACCCTGTATAGTGACGTCAGTTATTATGCTGTTTCATTATTGTTCAGATAATCTTCCATTCCCACTCATTATGCCAGGTTGCCAGTTCACCAATCATAATCAAGTTATCAAATAGTTGTTAAGAGCCCTATCGTTGAATAAAACTACATCCAAACAAAATAGTTCATTGGACCTAATAGGACGAAGCCATGATATTATAGTTATTAATTTGGGAATTTTTCGAGCAAACAGCTTGTCAAAATATTTCTTATACTCCATAACAAAACATTATGTAAATATTGGCTATAGAGACTTGGCAATGCTGTGCTGAGTGCTTTGAACTGACAAGACAACGGCCACAATCCTGTGTTGTCACGTTTACAAAACCAAATGTCCTCTTGTGTGAATTAATATAATCATTACCAACACAAGTTTATCATAAGCAAATGACACAACATATAAGAGGTACAATTTTGAGACAATGGATATTACTAATACATAATTAAGAATTTATGAATGAATTGATAAATGAATGATATTTCTGAAGTTCTCCTTCGTATTTCAATTGCAACTGTGCTATGGTCTGCCTCTACTTACGAAAACGTGAAAGCGGTTTGAAAATTACTGTAAGAATATTAATGATTTTAGCTACTTTAAATCGATCGAAAAAAAATTGAAACATATGGAAATGAAAGGTAGTTGAGTGGATTCTATTTGAAAAAAAAAGTCCACTAACCCATTCTGAAAAATATTGAAAACAATGTTTAATCCACAAAAAATCATAAAGCAGATATGGTTTCGTGTTTATCGAGTGCAGCAAATTTGATGACAAATGAATTCCATGCATTACCTTTATTCTAGATACTGCTTCTTCAGCTTGCATCATTCTGGTAGTTTTCGTAGGTTGTCCTTCACAGACCAATTGAGTCGAACCCAAGTACTTTGCCCGAAACAGCACGCCCTCTATCAATACTGAACGTTGTATGACATCTGCAAAAAAGGCGAATGGTACTTTGGGAGAATTTGATAGATTCTAACACCGAAACAACTGGACGTCTATATGATGCATGGAACTAAATGGTGTTTTTACCAAATCGATACAAACCTATTCCAACCAAATTACGAGATCTTCATAATCCGTCTTTTGTTTCTCATACCTTGCATTCATTTCATGCATTTTTTTATACATTCTGATTATGCTGAGTGTTATATACAACGTAACATACAGTAACATACGAAAAACTTAAATGATCGACTCGACCTCCTTTCCTTTTTTCTTTGCAAAAGAAATACGGAAATTTGTTGATTCATTTGGGAATTCTTGCAAATACGATCCTGCTACCATATCTGAACAAGAATACCAGAAGCTGAAATTGGCCTTTCAGCTTTTCATTTTATGAATCTAATGAAATCAATTATTCCTTATAAAAACGCTCAAGAATACAATAGAGAATTTCTTGATTGACCAAACACAAGAACAAATTGAGGTGCAGTGAAACAATTTTATGATTAATTTCATCAGTTAAAACCATGAGTTATTTTAGTCATTTTTTCAGTTCATGTAGGTGGAAACAAGCTGATTTATTTTTCGTATCTTGATGTAAATCACGTGGAATAATATCACACAGAATCGACGTGTGAAAAAAACATCGGATGATAGTTTGAAATTTGCATTTGTTCGGAATGTATGGATTTGGAATTGATCCATCAAAAATGTGGGTATGAAAACATTCTTTTTCACATTCCGAGCAACTTACCATAAAATTCCAAAATGTTTCGCAAGTTAAATAAAGTAGTTATATTGTGACACGAGGTAGTAAAATTAGATTAAGTGAAAGACTTACCTTCTTTATTTCTCCCTTTCTTTTTATTGTCTTTATCCTGAAAATAAAGATGTGTTAAAAGATATTTATGTATACGTGTAGAATGTTGAAACTGGTTATTTACAAAAGTTATAAGCATCTAAATGTACATTCTTATTTTATTAGTGTTGAATATTTATCAATGTCTTTATTGTGCAATCACTAGACTGGGTATGAGGAAAGATACAGGGTGTTTCATAATATATGCGCAGGGTGTGATAGCTCATTCAAAAATATGAGAAAAAGTTCCTATGAACTCACCTGTGAAATGCACCATCTCCGAGAGACAGGGTAAAGAAATTCATTTAAAAAAATAGTTTTTTGAGAATGACTCTGGAACCGTTCATCGCACACAAAATAGCATTTATAAGCATTTTCTACTCATAATAGGCTGTTTTGTGCGAATTTTTTTATTTCTAATTGGTAGGGGGGTAAGGGGTAGTGGGTGATTTTACGCCACTGGAAAAAGTACAGTTTTGAGCCGCCCATTCAAACCGGCAATGTTTTCTACACAAAAAAGATACTCTTGGTCATTAGCTCTAAAGTTGACCGTTTTCGAGAAAAACCAACTGTTGTATTGAAAAACATGGTAAATTTTTTGAATTATTTTTTTTTATCAATTGAACAAAACAAAACCAAACGTTAACTTCATAATAATTGCAAAATTGAAAAAAATAATAACAAATCATACTCAAATTAATTGATAGAAATAATGTTCGCAGTTAGCTTAACTACACGCAGCAAGTCTTCAAAAAATTGACCAAAACTGTACTTTTTCCAGTCGCGTAGAAGTTGTGGAGAAAAACACCCACTAACCCTTCAAAATATCCAATTATGACTTGAAAAAATGATAATTCCGCACAAAACATAGCTTATTATGAGTAGAAAATGCATACCGGTTCCAGAGATATTCGCAAAAAAAATTTTTTTCAATTTCATCACCCTGTATCACGAAAATGGTGCGTTTTAGAGGGTTAATTAATAAAAACTTTTTTTCATATTTTTGAAGTCTTGCGTATATATTATGAAAAATCCTGTATATTAGTAGTAGTAGTAGTATATATATTTCGTTGGCCATCGACCGAACGAGAGGTTCTTCAGCCCATGGGTGTTATGTGTTGGCTTTGCTACTAACTCCATACGTCACCTTGGGAGCAGCACTGTTAATTGGAACGCAACAGCGAATCGTGCGGAATCGCTGTTGCGTTCCAATGGAATATATTATTTCCAAAAAGAACTTTCAATAAATCAACAACTTAAACCTAAAGAAGTGACAATTTTACAACCCTCAAACTTGTTTGGTTTGTAAATATGTACAGTGTGATTGGATTAAACTAAACTTTCATTACCTTCGACTAAGATTAATAAATGAATGGAATACAGTAAGTGCAAATATATTTAGGACTGTGTATCACTGTATGGAGTAACGTAAATTTGAAGATTGTTTTATACCCAGGCTAGCATATCCTATTAGTAAAATTACATTCTGCTGCATGCAACTCTTTCCATTCCATAAATGTTATCTACATATGAGTCGCATTGAGAAACCAAGTGTTAGGTTATCAGTGCCGGCTTAAAGTATTTCGGTCCCCAGTCCAAAATGCAATTCTATGACGAAAAACCATCCGTTTGATCATCAAAAATCAAAATTTTCCTACCCCCCCCCCCCGTTAAGCCGGCACTGTAGGTTACCAAGGAAGATTAGAAAGATAATATAAGCCTCATCTAATCTAAAAGAAATCTATTTCATGCGCAGTCTCACACCTTTTTGATTTTATTCGAAGAAATCGATCCCTTTTGGCTTTGGGGCGATTGGCTTTTTTCGGAAACAGCAGTCGGGGATGGGGGTTCGGATGATTGTGTTTCAGGGGGGACAAGAGGTAGGGTACCTTCATCCATACTGTTTAGAATTTGTTTAGGGTTTGATAGACTTAGTGGAGGCATTATAGTCCGACTTTTAGGTTTTCTCCAACCCTGACAATATAAATATAAAAAAGGGGTTAGGGAGCATGCTTCATTTCAATTCCAAAGTTTTCTTATCTCAGCAAAGGTTATAATCTGTTCATACAAAATAAATCTGAGCAACTTGTTTTATCCTTTACCTAGTTAATTTGAAAGCTATTCTAACAAAACATTTCGTACCTTGTCATCGTAAAAACCTTGGTCATCTGTTCTCTGTTGCCCCAGAAGGCGGTCTGTTTCCAAATCTGTGTCATTCTCTTCTAAAATTCAACAAATTCCATATGACGTTACGATAACTCTCGAACTCAAAGAAAATTATTATCAATCCAAAAAGTAATACCGGAAATTTCCCATGACCACTTTTCAACTACTTCAAATTTCTCATTTAACTACTGTTTGTTCAGTCTGAAACTTCATTCGCATCATGAAAAACTAGTTGTTGAATACAAATTGTAATTTTATTTTGACGGAGGAATCATAATCTCCGACCCCGAAAATCCCCAGATGACAATCTTGAATAGAATCGGATCATAATTACAAAACTCGTCCGTCATATTGGATCCCCCATCTTGAATTTCCAAATTTTGACGAAAGAACCATAATCTCCGACCCCGAAAATCCCCAGACACCAATCTTGAATAGGATCGGATCATAAATACAAAACTCGTCCGCCATATTGGATCCACCATCTCGAATTTCCAAATTTTGATGAAAAAGAACCATAATCTTCGAGTCCGAATACCCCCAGATACCAATTTTGAATAGGATTGGATCATGATTACAAAACTCGTCCGCCATATTGGATCCGTTATCATGAATTTCCGAATTTTGACGAAGCAATCATAATCTCCGACCCCGAAAACCCCCACATCCAATTTTGAATAACATCGGATTACAAAACTCGTCCGGCATATTGGATCCGCCATCTCGAATTGAAAAATGCCCAGTCGCCAAATTTTACACCTTGAAACTTTTTTAATTGGAAAGATACGAAACTGTATCTGCTTCAATATTCGATATACGACAGAGAATATGATAAATATTTGTGGAAATATCGACGTAACTGTGTTCGAAAGTGTTCGGCGTGAAATATCGAATATGCTGATATGTCAAGAAGTTCAAGGTAACCATTTCTAGCACCTTCAGAACCGAGTGGTTTTGAGTAGACACATTCAAAAATAAAAGGGGGGCGACATTGAAGAAAAGCACTGTATCAAAACATACAAAAATTTGAAGGAAATCTGTTAGGGTAGAAATGACTAAAACATTTCATGATTTGACCCAGACAGGCAGACAGACAAGTCTTCAAGTTAAATAAAATATTGAATTTCCAGTGTTACTTTAAAGAGTTGTCGAAAATTTTTGAAATTGTTAAATTAACCTTCTTCAGCACCACTATTAGCTTTCCTCTCCGAATCACCGCTAGCAGTCGACATGCCCCTTTGCCTGAAATGACTTTTATAAATATTAAATAAACCGTTTTTCTTATACCATCAATAATACCTCGGTATCCATATGGGACTCGCTGCAATCTCTTCATTCTCCTCCTCAGGATGACGCTGCAAAGGTAATGTCTTGGTTCTTTGCAAAGTCAGCCTGATATCCTTTATAGCTGCCTCAACTTCACTAGGTTTTTCCCCTTGAATCAAGCGGTGGGGTGCTGGAGCTGGAGGCGGAGGGGTTTTTTCTGAAAATTCAATAGCAGACAAGAAAATTATTCGAAGGACAATACAATCGTTGCCTACTAAATTGCATTCCTGTTACGAAAAACGGTAATGGTATAAATACAGTGGGTCCCACTTACCATGCTCACCATGGGAATCTTTTTAACGGTGAGAGATACGAGGTCGGTTAAATGACACCAAATGTGGAGTTTGTCAAGGCCAACTATTATGTGAAAAAATATTTTGATAAAATCTATTCGTTTTTGTTTTATACGCAAAAAACAGATTTTGATCATTTTCATGTCTCCTCCGTAACTTCTTTATTTATGAAAATATTCTAATAGGAATTTCACATTCTTATGGCAGTTTTTCAAAGTGATCTCGAGAAAAATATGAAATTCATACCAACTCTTCTAGAATTTGAGATATCAGCACCAACTTCAGTTTTTCAAATGTAGGTCATACCTCAGTATGACTTAGTTACAAATAACTTTTTTTTCTTCTTACAGATGTTATGTCGCAGTAATAGTTTTGTGTTGATAACAACGGAGTTATCGTCATTTATACAAAAACAAAAAATTATTTGGAAGCCGCCATCTTGAATTTATAAATTTTGACAAAAAAATCATGATCTCCGACGTCAAAAACCCCCACTTACCAATTTTGAATGGAATCGGACCAAATCTTGTCTGCCATCTTGGAGCAGCCATTTTTTTTAATTTCAACAAAAGTTCCATAACTCCGATTAACTTGAAATTTGGCAGGTGTTCATAATTTTGGTGACAATACATTATGGAATTTTTGTTGAAATTGAAAAAAATGGCTGCTCCAAGATGGCAGACAAGATTTGGTCCGATTCCATTCAAAATTGGTAAGTGGGGGTTTTTGACGTCGGAGATCATGATTTATTTGTTAAAATTTATAAATTCAGGATGGCGGCTTTCAAATAATTTCTTGTTTTTGTATAAACGACGATAACTCCGTTGTTATCAACACAAAACTATTACTGCGACATAACATCTGTAAGAAAAAAAAAAGTTATTTGTAACTAAGTCATAGTGAGCTATGACCTACATTTTAAAAACTAAAGTTGGTGCTGATATCTCAAATTCTAGAAGAGTTGGTATAAATTTCATATTTTTTTCGAAATCACTTTGAAAAACTGCCATGAGAATGTGAAATTCCTATTTGAATATTTTCATAAATAAAGAAGTTACGGAGGAGACATGAAAATGATCAAAATCTGTTTTCTGCATATAAAACAAAAACGAATAGATTTTATCAAAATATTTTTCACATAATAGTTGGCCTTGACAAACTCCACATTTGGTGTCATTTAACCGACTTCGTATCTCTCACCGTTAAAATGATACCCATGGTGAGCATGGTAAGTGGGACACACTGTATATCTCGGAATATGTGGCTCTGGAATACCTTAAAATACTTTTTTTAGATTTTTTCCCATCGATTGATCCTACAAAAAATTATTGAAAACGCCAAAATGAACAAGCGAATTCAAAAGATTCTGTCAAGTAATTGAAAGTGGATTGTGGCAATCGGAAATTAGAATGATTCAAATTTGAATGACAAATTTACGTGCCATCTTATTTGTATATAACGACTGAAATCTTACCAAGTGAATCGGTTTGTGAAATAGTCATGGGTTCTTCAAAACTACTAGCACAACCATTGATGATATCGATTGGTGAAGCATTTTGTATTTCATTTGTGGGCGACAAACCATTTTCGTTCGTTTTTGTGGAATTCGATTTGCAAATGCCTTGGTTTATTTCACGTTCAATTTCCGTAATTTGCCGCTTCATGAGCATCACTGTAGGATTATTGTTATCAGTGTCACTAGCATGACCTGACGATAAACCATCTTCTAATACTGGCATACTAGAGTATAAGCGTAAAGAATCACTAGGAATAGCTAAGTCTGCGTTTGACCCTAAAAGATTATGCCTATTGAACACTACCGTGTTATTTTACATCTAGATAAATGCTTACCTAAGAGGCCACCAGAAGGTCCCATGTCATTTTCCATAAGCATTAGAGATACTTCACTATCTAAATCTCCACAATTAGAGTCACAGTCTGTTGTTTCTGGGGAAAGGGTAAAATTCCTACTATGTCCTACTTGTAGACCTACCTCGGTCTCACCTAATTCACCACTAGAACCTGTCCCAATAGACAGATCCAAAAAATTGTTGTCATGCTCTGTAATATCATGATCCTAAAAAAAAACGTTTTGATGAAAATTTTCATGCACTTTCGTTGTGTTGATGAATATTCAGGACAGTCTTTTCATTTATTTTCATCAGTTGAGGAGGAGACATGCAAAACGCATTTTGTCAATATTTTCCATATTTTTGATATAGGTGGCGCGGCATTTTAGGGTTGAATGGTACCTTTTTTATGAGCACTATTGGTCAGTCAATGAGTCATTCGATAAGACGATGACAAAAAACGGAATTTAGTCCATGTAGTCCTTACTTTCGAAGTGCATTTTGTCCAAAGCCAAAAACAAGGACAAAATGCAATCTGAATAGAAAGTCTTTTGTATGAAATAGAAGATCTAGAAGGTGAACTAACTGGTCATAGGGGAATATCAAAAACCCTTCAGGTGAACAATAAAAGTCGTGGGAATTAGTTCGAGTCGAAGAATAATCATTGAATGAGGAAAGAGTCCTGGAGCTGTGGTGAAATTTGAAATTTGGATATCGATTCGATGATCCTATAAAAAAATACCAAACTATGCTAAAACTTCGTAAACCTCTGAATCAAATTCAACTGCTTGAAGTATCATTGGGATATGGAAAAAATAAGAAGAACTAAAAAAATTGTGAGAATCATTTATAACATTATCTGAAGATTAATATGGTATGACACAGATACATAATTAAAATGGTTTACAGAAGTATTTGAAAAGGTTGCAGAAAATTGTAATGTAGAGCAAGGAAATGAAAATGCTTATGAATGCGCCCCATTCAACAAGATGACGAATGGTCACGTCAATGTGACGTACTCAATTGGTGATTTATCGTCAGTGACGTCACACACCAATTTCTGACGTCACTATGAAGTACTTTCTATGACGTGATAATCACGTATCATTACGACGTAGAGTAAACGTTACTCGGATGAGTAAAATAAGACGTCAGTTTCATGACGTTGCAGGGACATCGTGTCAACGTCGTGTTTGTATATAATTCGGTATGTGAGTGTATAATATATATACAGGGTGTCCCAAACTCGATGGCCTACTAAATATTTCTGGAGACAGGAACACAGGATCATTTTGAAAATTTGGTTTCTTCGGTAATCAGTTCTGTTCTGATCTAAAATATTTTTAGCGCTGCGGGGTTGCCGCTTTTATCGAAAAGTAGCAATAACTTTGTTATTTAGAATGCAACACCCAGTACCTATTTTATTTCATTTTTGGAATCTTCCTGGAGAGCGGATTTCACCGATCTATCACACTTGGGGGTCCAGCGGGAATGATTACAGAGATATAGGGTGTGAAAAATCGAGTTAAATCATATTTAGTAATTTTATGTGTCGAAACTATTCATTGTTGGTAAAAACGGCTTATATGTCCTTATCTCAACTTATGATTTGTCATATCTATTGTTGGTAAATGAAAAGTTAAGATAGTGACATGAAAGCCGTTTCAACCAATAACGAATAGTTTCGACAAAAAAATACCTAAAGTTGAAAAATACCGATTTTTCACTCCCTATATCTCTGAAATCATTCCCGCTGAGCCCCAAGTATAGCTGATAAAATCAGCTCTTCAGGAAGAATCTGAAAACGCAATAATATACAGGGTGTTATATTCGAAATAGCAAGCACTCTCAACAATGCATTAATCAATTTTAGATGTCATTTTAGGTCAGTGGTGTTTATGCACACCATGTTTGAGGAAACTTTTTTACGTTTTATCACCAAATTTGAACCTCATTTTGACGTCAGTTCGACCTCACCGTCAGGTGAGTGACTGACGTCCATATACGTGAGTAATATGACATCATTGGGCTGTGACTTATTCACGTCATTCATAATGTCATATGACGGCAACTCCTGACGTCACCTTGGTCATTCAACTGACGTAAAAATACGTCACTGAAACGTCATCTGGTTGCCTGGGGCGGATAATGATGTCAATGATTTTGTTTGAAATGCGTCAGATTATTTTTCGAAATTATTGAAATATTCAATTTTCAATTCAATTTCTTGCGTCAAAACTCACGATTGAGATACATAAAATTATAGCAAGCAGTCTTTTTCGTGATTAGTTTTTTTGTAATAGTTTTCTGCTCACCCTGAAAATATGTTACAATGGACAAAATGCAATTTGCAAGTCTGCTCCTCAGTTGTGAATTTACCTGTATGCTAGGTATGTTAGTGTTGTTCATACATTTTCTTGGGGGGGAATCAATCCGCATACAGAATTCATTCTCCCCCGGTAGATTTTTAGCGAGTCTCTGTCCCACATACGAATTGCCGGAGTCGCCGGCTTGTCGTCTAAGTTCGTACTCTAAATCTTGGAATTCCACCTCTAGTCTGTTTTCTTCCTCGGATGGGGGACATTTGAAGAACTCTTCTAGGACTTTTCGTGTTTCGGAAAACTCGTAAAGGTAATCAAAAGTCGAAGTTGCAGTGTTAGGTGGTGAAGTCTTATTCTGAAAGAATCTTCGATTGTACAGGGTGATTCACAAAATTTTTGAAATTATGTAAATATGCATAATATCAAAGTATCGGGCGTGTTTTTCATTCCATCGAAGAAAGTGCGCACTGATAGATGCGGTTTTTTGTCGTGACGTCACCAATTGTTCTGTTGGAATTTATGCTGGAAGGATTGAACAATGGTTTATACAACACATTGATGGAAACACGGATTTTGTTGTGTGTCAGTCATCATGTATCTTGAGAATCAGAAGGGGCTAATTAGATTTTATTGATTAACACTGACTCTTTCTTCTAAAATCTCTCGAGAATCTCAAAAATCCTCAATATTAATTGTTTTCTATCAAATCAAAACAAAAAACAACACTAAAATGTGTCAACTGTCATGACAATCTCCTCCAAACTGCTGGATTCTCCAAAAGCGATTTAAAAGTGCGCATTTTATTACAACAGTTTGATGGATGTCCATCAACAATCCAGCGGAATTTTGAAACAGTTTGATGGTTTCTTCGATTCATGCGCATGATAAAATGTTGGAATGAAAAACGCACCCATAATATAGAGGTTCTGAATTGACTCGGCCGTTACTTGATGAAAATCCATAGTAAATGTAGAAACTTCACAAACGATAAGATTTACACAACTTCTTGAGGTGAAATACAGGTACAATAAACTAAACTTACATTGACTCGCCTAATTTTTATATCTTACTTTCCGGGTGGCCGTCATATTGAACATCTATGTCACTATATTTTGTGTTACAATGTTATTAAACTGGTACTGGGAATATCTGTTGGCCATTATTAAATAAACATTTTTTTCCTTCGAAAATATGGGGAGTACGAAGTTTTTACAAAAGTTACAAAATGAAGATAATTGATCTGTCTTCTCGTTAAAAAGATTGGAGAACCGTATTACCACCCTTCAGAATGTTCTGAAGAAAATGTCATGGGGTGAGGGTAGTGTCAATCCTACAATTTCTTTTGGGTTTCTTTGATTACTGAAAGGAGAGTGACCTTCTTAAATGTCCATTTGTCATATTTCATTGAATTTGTTTCACTCTTCTCGCTTACGTTAATTATAATATATATAGTGTATTTCTTGAAAATTTGGAAAAGTTGAAAGCGATCCAAAAAAATTCTCTCCAGCAGAAAAAGCAGCATAAAGTACCTAATGAATATTTTTCCATGAAGTTTTTCGATGTATTCTGAATCCAGTGGTGGAGTCGAAATTCTACAAAAAATTGCCAATATTTTAGTATAGGTATTTATTGAAATGTAAAAAATATCATAGCAAGCCCTGGAAATAGAAATTATTTTTCGCCCATATGTACACCCAGCTACCACATCTCTGAGACGACACCACGGAGATATCGCGTTTAGGTAACAGTGCGATATCTATCACAAACGTTCCATCGCTGCGACGTACAGAAGCAAACTCATTTGCGAGAATTCTTCAAAAATTTGTTATTTAGATTCTTGTTCGGTGAAAAAGAATACATGAATATACGTTACTAAACAAAGTGAAGCTAAATTCGCAAACATTCGTTACATTGCTATAAAAAATAGTCTTGGTTTGCTTACATCTCGCCGACACACACTACATAATTTTTGAAAATACGAGTAACTTTGATCTCATTCTGATATAGATACGTAGGTACCAAGGATAGCACCGTTGAAAAGACTATTGAATGGACAAGGGACCTGAGGGACCACCAACTAGTCTCAACAACACATAATCAATATTAGATGTCATCAGAAGTCAGTGGTGAACACTTTTTTTTTTTCGTTTTACGCATCATACCATGGTTTTATCGCAAAAACACATCGCTTTTCCATCACGAATAACATCGCAATAACATTGCAAAAAATATATCGCAGATAACTTATAGCAGCGACGTCGCATGGATGAAACCTGGATGGAACAAGATAACATCCCTCTGACATCGCAGCGACGTCTATGCGATATCGCAGGTCACAATCGTTACATCGCTGCGATATCTCTGTGATGTAACCGTGTTTGATGGGTATTAACTGTATGAAGCTCTTTCTGCTGAGAGGGAAGTTCTTGAGATCGGTGTAGATGTGGATTTGATAAGGGTGCTCCAGTCTTACTCACGTTATAGGAATTATTTTCCATATTGAGGGTGGTTTCTCTGGATTCATTCTCTATGGGACTAGGTGTGCTGATAATTCTTTGTGGGAAACCCGGCCTGGGTGGGTAAACGCTAGGAGAGGCTAATAAGCTTTGTGCACTAGGAAGCTGCGGGTGAGAACAAATCGATTCCGTGTGTCTTTGACCATATCTCCGAGGTGAGCCTTCGTAAACGGCTATGGGCAAATTCCCTATGACCTTGGCGACTCTCTCTGAGTCCGTGTCGCTAGCATTGAACATTTTCGTGGCAGTGTGATTGGATTGATCCTTGTGTATCCGCCTCTTATCGTCCACATGCCAATTCTCGCCGATGTCATCGAAGACGACCACTTCTCCTGGGAACGTCATGTTTACAGGGCTGGTCGTCTCTACGACGGGCTCCTCATTTTGTTCATGTGCCACGGAACAAACTTCGGATGAAAATACTGTTTCGGTGTAGTCTCGGGAATTGCGTAGTTTTTTAGCCTCGTTTCGGCTACGTAATTCCCAAACCCCCTGTCTCATGGGCGATTTCGGGCTCTTCTTCTGCCCATCTTCGCTTGCTAGGGAGCTGCGAGACTTTCTCAACGCCTTGCTTCGACTCTGGGAATATATTTCTCTTCCGCCAGCTATTTCGATTATCCTAGAGGCAAAGTTTCGGTCCAACAATTTGCATTTTCATAAGTATACATGCAAACAATTAAAAATAACAACTCTTCTGAAACTTAATTGAGTTCTATTCCAATAAAATGAACTTTCAATGTTTCAAGATCTTACAATGATTTGGAACTTCATGACTGTAAATGGAAAATGCAAAAATTTATACGATTTAAGAAAGATGAATGGAAACTCATCATGATTCGAAAAACACTACGAACTGGTGAAGTGAAAATCGCTATTTTTTCATGATGGAATGATAGATTATTTTGCTTCGTCTAATTCAGCTATTTTTCCAAATTCCAAACACTTATTGAAAAGGAATATTCCCTGATGAATTATGAACATGAAAAAATGGACATATACCGGGTGGCTACGGAAGTATTGCCTACGGAATATCTCAGTTATTGTATGAAGTAGGTTTGTGAAATTTGGAGCGTCGATATAATGACATAAGAGCTAGAATTTGAAAATATTGACATGTCGAAGTTAACTTCCGGTCTGACCGGAAGTAACATCAACTTTCTTATTTTGAATGGAAACTCTATTTTTTTTTTCTTCTCGCTTCATTTAGCTGGTTAATACCAACTTGTGATATGTCATTAGAAAGGGAATTGAATGCTGAATAAAGCGAAAAGAAAAAAAATAGGGTTTCCATTTAAAATAAGAAAGTTGATGTTACTTCCGGTCAGACCGGAAGTAAACTTCGACATGTCAATATGCTCAAATTTTAGCTCTTATGTCATTATATCGACGCTCCCAATTTCACAAACCTACTTCATACAATAACTGAGATATTCCGTAGGCAATACTTCCGTGCGCATTCTCTATGTGATGAAAATATCAATTTTTTCTCGGTTTATTCAAAAGAAAACAACTACTTCCTAGTCTATATATGCCACGACGAACATTGCATTATATCTATTGAGCACACGATAAGAATTTGAAAACAAAATCTTCTGAATTTGAGAATTTTCATTCTCCTTCAGATAAAAATATGTGTATATGCACATAATATCATTCTGAATATTCAACAGAAAATAACTACTTTCCTAGCTTTTTGCCACGTCGAAAATTGAATTATATATGTTGAAAATCTAAAAGGAGAGCAAATTCAGAAGATTTTGTTTTCAAATTCCTATCGTGTAATAGATATAAATCAATATTCGTCGTGGCATATAGCCAATCAAGGGGTTTAAACTTGAACGATGGAAACTTGTTATTTTTTTCCACCTCCTGCATGATGAATATCAATTTGTCATACATCCAAAAACAAAAAAATATCCAACACTCTTGATAAGTTGATTTTTGAGAACTATCTTTTTCGGATGTGTCAAAATTATCGAGTTGGCCATGAAAAACAAAAAAATCAGTTCGTACAGTGTGTTTCGTCATCAATAATGCTGGTGTTCTATCTTTTGAAATCGTATGAAACGCCGCAAAGTCGTAACTCCGGAATTATTCGGGATTTCTATAAATAACCTGTATTTTGAGCCCCCCCCCTAAACACCATCCCTTGCATGGTCCAAATTTTTTTTTTTTCAAAAACGCTTACTGATTTTTGTATCAACAAAATAATATTCTTTCTATTAAAGCATAGATTAACCGTTAATCCATGATTAAAGTAATGATCTTTCAGTTTAAGATTTTTTCAATTCTCAAAATGTGAACGTTCATATTTTTCTCTATACATATAATACAAATACATACACATAATCGAATAATAAACTTCGTGTACCTAATTAAAAACCAGCCCTCTCCATACTGTATACAGGGTGTGTCCCGTGTCAGCTTTTATTTCATGAACTCCCGGTTATATCCGAATAAGTGATCGTGCATTTTTTTGTTTTTTTTTTTTAATTACGAGATCTATGAGTCAATAAGGTTCTGAAACAATGGAATCATGAATCGCCACAATTCTGATTCTACTGATGGTTACCAGATCCACATTAGCAGTGGAATAGTTCGATATACTCGTATGAAATATTACACCGGAATAGCTAACTTACGTTCGTTTTATCGGTTTTATTTCCTGACATCAAGATATGATATAAAATAAGACAACTGAGCTAATGAATAGGAGTGCTTTTTTTATGATATGACAGTCCTTATTATTGCTGCATGAATCACTATTTTCCCCTTAAGACTTAAAACTCAAGATGTACAACTGCTGCAATAAGTGATTGTTATTATTTGGTCCGACGGCCATTAAGAATACGACGATATCAGCGCCTCTTACGGATTTTCTAAGAACAAGAACCTTGAAGTGTCGTCAGTTTTTCTCGTAGAATTTCACATTCTTACTTCCCATTCGGCCTCCCCTGGACATTAGGTCAGAGGAACCCACATCCAAAAAATGTGGTGCAAGTTCAAGTATCACAATCTATGGAGTCAACATTGACATTGAAGGAGAAGGTATATCAAGTTTTTTAGCACATGTTTATGGAAAGTTTCCATATCAAATTGAATTTATCAGCATTCTCCGAAGAATTCGTCCAAATAAACTAAATCACCCTGTTTTTTGAAAACTTAAAAATTATCTCTCTGAAATGGTAGAAAAATTGATTGAACGTTACCTCAAAAGTTGCATTTAAAAAAGAAAGAGGTTTACCCAGTTTTCTGGGAAGTTCAGAACCAATTTTTTCTTAATGAATTTGAATGGTACTTACAAGAAAATATTGAAAATTCACATTCTGAGCTTTTTCCAATTCCAGAAAAAAAAGTTAAGGGGGCTCAATTCAAATTCGGATACAAAGTTTCTCATAGTGATGCAACTCAAGAAAAAACTCATGCAAAAAAAATGAATGGAATGAGAGATGATGTCAAAAGTTCCTGTTTCATGCATTCAATACCATAATCAAACAATATGCATATCATATCTAGATAATATTACTGAGTAGAGCTAAGAAGAGGTGCAAATTAGAAAGGGAATGTAAAGATTTCATCAGTATAAAAGTACCTAGAATCTCGCAATTTATAAGTTCCCCCTGCATGTTTATGTTCTATAATAACATCATCATCATCATCAACATCTGGTTGTGCTGAGTGTAGTTGACTTACATTCTCTCTATCAACATTACAGGAACTATCAGCTAGCCATCTATTGAAAATTTAGAGTTTAAATAAAGTGATTCATTCTGAACAAATCTCATAAGATTGCTTTCGAAATTTCATGGACATGAGATGTGGAAAAAAGTGTATGTCAGTCATGTGTATGGTGTGTGCTTTTCAATACATTTTTCACCATGAAATAACAACAATGCTTTTATATTCAAATTTTCTCTCAAGAAAACTGAGTCACTGAAATAGGTAGGGTATCTGCTAATTGATATCCTGTGAATGACTAATTTCAGAGACATAGACGAACCCATGTTAGATAATAAATTAATTGAGTACATGATGATGTTATAATATGATAAAACGGTTACTCTATATTTAAGTGGCTATGAAGAAAACATCTGTTCATTATGATCCATATATATTCTGGGGTCAGATAGTGATGACTAATATAGTGCTATCGGAAATTATAATAGGGCAAAGAACATGGATCGGATAATATGATATAGGATATATAGGTACCTATTTTGACCACATAAAACTCTTCATGAAGCTGATTTATGTTCGAAAATGAAAAATGTTCTGAAATTAGTTAGAAATCAAATGTTCTGTTTCAATGGGAAATGTAGATGTCAGCGTGAAATAAAATTATTGTTTCTGTTGTTGAAGGGATGAAAATAAACACAGCTGTATGACTAATGATGGAAATAGAAATAGAATCAAATACCTATCATTTTCACTGTCGATATTCATGACAGTATTTGTCGTGTTTTCAATACATTCATGGTCTCTTCCCGAGGCTATTATAGGATTTAAGTTAATGTCGCTTCTTGGTCTACACTTTGGAAACAGTTTACTAATTTGTTCGGTATTTTCAATAACATCAATATTATCTAATGCCAAAGTCAAACTGGTCATTTCTATTTAGATTTTATAAATATAACATCCATAATACTCTTCTTGAAGACCTACGAATAAAATCAAACACTGTCTAGAAATTCAGAGAAGCCAGATAAAAAGGGAAGTGGTTATGAATCATTAAGCAATTAAGACAATGTGGCTGATGCATCTCCCGAATATAAGGAAACTCCCAATAATTGAAGTATGATCTTACCAATTTTCTAATAATATCAACACTTAACAGTCAAATGAAACCAAAGTAATCAACATTTGACTTAATTCACTCTCACTTTTAACGAAGATTATAATATCTATAGAGAATCAATAGTCAAGAAAACACTAGGACATTGATTTGGTCAACATTATAAATAGGGTACTACCCAATATGTATGATTTGTTGACAACACATAACTCAGTCAATTAGATTGTTGTTAGTAAAGTTATAAAATATTTACATGCTGACAGTTTTGTTGCAGTGTTCAACAGCAGAACACCAGTTTCTTTCGGTCACCAGACGATAGTCCAGCCCAAAATCAATATTTGAAGAGGCGGCGCACAAAACGTTATGAGTTCACCAAACTCTTTCTAAGGCTTCCTTAAAAATCACAGTTCTCTAGTGTCGATTGAGAATAATTTCAGTACAATACAAACGGCCTTTCATTACTGCAATTTTCGTTTCGAAATTTTTTGGTGTATTTGACGCCATGCGCCGATTTTCGCGACGTCGCGTCGCAATATGTTTGGTCAATTGCAAATGCAAAATTATTGAACGCATGTGTAGTAGTATATAAAGTTCTGCTGTTATATACGATTCATGAATAATGAGAAAAACAAATAGTCTATTATCGCACAATTTTCAATTTGTTAACTTCAAAGGGGAGCAAAAACCCGTGGAGCATTTCAAAACTATCGTTGGAAAACAAATCAGATTAGATTCGAAAAATGATGTACTACTGATCAACTTCTGATCACATCACAACTATACACTAGACAACCTACAAACTAAACGCCAGCTAGTTCAGTTCTAGTATGCTAAAGGGTGGTTAAACATGCATTACCTTTATTTATAATGAAATAGCCACTTTTCATTGAGAAATTGAATCAAACAAAAATTATACACAACTTTCACACCAAAGATGCCTGTTTGTTTATGACATTATGACAATGACATCTTATCATCACAATGACATGACTCACTCGGTGGAAGACTGACTTTGACATGGTCAAGTCAAATGTCACATAGTAGAAACCACAGAAAATTTCTATTTCTATTGTGGAAGTGGGAATTTTAAATTTCAATTTTCTGATTCCAAATTGAAGATTTAAAAACAAGTGACCGTTTGTCTATCTCTGCTTTTATACATAGAAGAAATCACATTTGGACTGTCAATTCAATCAATTAGTGAAAACTCACATGATTTCACGTCTTTCATCTTGGTTTGATTCAATATTGAAATTTTGTTTGAAGAAAATAATGAAATTGAACTAATAATTTATTTGGGTTCACAGTTCATATACACATCACAAAAAATCAGAAGGAATTAATCATCAACCATTATTTGATGAAGAATGTGTAGCTTTAGACATCATATGTTCAACTCTATTGGCAGTTTCTCTTACAACATCAGATAACTCTGGTAATTCTGGTAAGTCTAAAGTGATATGAGCAGATAAACGTTTGTAAACTGAATTGTTGTCTGCCTTTTTTCTACGAGATTCTTCATATTTCAATTGTTGTTTCAAAAATATTGCATTTTTCAGATTGTCTTGGATATTCTTGAAACTCTCCTCTGCTTTACCCATTGATCTCAGTGCACTGAAAAAAATCAGCTTCAACTATTTTCACCTCAGCTGATAACACTGTGATGTGGTGCTGCTAATAATACCCTATTGCATATTCCATATCATAGCATCTTCCTTGTAATTCAGTATGTAACTTGTTGACATCTACTCGTCGATCTACCATAGGATTGAGTGCTTTCCTAACATGTTCTTGTAGTCTATAGAAAGCCAGTGAGGGTTCATTTGCTACTATATGCATGTTCTCTGAAATCCTTTCAGTTGCTGAAATCAAAGAGATACTATGGCTGTCTATTCTATTTCTCAACAGGTAATACCCACTTTTACGAACTCTTGTTTCCAAATCAGAGTCGGCATTGAAAGACATTTTTCAAAATTATTGGTTCGAACTGAGTTCCAACGATCAGAGATCACGAAAAATAAATTTTCATTTTGAGGTTAAAACAATTTGAATGACACTGTTTTGATTTGAATTTGACATTTTATTTTCGTCTATCACAAAGTCACAAAATTTATGTGACTTTGTTTTGAGTTTTGACCACAGAACAATAGTTTTCACCGAGACCGAGACTTTGGGCGTGTTTTTCATTCCATCGAAGAAAGTGCGCACTGATAGATGCGGTTTTTTGTCGTGACGTCACCAATTGTTCTGTTGGAATTTATGCTGGAAGGATTGAACAATGGTTTATACAACACATTGATGGAAACACGGATTTTGTTGTGTGTCAGTCATCATGTATCTTGAGAATCAGAAAAGGCTAATTCGACTTTATTGATTAACACTGACTCTTTCTTCTGAAATCTCTCAAGCATCTCAAAAATCCTCAATATTAATTGTTTTCTATCAAATCAAAACAAAAAACAACACTAAAATGTGTCAACTGTCATGTCAATCTCCTCCAAACTGCTGGATTCTCGAAATGCGATTTAAAAGTGCGCATTTTATTACAACAGTTTGATGGATGTCCATCAACATTCCAGCGGAATTTTGCAACAGTTTGATGGTTTCTTCGATTCATGCGCATGATAAAATGTTGGAAAGAAAAACGCGCCCTTTATGGTATGTTCCGTAGGTTCACTTGGGTTATCTCATCTCGGTTATTAGTAGTTTTCCGTTCCGCAAATATGAAATGTTCGGCTGGTTCCAGCTGGTTCCTGTGAAAAGGCTTTTTTGCGGAACTCGATTGCTGATAAAGCAGTAGATTCACTGTTACTAGCAGAACGACCGTGGATTTTATCTGGTACGTTCGGTATGTTTGTGTTAACATTGACGTGTTCCTGTTTTCGATTTGGTATTCCGATTACGACGAAAAACAATATTACAATTTTCATTATTGCTTGCGAACACAATCTGTTTTTTTTTTCAGGATTCGCATGGATTATTTGTTCCCTGTTTCTTTGCGTCCTGTCTCTAGAAAGTTACCAGTCTCTAGATGCCTCTATTCAGGTCAGATTGAACTCGTGCTGTCCACAGACTACCTACCCTTCATGTCACAGATTCTCAATATTCTCTATTCTCATGTTTTATGTTTTGTGATTCTTGTTTTTATTGACAAATTTTTGTTTGAAAAGATTTAATATGTATTTGTGAAGCATTTAAACTCAAAACTGTGAAAATGTAAGGATTTACTAGAAATTGAGGTGGTTTTAAATAAGTAATTCATCTTCTAATTACTGTTGTGTTGGCTGCATAGTATGAGCAGTTGGGTGATATAAAAGCACTTCCTTGTTCGAAAACTATAATACCCTATATATTATAATGTTAACAGAAGGCAAATCCAAAAACATCTTTTTATTATGGTATCGTCGACAAAAAACAAATAATTGAATCATCAACGAAAGTGTGCATGAATGCAGAGAAACTGATATTTAATGGATTATAATGGACTTTAATGATAAGATTGAATTCATTCCTAGTAGCAGTTGTCAAAATGATGAAGGTATTAGAAGTTGCAGAATCAAGAAAAAACAAAACGATCCAACATATTGTCCAGTATGTAGTGTGACAATAAGAGAATCTGAAGTCAACATGCACTTGTCTTCTGAAATTGAAAGGCTTAACAAACTGCCATTATCAAAAATGAAGATTAATGGAAGACATAATGCTTCTAGTTCATCAAATGGCTCATCAGACAACAATGGAGATGTCAATTGGGAGACATTCCAGAAAATACGTTCTAATAGACAGACTAGACAAAGAATGAAAACCCGAAAAAGAAGAGCTGAAGAGACTTGTCCAATCTGCAATAAAGAAGTCAGTGAAGACCTCACACTACATGTTGAATTGTGTATCAGGAAATCTGAAACAAATGGTAGTGAGAGTGATGAAAATATTGATGTAGAAGCCTTTGAAGAATATGAGTGGGCTGGGCAGGCCAGAGTTAGAGCAACAAGTCTTTTCCAAGGTAGTGTTTCCAACCTAGGTACATCTATCAGTATCACAGATGAGGATCAGGACCTGAATGTTGATGGAGATGATACTCAAATGTATGGTTCACCACAGTATTCTGAATCTGATGTTATACTTCCTTGTGACAACCCTGAAAACTTGGCATTACACAAGGCTCTCACTGGGACTGATCCTAAGAAATTCCCTACAGACAATCCTGAGATAATTATTGCTAAAGGTGATCCAGTTTTAGAAGTACTGAAGAACAAAATTAGGGAATTAGAAAATAGAGGACAAAATAAAGATGAGGTGTATAAATGCTTAATATGTATGGAAAGATATAGAACTCCAGTTATATCAGTGTGTTGCTGGCATGTTCATTGTGAAGAATGTTGGCTGCAAACCTTGGGAGCCAAGAAGTTATGCCCCCAATGTAATATGATAACATCACCTGCAGACTTGAGAAGAATATACATGTAATTATTATTCTATTTATTTATTTTCTGATATTTACATGGGATTAAGATTTAGTTAATCTTTTCTTTACCTTAGTATTTTATTAAATATTTTTTCAAAATATCTAGCATTTTGAATTTAGTTGTTTTTTTTAAATCTGACAAATTTCTTGAAGTTTCACTGTTCCATGGAAAACAAAAGCAAACATTAAAGCAAAACTTATATTACCTCAATCAATACCTATTCTAAAAAATATATAACAGTGGTTAATTGTATTTTGTGCACATAAAATATCACAGGAAGATGTCCTACAACTAATAAATCACTAATAATAAATTGAACAATAACATAGGTATACAAACAAGAACACTAACAACAAATAAATCCTTTACCATTTCAGTAAAGCATTATTGTCATTTGTATAATTTGTATATTATTGATTAGTTGATTACATGATGCTTTCATTTATGAAAATGATAGATCATATAAATAATTATTGACAAAAACACTAAATGTTAATTCAAAATTACTCTACTTTTGTCTATTTCAAGTTCTCATGCAATAATACTTGTGCACCATTATTATTCATAAACACTGAAATAGATAAAGGTAGACAATTTTTTAATTAATCAAGAAAATTTGGTTCTATACAATAGTAACATTTTGAAATATGATAATGTTATTACTGTACAGAATAATCTATAGACCTAATGTCCAGCTTCAAGTTGCTCCTTTAAACAGGACTTCAAGGTACTCAAGAATATTTTTCTTCCATAGTCTGAGAATACTTTGTAGTTGTCATTTTTGGCAACTTTCATGAATCTGTCACTAAAACAATGGGTAATGTTAGTGGTATACTTCTACTTATGAAATACCTGATGCTCACTACTCTCTCCTAAATGATTCAGCTTCTCTTTGGAATATTGCATTCATGTCAATAACATTGCAACATAATTCACTGTCTGAAACAAATATTTAATTTATTTCTTTGAGCTTCTATTATAATACATGTATTGATATTTACCACAAGAATAGTCCAATATAGCTTTGTTAAAAATATCCATTCTAATGCGAAGTTTAGCCATGTCAGGCAGTTTTGGAGAAGGAATTAATGTAACCAGTGTAACCCTTGTATTTTTTTTCTTCAGTTCATTTATTAGTTGCCTCAAATCATAAATCATAGAATTCACATTCCTATTCTGGAAACATCAAAATTAGGATTGTATTTATCAATTTTGTCAACATAACATACCTGTAATAAGTCTCTGAATCCAATCATGACTACAACTCTAGGAGCCAAATGTACAGATGCTCTTACTTTCTCTGTAAGGCCAGCAATAGTTTGTCCAGAAATGCACAATCCACATTCTTTGGGACCTTGAAAAAGAAATATTATTCCCAATTTAATTTTGTGGAATGTAGAGGTTTGAAACATAATTTGTTTTTAAAAGTCTCTGTGGGTGTGAAATACAAGAGTATATAAGAGTACTGTCTAATAATGCACAAACAGTATATTCTTTTATGCTCCTAGAGAGCTTTGAAATAAGCTATAGTGCCTATGGTGGTGTCATGCAGTATATATATTTTAAAACTATATCTTTAGAATCAGGAAGGGTGTATATTGTGCTAGAACATCTCACCATTCTCTGAAACATAATATCCTAATTTAGTATCAGCAATGTCCAAGAAGAAATCATCACCCAGAGCTTGATGTTTGTAGAATAATGGTAACATGCATTCCTGAAAAAACATGTTGATTTTTTTATGAGCACTATGGTTGAATTTGATAACTTACTAGTTTTTGAAATAATTCGAATCTATCATATCCATTGATTTCAACAGAATTCGTGGAGCTGTGTATAAAAGAGCCTTGTGGTAAATTGTTGTGTTCAAATTTTTTTTGCCTTTTATTGTTGTGCATATTTTGGTACCGTTGACCTTCAACTTTTCTTTTGAATGTAAATCTCTTCTGTTTCATAATTAAGTCCTTAATATGTGTTGATTTCATGCTCTGTTGAATCAAAATATCGTTATTGCGACAATCCTTCACCAAGTAGATATCCGGTAAAGTCAAAACCCAAGATTTCAAACTCTCTGCGCCAAATTTTTTGTATGGAATAGGGAATCCACAATAATTTATAAACTCGCTGTCTAACTTGTCAAGCGGCAAACCATTACCAGATACATTGATTATGGAAATCAATATTTTCGCTATTTTCATTTCTTCACTTTCACAAAAATTCATTTTGAATATGATGAGCAACTATAGGGTTCACACTTACACTTCGCAAAGATGCAATACAATAAAAGTGATTTTCAATGCTGAAAGAACGAACGACGATAAAAAAAACATTGAAATGAAAAACTTGCTATAGATTCAAAATTCAAAAAAACTTGACAAGTTTTTATGCAGCATCCACCATCTATGTGCCGGGCACCGAAACCACAGGAGAAGGTTTAAGGAGTGGGAGTTGAGATTAAAGTTTATCAATTTTTAGGATGCTTAGTCACAATATCATTGTCACAATCACCTCATCTCTTACCTCATGGTACATAACCATTAAGCCAAATGTCATTTGATCAGGTTAGGTTTCGTGTTTGAGGTTATGATCAAGAACAACTGTTGTTTAACAACATAACAACTTTATTTTGAAAGTCTGGCTTTGGGTCCCTCGGCCCTCCTTGCCTTCTTCCAAGATTTTATTAGAGAGACTGAGAAATCATATGTTGATCCGAAATGGAACAGAAACCCAAAAGTAAGTATTGATCACTTGTTAAACTATTTTGTCTGAAATTTATACTTTCAGTTGATCCTGGTTGGAATGATCCACCAATGCTCAATTACACAGCTATGAACCCACCACCAAAAACACGAATAACTAATAAAAGGGTAGCTTTTCCAATCAGTGATGGTAATTCTACAATCAAATCAAATTTATTGTCTTCAAGTTCACCACCCAGCATGCCACCATTGGCCACCTTACCAACAAGCATCTTACATTCTGAAACTACTAAAGAGAATATTTGCAAGTTTCTAAAAAATGAAGAGGCCAAGCAAAATTTCTCTGAAATTTGGGAAACTGGAAAATTTTCTGAGGAGTGTAAATGTGATATTGAATCTTTAGCTAGAGCTATGATTGAACAAGATTTAGTTACTGTGAGAAATATAAAAGACAAACTCATTTTGCAGTCTAATGATTTGTGTGGACAGTGGTTGAATGATATTAATTTGTGATTCTTTTATTGCTTTTCATAAAAAATTTGCTTTTAATATTAGACCAAACTGCAGAAATCTTATCCAAAGATGTTATCTTCATTTAAAAAACTGTGGGAATCTTTGGCATTGTAGCTATGAGAAATATGAATTGAAACTGGGCTGGTCCTCTTTGTTAAATAAAACAGATTTCAGGTTAAAGATGTTTATATTGTGATTTATTGTTCATTAAAAATTTTTACAAATGTTGTGCCCTCTTATTTTAGCAATTGAAAACAACAACTTGTTCATAATTATTGCTTTGTGTTATATTTGTTCAACTATGTGAGTCATGATATATATATATATGTCAGTGCCAGGATTGATCACAAGAGGTATTCATAACTAAACATGCTTGATTTCATATATTAGAATTTGTCCTATATGGCCTAAACAAAATCATACAAAATTAAGCAGAGTTTTTGTTTTCCTATGATGAGTCATCTTTAACAATTAAGTAAAAACTATATTTCATTCAGGTCCCTAAAGTACCTTCTATATTTATAATACAGAAGAGTTTGAAGTTGAAAATTTTCAGTTGAATATAAGTGTTCAAATATTCTTGTCTTATGAATTGAACCGATTTCTCCCCCAAATTTTGGAGCCATCAGCATTAATATTATTACTATCACAATTCGAAATTTGCTCTTATATTGCTGAAAAATCAAGATAATTTTTTACAGTTAATTATTTATCTATTCAGTGATCTCTACAAATGCTCATAGATTCAAGAATCTTCACATTTATTTTTGCAGAGGGAGAATCTAGTAAATATTTTTAACTTTAAAGGAGTACAGTTTCTATATTAATTATTCATCAGCACTTTATCAAGTCAGTAATTTCACATATGATTTGGGTTAATGAACGCTGGTATTGAATTCATCAGAGCAGGTCATTTTAAATAAGTCAATCATGACATGTTGACTGTACATACAACATTAATACAAATAAGATATTTGTCAACAGTATCAATATCACATAGTATTTAGAATTTCTTTAGAAGAGAGGTGCACTTGTGTAAGAAATTTAGCATATTAGCGATAATATCGTGCCTTTGATTCATTTTGATACAAATTAGGGTGTCTAATAAATTGGTGTTTGATGTTTTTGCTATCCTAAATTTACACCTTAATGCAACTTTGATATGGTCCAATTTCATAATTCCTGCTCCAACTCTTCATCTTACAAGTTTAAATGTTGTCATGAATATGGCAAAGAAATACACAACTATTAGAACATATAAAAGATTTCTTGATTTCTTGCTTCTCGGAGAAGGAACGTGAATTATGTATGTATGTGAAAAATGTATATGGAGTATCCAACGAGAACAAAACAGACTGAATAGCTTCCGGAAGAATGTTTATTTGGAATAACCCTGAAATAGGTTGATTTTCAATTCATGGACGACGCCTGTTTATCTGACCACAACTGTCCTATATCATTCTCTTTCCCTCCATTTGGCTGACCCTAAGAATTTGAAATATTGAATAGGAAAAGTACCATCTATGGCACAAAAAAAAGTTGAAGAAATCGGTAATATGAGTGAGGTTCCCCTCATTCTCATTTTACCGGAAGTCTGTTTAGTTTTCGTTAGCCCACTCTAGATGTTGGTGGTCCTGGAATATACATTGTTCTTAGAAATAGCACATTTTCTAAAAAAATCATTTTCAGACTTCCCTAACTCCTGAAATCTGAATCATTTATCAAACTATCACACTACGTCTATTTGATTTTTGATCAGGAGCATACTGTTCCAAGTCTTCTGGCTGAGCATTTAGTGCGGAATAATCGATTGGAAACATGATCAATGACATGGAGCTTGGAGGGGCACCCAGAATGTGATGGCCTGGACCGTTCGGATTTCTGCTTATGAGGTAGTTCGAGAAACACAAACGGTAAGATTTGTAGTGCAAAGGATGGTCCCCATTCTGGAAAATACATTTACAAGTTGTGTTCATTATTCCACAGCCGAAATGTTTAAATACCTACTCAGAATATCTATGAAAGCATAAAAAACAGAAATTCCTATTACACAGAATGTTTCATGAAATAAATAAAATATTTCATTGGATGGAGATCACCAAGGTAATTTCGCAATAGAAAATAAGCGTGCGCCGCCTATCGGAGTTCTTGAAAGCTATTTTTTGCATCACAACAAGCCGCTCAAAGTTCAAGTTGTTGCCGTCAGGTGGAGCAACGTGTTTGCCGTCAGGTGGAGCAACGTGTTATTTTCTATGGCGAATAACATGATGACATTTCATAGAAATTTACTTATCAGACTCCAAAGAAATTCTAAATAAGTGAACTGGAGTCTAGCCATAGCACCATAGCGAGGTAATATTGTGCCTCGCTCGCTGGACACGAGAAACTGAAAATTTCGGGCCGATCCTGAGAAGAAACATAATTGAAATAGCGAATCACTTTCGGCCTAACCAATAAATGCCTCAGAGAAAGGAACACTACTTTAATGACCACCACCGGTACCCACCACGCTTCTGGCAAAACAAACTACAAAACAATTTTATAGGCTCTCGACTTGCCACCATGGCAATATTTCCCGTATAGTGGTGCTATGGTTAGGCTCAAATAATAAGTGAAGGTTAAATTGCTTGGACTCTTGGAGTCCTTGGCTAATGTATGATGAATTCTCTATGTCAAAAAGTGGAGCTGATTTCTTAGGTCAAAAGAAGAGTGTTTACAGATGGGAGAATAAAAGAGTGTATTGAATGATTTTTACCGAAGTCATTGCTTGATAAGCCAAATCAAGTATTTCTCCTACTTTCACAGCATTCAGCCCAAGAACAGATGAATAAAAGGAACCCAGTTCGTCTCTGGTTATGACACCAGTGCCTGCAATTTTTTTGAACAAAATTAGTTATCAGACTATTGAAGAAGCCAGTCAATGTCATAATATAATGCAAAGAATGTTTCCCTGATTGTCAAGGGATCGCCGGTCATGGGATAAAACGGGCCTAACTAATTTATTTCCAGTGCAGTTTGCTCATATGAGGTATCATCCTCTTTGTTGCTAAAGAGATTGAATGGTTTCTTGCCATCTATTGGGAGTTTGAAAAAGCTTACCTATTCTAGACAAACTTATGTTTATGGACAATCTCTTGCAATAAGCCATATTATATAGAAAACTGTGCACATATTCTGAATACCGTCATCATCTTGCAACATAAATTTGTATGTTTGTAAAATGTAAAACTGAATATTTTATCTTTGAACTTCAGAACAGCTAATTGTGTAATTGGATACCTTCAATTGTAGGGACCCCAACTATTATCAAACTCAAAATAAAATAAAAGATACATTCTAGTTACAGTTTCAAAATGTGACAGAAGTTTAATATAGAATAGGAATATGAATGTAAGTGTGTGAATGTCACCCAATCCTGACTCACCACTTCTGTTAATAACTTGAAATAATACTTTCACAAAAAATTGAAGCCATATTGGAAAATCTGTCAAGTTTTTGGAGCTCATTAGTAATTCTGACCATTTGTGCAACCATCCTTCCTCACTTATATACCTTACATCATTCACCTGGAAACCTATAAAAAGCAAAGTATGATGTTTTGCTCACTTGGTTCTGAGTTGATACTGTACCTAATTTCTCATCTGACATGTTGTACAAGAAGGTTTCAACAAAACCTCTTTGTATTTCCCTCAATATATTGAATTCTGAAGAATTTATTGACCAGTCTGCAAAATGGCGCAATCTCTACATATTTTCCAAATAGCAAGCATGAAAGATTTACAAAAATCAAGATCTTTACATAACATGGAAAACTACCCTTTAAGCTATGATGGGCAAGAATACAATTGTGAAAATGAAAGATTAGTGATGGTAAATGGTTCTATAAATGGCATTTGAACATCATGTACTAGCTAGGTAACTTATTAATTTGTTCATTTGAAAAAATATAGAATGAACTACTTATTTAGAGAAAAATTTCATCTTCATTGGTGAATCTGCATATTCCACAATTCAGTGTTCTTGCCTATTTTAATGATTCATTATCATACCTCAATCAGTGTTTCAAAATCTTGTTCACTGATTAAATTATCTTGATCATGATCTAGGAGACAGGAAAAAAAATGAGAAAATTTCTTGTTCTGGATTATAGATAACTCATAACTACTAGTATTGTCTGCACTTTCCCCTGAATCCACACTGAAACGGTCAACCCATGTTGCTGAAAAGAAAATTAATAGTAAAATAAATGTTTGGCCATAATGACACCAATATTTACTCCAAACATGAACACTCCAGCCACAGCTGTCCTGTTGAGTGGATGGTTTTTCAATGCTTTCATCATGACTCTTTTCCATATGTTCTGCCTCAAATTCTGGCAGTGTCCTCCACCTTTTCAGCAAATCCTTAGTTTTATCTTTAGTTTTATCACAAGCTGATCGCCAGTTAGCAATGATTTTATGAGGCACTTTATGTGAAGCATCAGGCTGTACTTTTTGATTGTCAGAATCTTCATTCAAATCAGTTTTGAAGTGTATGGAATTTTTCTCATGTTTGAAACTTCCACCACTCAAGCTTGATTTATCAAGACTTTTTGTACTTTTTAGACTAGTTTGTGAAGTACCAAAGTCTTTATTGATGCTATTACTGTCCCTACTGGATTTACTGGATTCATCAGGAAAAATCTGTTCCATCATACCTATTTCCAACTGTTTCATATAGGCAATTTCTTCATGCAGCAAAGCAAGCCATCTTCAGTTTCTTGGATTTGTTCTACATGATTCCATATCTATCTATCAATTTCAATTAACTGATTGGAGATCATATATTCAGATTTTTTGGCAGATGTCATTCTTGAATCCTGAACAACTTCTGATCAAGTCCCAAGTTTCCATTCAACATTTGTCTTTGCCCCAGGACTTCACACCAGCCTGCTCCAGGACACTAGGACATACCAGGAACCAGGGCCACACCATTGCCAGGACCAGGACACATCAGGTCAGGACCCTACTGTCCAGGAAAGGATTCACAGATTGACAGCCTGACAGAGTGACAACTGACAGCCCCAAGGATCATGGTGGCAGAGCAGATCACAGAACGTCGAGTTGGGTCATCTGCTTTTTGACGTCAGTGACTACTGTCAGTATTCACTGTCACTTGTGAGGGTCAGTAGAACATGAAAAATCAAAAATAAAACATGAATTTGAAATTTTGAAGAGGCTGGATGAAGAAATCCTTATTTATTGTGTTTTATATTTATGAAAATAAATGAATATTAGTTTATGCAAATATATATATCATGTTTTTGTAGACAGTTGAGACTATTGAGCGTACGTTTATAATACATGGAAAGGGTTAGAGCTCAGACGAATTTTATTCGTCTGAGGGTTAGAGCATGAAGAAATGAAGAAAATTTCAACCCTTGGCTGGAACCCAGAGATCTGGGTGAAGCCCTCATCCATGATGAAAATAGACCCCTCATCACTCAGACACCCTCAACCCCCCTCAAACTCTGTGTCTTGGATCGAGGAAAGGCTCAACGAAAAACTTTTTCAAACAAAAACCTACCAATTAATATTTTCAAACATGAAATCCCAAAAAAACTCTTGCACTATCAAATAAAATAATGTCATGATCATGATTAATGATCCTTTTGAGTTCATAATAATAAATGAAAGGTATTAAAAAAAGTATTCTAAAGAATTATCAGTTAATTCGACGAATTTATTCAACTTTGTTGTTTGATTTCAAGCTCCCCTGCCTGATTGAAAAATGAAAACTCTCTCACTCTCACCGTTATGAAATTTCGGTTAATATCAGGATCGCAGAAGCACTGAAGCGTCAATACGAGGCAATGAACTCAATATAGGTGCAACGAATAGTACTAATAAGTAGGATTGATGAAATAAACCTCTGGTGTACGCACTTCAATCCTTTCCTGTTACAATTCCTTGATTTTCGCCTACTTCGATGAACATAACATGGCGTGGGTGAATGTCGCTTAATTTAGTCTGGTGCCGTACCAAAATTACAGGCATCAATGTGACAATTGTGACCGAATTGTGACCAATGAAGATAGGGAATACATTTTGCGATTTAGCCGCATCAAGGTTGGTAGAACTGATGTTGATCATAAGTTCTAAGAATCACGCCATCTAACATTCGATAAGTGAACCCCACGTCATCGTCTGAAATTCAATTGTTTATATCAAGAACCAGTCTGACGAAACAAATGAAGAGTGAGCGCACCAGAGGTTTATTTCATCAATGTAGTAGGTTAGGTGTTTCTATTGAGCTCATTGTTACGAGCATACGAGGTACTGTGTAAGGTAGGCAACCAACAATTTAGGAGCGTACCTAGCGCCACCTAGCGTCCTGTTACGCTACTATGTTGAATATTAGCTGTAATGAAGTAGATTCGTTATCAAATAGAAGGATTTTCCCCAAAATTATGAGCAGAGTTATGAGTAAGTATAAATACATTCATTGATCATATTGTGATTGATACTGTGATTCAATGATTATTCCTTGTTCCCGCAAAAAACAAAGTACCTATTGAAAATATTTGAATATCAAATTTTAAATGTATAATGAAGAGTGAATAAACATATTATTATTATTATTACTATTATTCGCTTGTGTCCGAAGTTCATGCATGCCAAGGGTCAGAAAATAAACTACCTTCAGAAGTAATTATCTGGTGAAGACAGGGAACGGCCCCAACAATTTTGAAATGATGTACTTACTGAAACTAGAAGACATAATTAACTTTTTTATTACAACATATTAAGGTAGGAAGGATAGATCAGATCAGATAGAACAGAAGCTAGGTCAAGTATCTACAATGTGCTGATACATTAAAAATATTAATCTATGCTGAACTAACAGCAAAGCACATGAACTCATTTGGTCAGCAAACCCCGAGGCCCGATCTGAACGAGTGAACGCCATGAATTTCGTATTGGTCTCAGGATAGCAGAAATGCGAAAGGGTATAAGTAGACAATGGACTAAATATAAACAAGGAAGTATGCAACTAACAATTCACTAGAACGGCTAACGCTCTCTGTGTGACGAAGCATGAAAGTTCATTTTTGATGAATTGTTAGTTGCATACTCCACAGTATGTATCCACTCCATCATTAGGTGCATGCCCTTTTGCATTTATGCTATCCTGATATCAATAGGAAATTCATGGCGTTTAGGAACAAAGAGCGGTTTGTAGGAAAAGAAAAACTAATTAAAAAATCGAACATTTTTTCTTGAACTATTATTACAATAAATAAAGTCTTCTTGCTTTAGTGAAATCTTCAAATTCGCTAACTTCATCGGCAAATCTGTGGAGATTGGCTGTGAAAGCGAGGATAGATTTGCATTCAAAATTCAAATATGATTTTCAGTTTTCACTAGAAAATGTTTGACTAATGTGTACTGTAATCTAAGTTGATTTCAATGTCCACTACATGAAAAAAACTAGGTTCAAAAAATCAAAATACGTACAGCGAACGGACCCAAAAGTTTTACATTCTTCTTATTTACTTACTCATACCATCTTATACCACATTATACTTTCTAGCAAAGGTAGGAAGGTATGAAGGATAAGGTGTATGGGTCGGTCATAGACAAACTACATCTATATGGGGTCGGTCATGTAGGTACTGAACACGATGATTGATAAGAACTCAACTTCAACAGTTTCAAAATATTATTGAGTAATAAACTCATCACACAAACAGATGACTGATCAACATTATATCAGTCGTCATCCGAACTTCCTCTTACAGTCGCATCAAAATGCTAAGAATTTCGTATTGGTATCAGGGTAGCAGGAATTAAAGTCACTTTATAAAATAGCAGAAATGCAATCTCGTATTTTGTATTGAACTTATTGAAGTAGGTAGGTCATCGGCGTATCGGGGAGGGTAGTTGGCTTTATTCTGACACTTAGATTTATCTATGATTTGAGGTCGATCGTAAACGAAAATATCATTAAATCAATGAATCACTATCGGTCAATCGGTCACTGTAGCCATCTTACATCTCCCCTTTCTTTCGCTCTCTGTGTGACGGAACATAAATGTTCATTTTTGGAGAATTGTTACTACTTGCATCGAACATCAACTACTGTCTGAAAGTTGAAGTTCGATTCGATGCTACTTATTAGTTGTTATTAGTTGCAAACTTGTTGCATACTCCACAGCACTCACAGCTCACAGCAGTTAGAATCTACTCCATAAGGTGCCATATCGCATTTCTGCTATCCTGATATCAATACGAAATTCATGGCGTTGTGACTGTTGTGAGAAAGCTGGACCGACATTGATTTAGTCATTCATATCACATTATTTTTTCCACTAGATAAATGACATGAACAGAGACAACTATGGAAAAAAGATCAACTTTAGCCAGTTTAGCAATACAAACGAACAGGCCTAGAGAGTACCTTTCATTAAGATCGGTGTGGATCTGTCCATATTCTGAACCACAACCACGCTGAACACGGGCGCAACTCCAACAGTTTCCATTTTCTCCAGAACTCCAGACATTATTTTCCATATTCATAATGATGAATAATGGCAAAAGTTTTTATACTACACAGTAGGTATGTGTCTACTTCATCAGGCGGTAACCCTTTTCTATTTCTGCTCTCCAGATACCAATACGAAATTCATAGCGTTTAAAAAGCACGAGAAACGCAAAGGTAGGGGGGAGAGGTTGATTGATGAAGAAATTACAATAAATTTGGAAAATAACATTTTTTTGTAATTTTTTTTTTCAGGACAATTCCATCAATAGAGGGAAGGTGTAGGCCGTAGACTGTAGGAGGTATAGGTAGTATATATACATGTAATGCCAAATTAACTCATGATACCTACTTACGTCTGAAATTATACTGAATTTTGATAATTATTGATCTTGGAAATTTATTTGAATCGTTCTTTTACCTCACATACACATAGCACCTCAGAATCCTAGAAAAGTCAAAAATGATGAAACATATATAATCATTATTATTAATCGATATCTATGTTGATATTTAATAGGTATTGGCTCTTCCATACAGGTTCGTGCAATACAATACTTACAATACAAACTTAAACTGTTTCATCTTAGAAGCTGCGGACATTGATAAAGATTTTGAAGATTTATCGTTTTTTATTTACAGCTGATTGTTTTGGCAATGCCACTCTTCCGGCCTTTTACAAATAATGTACTTATTCGAGACACGTCTCACAGTAATTCCAACGCCACGAATTTCATATTAGCTACCAGGATAGCAGAAACGCGAATAGGTAAGTATCTTTCAGTTGAAGTATGCGTGGTAGGCACTTTCTGTAGAGTATGCAACTAACAGTTCACCAAGACTAGTAGCGTCATCTCTCTTGGTGAGAGAGTACGTTTTTGTTTCTTCCGCTTTTTTATATTATTCAAGCTAGGAATCGAAATATTCTAAAACTAAAACACAGTTTTTGTAGGTCTCAGGGAGCGCAGAATTTTTTCAATGTCAACCAATCCATGGCAGAAATTTTCGTCTCGGGAATACGCGTCACAAATTAAAATACATATACGGCGGTAAATTCGAAAGTTAGCAATTCTACCGACAATTTACAAACAGTTAATACCTCCACAATATTTTTTCAACTAATCACTGCGAAAAAAAGTGGAACTAGAGAATTCGAATCCGGGACCTTTGAGTATTTCAGGGGTGGGGTAAACTGAACCAAGAACCACTTTTGTTTATAATGAACGCCAATGATATTGTTTCCATTCTAAATAAATCAAATAATATTTTCTAAGTATTTTAGGGTTTCGGCAACAAAAGCCCAGCCACACAGTTATCGTTCAAATCAACAAAGTGAATTAGTAAGTATATTATTTTCAAAAAAACATGTCAATTGGTTTACAATGTACCGTCTCATTGAAACAGTGAAACAGTTGATGAATTCACAGTGAACCAGTATAAAAACAAGGTGAATACATAAAAAAATATATTTGCGAAACAATACAAAAAACTGAAGAGTATATGACAATTTGAACCAAAGGTAGTGAGATAAATGGAAAAATAACCTGCTACTTCCATAGATATTTATTATAGTATTATTGTCGTACACGCAGTGAACCATCAGTCAATTAAATCATATGGTTCACTGTTTATTGGGCATGGTTCACTGATTTGTATTAGTCCACTGTTAAATTTTGAGAAATATGAAGGATAAATTATTGAAAAAATAATCGTGGGAATAATTGAAACAGTTTTTACATTTTTTAATGCTGAAATGGATATTTTCATACCGACGATACCTATAACATTTTTATTTGCTCACAAACGAAGAATTTGATTGATGTTGTTGTTCAAGAATTGAAATAGGTAGATGTAGGTTTTTAAAACACCCACCCCTACCTTTCTTTGGATTTCTAATACCGAAAGAAAGAAAGTCGAGAAAAACTTTGAAGGTTACATTTTTTTATCCGCTCCAGAAAACAAGAATTTGAATTTTTTCAATACGATTCAAGTGTTGAAATATGTGTACTACCCAAATTGAGAGTGTTTTTTGTTTGAATACTGGGTGTCCCATTTAAAGAAAATAACCTTTTGACATAACTTATATTACAAGTTTGCCAATTCAACTGACATTCTATTGCCAATAACAACCAAATTAGCAGTGTCGACTTAAGTTTGAAACCCCTGTCTATTCATAGGTAAAATCTAAATTGTTGAATCATGTAAGCAGCATAGTAGTACTAACTTTCCGTATCACAAAACTATACTTCTTCTGTAAATCTGAAAGCTCAAAGTCCTCCGAATGCTTCATAACTATGTTTAGTTCAAACACGTAAGGTATAGTTTCTTTTTAATAAATTTGTAAGAGTATACTGCTGCCTAACGTATGTACATCTGGGTCAGCTCAATCGGTCAGCAGCTTATATTCATTAGGTTCGAATAGTTGATATTTGGGAAACGGAGTACCGTAACGCTCTGTAGAAAAGTTAATCGACAAGTACTTGGTAGGACGGCAATATCGTCCTCATCTGATATATAGCCTAGTAGTAGTAGTATATTCGTTTCACACTCGTTAGTACCATTTTGCATTGGCGCTCGATTTGCCAGTGTTCATACATCAATTGATTCCATCCTGTTTTTAGTTCAAATTGTGTTTGTAAGGTGCGTTTATTGTTTTGACAGATTTTACATCATCGGATTCAGAGAGATACCTACTTGGTACATATAGTGCGCGAATACGTCTTTGTTTTGTATGTGAATTCATGGTAAGTTGAATTTTGCCGGGCTTTTCATAATGTATTTTGTCCTTGTTTTCCTGGTAAGAAATAGTTTTCGACTCCAAATTTCTCATTGACAATAACTGATGTCTTACTTATAGTTTAGAAATTAATCTTGAAATTATTTCCCTAATTGAAATGCATTTTTCCAGGTTTCTAAAAAGTACACTCACCTAAGTTAATCGAGGTTTAAAATAAAAAACGGATGTAGGAAAGCCCGATTACATTTAATTCGGTTAATATAAACGTTCAAGATTAATTTCTAAACTATAAGTAAGACATCAATTATTGTCAATGAGAAATTTTGAGTCGAAAACTATTTCTGTTATTTTACTTCCCCCTCGATATCTAAATCGACCTGTTTTTCTTTCGAAAATTGTTTGTTCGCAGATCAGAAGATATGTAACTATAGGTACCAATCCTAAGTATGTAACTTATATTGATACTTTTCAATGATTTTTCTGAACAGTTTACATCAGGGTTTATACAAATCAAGGATTCAACATTCCTAACCCTCTTGATATTAAAGATACAATGTTTCAGAAAAGAAGAAGTATCTTTCACGCTTTTCAAGAAGGGTAAATAAAAAAAAATATAACATCACGTCTTTGAAATTGGACGAAAAATCTATTTTGTCTATATTTTTTTTTTCTGTTAGAACTTCAAGTTTTACGTAAAAAGCTTTTGAGGATATTTATTGTATATAGTAGAAAATACTGATATTCTGCCGTATCTTTAACAATAACGAAATTATACCAATGGCTGATGCGGACACTTAATTTGGAACCCTGCATGTATACTTGTGTTTGTTGATGATTTTGCTATGTCAGACAATTTGAATTTGATAATATTATGTCAATATTAGATACAGCAAATAAAATAATGGATTTTAAATATCATATGAGTAATTTGATAGCTTATTGTTCAAATACCCCGACAGATAACAAATCAATTTTATATAAAATGTTTATATGAATAATTGATGATGGTATATTCATACAATGGCTATAATGAAAGATATACCAATCAACTATTAATATTGGTATGTCTGTTGAAATTACATGAATATTGCTGGAAAATATATATATATATTATATCTAGAACAAAGAACTATTTCGTATACTCTACAAAAATTCATATCATTATTGATGGAAACGAGCATCCAGCATAATGGGTATTTGGGTAATTCGCACCACAATTTTTGATGGACAAAAAAAGACGTCATGCATGGTTTAATTTTCACACTCACACGTTATGTCAAATATTTGAAGACTACGAGGTCAAAATAACTTTGCGAATAATTGTTAAATAATTGACCATCGTCAAATCGTAAGGCAATAGCAACATTACGTAATTATATTATACTATATATATATAATTTCGAAATTGCTTTACCGTTTGAAAGGAATGCTTGGATTAGGATATACTATACAGAGTAGATAGTTACAATACATATTATGATTATTCAATGACCAAAAAGAAAAAAAGAATAAATATTTCAGTTGTATTTTATGCTACAAGAGCCTGAATGCTGGATTCATAAACTCAACTAAACTAAGGATTAACAATTAAATTAAGAATCCAAGAAGGAGATTGATTGAATAATTAGAATAGACCAATCAGCTTCCAAAGATTCTCGATTCAACTGTTAATTCATGGTTTAGTTGAGTTTATAAATCCAGCACTATGAGTTAATAATGTATAATGTTTGAAAGAGAAAGGAATGCTCACAATGTTTTACTCAGCTCATTAATGGCAAGAAGAGGTGATGAGTTTACCTTACCTTCAATTCTGTTTAATAAGTAGGTATCAATGGAAGTATGTTTGAAATTAACATTCGATTCATGATCATCAAGGTTTCCGTATTATGTGATCAAGTTTAAGTCGTCCTCACGCTTTTTGCACATGTAACTCAAGTATTCATTTTACATCTAGACCCTGTGAATTGCGACATAGGTATAAGTTTTGCTAGTAGAATTGAACAAATCGTCAATGTCCTGGACAAAAAATAAATGGCATTGAAAGGAAGTCTGTGATTTCAAAGTCATTAATTGTAACTCGGCATTAGTAAATGGTAGGTATAGGTAGGTATAGAAAGAAGAAACAGTGAATCGTCGCTATATTATGATAATGGAAAGTTCTAAAAGATGAAACGAGGGTACAATTTGAGAAACCAAGTGGGTTATTCGACCGAAGATTGATTTGGTGATCTTCTGATTCCATACCACGATTCTGATACCACGATTTTTGGCGAATGGCTCTTTTCAGGATGGAATCTATCTAGGAGAATCAGCGTATGTTTGGTGCTGAACCCCATATGTGGGAACAGTATTCTAAAACAGGCCGTTTCTGTGCTTCATTGTAGATCACCAGGAGCTGTTGAGGTCATGAGGTGTGAAGTAGCTTTTTCACACGGAATAAAACTCCGAGTTTTTGTGAAGCAGCTTTTGCGATGGATATGGCATAATTTTTCCATGAAAGAGTGTTGCCGATGGAAATACCGAGCATAGATAGAGTAGACTTTGGGGGAATGATGGTATACCAGGCATACTGATCCGCCTTTCTAGAGAAAATACAGGCTTGATTTTTTGTGGCGTTAAATTCAACAATAGGTTGTTGGTTCCCTAGGATATATTTTTAGCAAGATCTTCATTGACAGCGTTTCCTCAGAAAAAATGGAAATTCTGTAAGAGAACGCAGTATGGAAAGACCTATCATCTGCAAAGTTGTGGGTAGTATGCAAGTGGTTACTCCCAATAGATCATTGATATGAAGTAAAAATAATGTTGGTGCCAAAATTGATCTTTGTGGAACGCCGTCCACCACCACAATGAAGCGATCTGTTTGAAAGAAAACTCTATAAAAGAAGGAATATCTGAGGTAGGTACATACATAAAGTAGTGACAAATGAATGAAATATGCAGTATTCAGGTCTCATAGCTTCCAATACTCAGATTTAAGAACTCTATTTCAAAAACGATGAATTTGCATATGGTTTCAATGTCTTGAACTTCCCTGGAAGCATCAGAAAGCTGTCTGGTGTGAAATATAGTCTGAACATATTATTCCTGAGTGGCTAAGATCGAATGGTCTCCTGATAGCCTCAAATCATTCATTTATCTTATCCTTAGGAATTCTAGAGTCATTATTGAATGAGTAAACTTTTGATCCAAGATATGAGCAGGTATGGGCAGTCCCCATGTTTTTCTAATGAAGTTTGCCATATTATATGGGTAACGTAGCCAATAAGTAAATCTCCAGTTGATCTTCGAAAGCCATATCGTCTATCAATAATGATCCCTGAGCTTTCTAGATATTTGATAAGCTCAATTTTGATGGCTTCCTCCATCACTTTGATGAAGATATAACTGATAAAAAGGCATTAGGTCTATATTTGTTGGACACGTTTTCCTTCCCTTTTTTTTTAGTTGGACTCTAGCCAGCTATTTCCAGCATTTGCTTTTCTATACCACGAATATGTATTTACCTACAGGACATATGGAAAAAATGTATTTTTTAGTTTTGATCGATTGAACAATCTTATAGTCATGATTCTAAAGTATGAGTGCGAGTGGTGGGTATCTAATTCTAACCTGAAATATTTATAATGTTTCGATTGTGTTTGAACTTTCTCTGTGTTGATTTTATTTATATCTATCTCAAGACTGCATAGTCATTAATATTATAAAAGAAAAGCCGAATTACATTGTGGAAAAATTGACACATTGGTATAGTTAATCTGTGGTATAGTTATTCAATATCACGCTTTGATGAACCTTTTGAACAACAATACTTTTTTGCTCAACAAATTTATAAACGGTATACGAACACTATATAATCACTCAACCAGGGACAAAAAAAATGATATGAGTTTGCAATATTTTATTTATTGTTGACGAAAAATCTTGGAATGTTTCCTCTATTCACATTTCCAATAAGTATAGGTAATATCTATTCTTTTGCGACATTTCATGGCTATATAGAAAGCATGCTAACCATAATAAACGTGGGTATTTTTTCTCCATATTGGGAATATTGTCTCTTTCTCTTTGAAATGTTACATATAATATAATGTTTCTACGAGATGAAATGAAGAGAAAAAATCCGAATAATCTAGAGAATGTATATCAGTGTATCAGTGTAATTTTCATTTATTTTTTTATCAACGAAATGTTTGACGATTTAAGATGATGTATATAGTGGGTGTGTTATGTACAGGGTTAGCCATCCTATATTTTTTTGCCCAGAAAAAAACAACATGCGGTGTTCCCTGATGAAAGCGTGACACACCACACATTATTTGTTTTTTTCGATCAGAAAATGAGGATATATTTGACAGCATATTGCATCATTATCGAATACATTCCCAAACTGATTGAGTGATTACCAATTGATCCGACAAAAATATTTTTCTGGACTCAAAACAGGGTGATAAAGAAGTGAAAATAGAAGATATCATCCTGTTTGTATATTTTTTTTGTGGTCACAGAAATTCACAGATTCCGAAAAAGATATAAAAAATTACTATGAAATAGCTACAAAGTGATTTAGCCACGTTAACGAAACTACAGACCGGTTTCCAACTACTTGACTCTCATCAGTGTAGGGTATAGTCTCCAGCTAGCACTTCGAAGACCGCCGGCTAAACGTAACCTGGCCCAACGAATTTCAATCGGCAATATTTGTGGTCTCAGAGGAATCTTGCGTGGACACACACAAAATTTTTGAATCAGAAAAACGTAGTCGGGCAACCAGTCACTACCATTTCACCTGAAATAAGATCTTGTTTTGGACTGTTTCTTTCCTTGCCAGGTGGCGTTCGGCTTTTGCATTCATTTCGCGGACGTTGACATAAAAAAAATATTTTCTTCAACACCTCGTATCTTGAAACGGATGTCGTTTGATGACATTTTTTTACTAAGCAAACACAACTTATTTTGCAGTGTTCTACCTACCCTAGCAAGGAGAATCACCTTTTCTTGAAACACCCTGTATACTCTAACTTTGTTCATCTCGATGGGATTGGATCGGAGCAAAAATATTCCAAGAGTTTTATACAGCTGGTTTCATTCATTTTAGAATAACAGAAGTAACATATAATTGTGTTGGAATTTCTCGATTTTCACTGACGTTCCTATATATTATAAAAATTGAATAAATGATGGCCAATTATTAATATACCTGCCTACCGATAATTATATGGTGTTGCAGGAAATTCGAGTGCAAAGTGCGGTAATATATTTTTCCCGGTCTGTCAGTTCGATATTTGGTGACAAAATCAAATACTATGTTCGATCTTACATTGCAATCCAAAACAATACAGAGTTACTACACTGAGAAAAACTGGTTAATTAAAACGTCTAGTTGGTATTTTTTTAGTACCGATAATTAAAAATATTTGGAATTTTATTAACACTGACAACGTATCCTTATTTCCTACAAATGACTTTTCTATTTTTCGCCAATTATTTGTCATCAATAAAAATACTATTTGTGACAGAATTATCACAATGTTGTCTATTCAGTCAATTAAAATTTCATATTGGGGTTAAAAAACCTCATTCTGGGGTTACTAACAACAGCTGACTATTTGCCACAACTGATGACACATTTATCGTAAAAGGTTTATTATTATTCATAGCAGAAATTGTTTAGCCATAACTAATAATTTTAGTTGTACTGCGTCGTTCGGGACCGCCTCGCGTCTCTTCGGGACCCACTGGCAAAAATTGCATCTTGCATCTGTTTGTCTTTATGTTTCATCATTTGAACTTGTATCTTAATAGTGGATAGATCGCACGGTCGTCGAGCTTAGACAAAATAAATAAAATAAATTGTCAAGTGTAGCCGGGAGCGTCGTGTTCTTGCTGGTTCACTGCTCTGTGTGTTTTCAAATCACTGTTTTGTGTTTTTTTGCACTTCTCGCTGAGCCATTTGGCATTTGGTTGGCAAAATAATAATTCGCAGTTTACCATCGTTATCTGTGCGTCACTAGTTATCAGGTTTAGGTACCTATTCACAATTCAGTTCAGTTTACGACGGGCGACGGTGAGAAACGTCCAACCGACGTCACTATTTATAATTTCCTCTCTTTTTGCTGAGCTGTGGCCTGTGGCACTTACGGTGTGTGGTGTATTCCTGTTCACATACAACATGGCATACAAACTGTTATTATTAGAATGGGGCCTTGATTTTAATTGATATAAAACTATTAAGTTGCCAGAATAACTAAATTATATTTCAAACGTTACTAAATCACTTTTAATAGTAAGTATAGATTCCATTTCAGTCACAATTAAATATTTAATTCGCAACAACACACTCACTATTAACATCAGAAGAAATGAGTAATTGCCCCAACTGGGATAATTTGTTGTGATAACAAACATATATTGAAACAGTACTAACAATCTAATTGTCATAACTATGTATCTTGATTGTGGCAAATAAAACTTGGTATTATTCCTCAAAAAGGCTTATTAGTTACCACAACAACGTCGTAGATGGCTCAACTAAACTTTTCATGTGAGGCAAATAGGCGTTTCCAGAAAAACAGAATTAGTTATGGCAACAACTAATGCTTGCTGTCCCCTATCGTACTAAAAAATTGTTCTGTAGTTACTAATTTTTTAGTAACGGCTACAAATTTTTTCCCTCAGTGTACTAGTTGACATCAGCGTTCGATAGAGAACACTCGGAAGAACATTATCTCATTATAATGTACCTTTTCAATATTGAATCGTCGTTTTCCTGCCACGAAAAAAAAATAGTGTATTGTACACGGGAAAATACGCTAACTACGCTAACTTTTTTCCCTTGTACTTATGATAAATAACTATTCAATCAAAAAATTATTCATTTATACATATTGAAACAAACTCTGGCAAATTTTAATAGACAGACACAATCTAATAGATTTTCTGCGAAAATCTGTCACCTTAGGAAAACCTCGAAATATTCATCAAATTAGGATGATTATCACGATTCATAAACAAGATGTTTCACACCTTACGTGATACAAAAATATCACATTCCTTCTGATTTGAGAGTATACTTATTTATGTTTATCCATTGTTTATCGAGCGAATACCTCTGAAATTCACACATTTATTTTTGCAAACAATCCTGTTCGTTGCAAAATAAATACAATTCCTCCTTTCATGACGTCACATCATTTATATATAGGTAGGTATGTATACCTACCGGGTGAAACATTGATTTGCTGAAGTTGATTACATTAGATTTTGAATGGGGCCTTCGGACCTTTTCAGATCTATTGTGTCTGCCCTCTAAATCGATTAGAGTTCTTCGGCTAGCCTCGCCTTCTCTCTCCATAGGCTAGCTTTCAAATCCCCTGTGTATTTCTGGGCTTCTGGTTTTTCGTAAGGAACCTTAGTCTTGACAAGCCCTCACAGTGGCAAAGTGTGTATACTGCTGTTTCCTCCTCTTCCTAAAAGAACCTTCAGTCAGACCTATCGTACTCATGTGTTTGTTGAGCCTACAATGCCCTGTGAGAAGTCCCACTAGTATTCTATAGTTGAACTTCGTTTCTGGCTCAGTAGATATTCTGTGAATGTTGGCGATGGTGTTTTAATAAACTCTATTGCCTGTCTCATTCCTGGCGAGTTCCACCATTCATGAGTTTTGGTTTGCATCCATGATTTGATACTATTCTTTTGTATAGCTTTCGCAATAGCACAGAAGGGTTCTGGGCCATTCAGAGCTTTGTTTGCTCCTTCTCGGGAAAGTGAGTCTGCCTCTTCATTGCCCTCGTACCCTGTATGTGCTGTTACCCATGCTAGAGTCAGTCTGTTCTGACTGCCCAGTTCATTTAGGGTTTCTAAGCAGTCCCATACTAGTTTTGAGTTAACTTGCATAGAGTTGACTGCTTTGATTGCCGCCTGGCTATCTGAATAGACTCTTGCCTTATCAATTCATTCACGCAATGATGTATTGCAATAATTTCTGCCTGATACACCGTCGCGTATTTACCTAAGCTCAGTGGTATTCTTGACTTCGGCTTGGCCCCATAAGTACCAGCTCCTGATCCTTCCTCAGTTTTGGAGCCGTCCTTATAGACAGCAATGTCTGCATTGATAGGAGGTCCTTCCTTCCATTCCTCTCTGTCTGTTATACTTATTTTAAATTTTTTTCCAAAGCTGTATTTTGGAAGTATGCCATCCGTTGGCATTCCCATGATGGGGTAGCATACAGATACAAGTGTGACTTCTTAACATTAAGCACATATACCTGAGGCTGACATTGAATCTATTGTTTCAGATTTAATGGAGGACAAATAACAGAAAGACAAGATGAACAAGTACTTCAAGCTATTCTTTCACAGGGTCCTGAAAGACCTGAAACAAAAGGAATTGCTCCCTTTGAAGTTATTGTTTTTTATGCATTCATCTAGTAAGTATACCAAATTTCACAATTGGGTGCAGATTACTTTTTTTTTGATTGTTCCATGATTGATCTGATTAATGTTGAAACTATACACAGGGTGTTTTGCGAAATTGGAGGGATAATAATATGGTAATAAGACCAAAAAAGAAAACGAAATGAAAGTGCATTTTCGTCGAAAGTTTGACTGAACTGTCGCAATGTTAACATACTTTCAATCAATGTTATATATAAAATATGGTTAATGATTGGTAGAAGCGTATATTTGAACATTTTCAATTGCTTTCAATATAGGTATGTTTTCTTTCTACAATACCCCATTTTATTTACCGATCCGATTACAGAAACACCCTGTATATAAATCATACTCATTCTATACAATCATAATCATGACATCAAGAGAAACATTTTGTAATTAATTATTATTGATTTATCCGAGGATTTATCCATAAGAATTGGGTAGCATTTTGAATTGGCATACAATAATTGTAGATGTATGAAGAAATTCTCGTTCGAAGGTTTTGTGGTAAGTTAGATGATTTTTATGCGAGCTTCATGGACAACTGATGTGGATCATACCTACCTCAGTATATTATGTATATTCAATTAAGTGAAAAACATGTAGATATTTATGTATAATACATCATTACCTTGCATGATAACTCCATATATTCGTGATGATGTAAACAAGTAATAATTAGCTAAACGCATCTCTTTCATTCGATGCAGTTTTTCAAGAAAAACATCGAGACAGGACTTTTATTATTATATCCTTCAATTTATTTTCAGCCATTTTAGTCTTATACCCATATCTAACCATACACATGAGAGCTTTAGGAATAAATGTTGAGGAGACTGCAATCATGTCAGCAGTAACTCCTGCTGTTGTTATACTGATGCCACCTCTAGCAGGAATGATAGCTGACAAAATAGGAAACTTCAGGGTAAGGAAAAAAAGTTCCTCAAACAATTGAGACAAATACCTACCCAGCGGGCACAAAAACATCTCAGAGATGTTAAAAGTATGAGATTTCGAGACATTGAACCTCCACTGCGATGTTCTGTTCACACATGAATAGAATTATTATAGAACAGCCAATGTCCGCCGCAGGCGGCAATTATCGAGATGTCCTTGATATGTCACAAAACTACCTTCTCCCTAGTTCTTTATAAAGCCTTTTCATAGACACAACAGAACATTTTCAACGCGTCTTGCGCACATTAAATCGCTGTAAAAAAAACATTTTCGAGGTACTTTTTTGAAGCCTTTTGTCAAAATGAACATTTGCATTAGGATTCCATTTCCCTTGAATGAAAAAATGCATTAAAAATAGATTGGACATAAAAATATTTTCTTGATATGAAATTACCTTCTTAATCGGTTTCTGAGTAGTGCTTACTACACACAGACATATAATTGGAAATAGGTTTCCCAATTTTTGAAATGTTCTCCACAATGCATAATTTTGCAACTGCGGAGAAGCTGATGTGTATTGATGAATTCGTACTTTTATATATTGATTACACTGAGGCACCGAACAACACATCTTGCATCTGATGGTCATTATTACAAACTAAATAAGTCTTCTAACACAATAAACTTCACCAAATTCCTTTCTGTTCGTTAGCAGCGTGATGTAAGCGTGACACGCTGCAAACGCGAATGCCAATTGCGAACAAGAAGAACAAAATCGAAAACAAATCAGAATTCATCGTATTGTGACGTAAGCATGAAACGTTGTGGTGGGGCAAACAAAGAAAGGACACAAAAGAACAAAAACGAAACTTTCAATATCCTTCTAGGACCTCTTTGGGAAGTGCATATTACGCCTCAAACAAACATCCTCATGCCTACATTTCTAAAACATCCCAAAACTTCCCAGGGATACCTCTCAGTAGGCAAACAAAGAAATGCCACAGAAGAACAAAAACAATACTTCAATATCCTTCAAAGACCTCTTTGGTCAGTGCATATTACGTCTCAAAATAACATCTTCAAGCCAACATTTTCAAAACATCCCAAAACATCCCAGGGATGTTTGTGCTCGCTGGGTACCTATATATTTTGATTTCTTTGAGCGATCCTTGAAATGATTACGAAAGATATTGGATTTTCGTTACTTGCATCAAAATCGAGAAAAAAAAATCACTTGCCAACGCATATGCTCGTAATTCACCTAACAATAATTTCAAAGGCAAACGTCACTTGATTTCCTGCAAAAAATATTTCATGGTCACGAGAAATATTCATAAATTATAGATTATTAAACAATTCACCGTTCTGCATTGTTCCACCACATATACCTATTCTGGTTGTCTGTTGTATAAAAATTATAAGGCACAACAAATTACAACGAAAACCAACTCATACACCTACACATGCTAGTGTCAATTTTTCTTTCCATTCATGGAATGGTTCTATGATTCAACAAACAAAGGGATTCAAATGTGAAAAATTTCGAATTTTTTTTAGGTACTACTTGCCTCTTTCTCAGCAATTGGTGGAGCCTCAGCTCTACTGCTGCTCCTGGTTCCAGTGGGAAGAGTGACAATCACCTTTCCAGACAGACTGGTGTTCGGTTTATCCTGCGAAACTAACTCAACCCCTTTACTTTCCTTGCATCAGGAATATCCGTGTACAACTATCGATCCAGACAAAATACTAGATACAGAAATAAAACTCGAGTCCTGCGGATTCGCTTGCCAAGCAATTCTCAACCAAAACTATACGAATACCATAATTCAGACCAGGAGTTACGACGTACAGATTTACGATATCCAGAACAATGCCACACTAACCTACACCTACAAGCTCAGCAAGGACGATATCCACGAACCTGAGCCTATATCCAAAGCTAAGAATCAGAAAACTCTGAAGAATAACGAGAAGTTTCGGACCTCTGTGAGGAAGCTATCCAAGAACTCTTTCTATTTTCCAACAGTGTCCATGTACAACTTTTCTTGCGATATGTCAAAGGAGCCTGCAGTCAGTTGTGTTCTAGGCAGCAGAGACCAGTTCGAGAAATTCCAGAGGATTCTCAGTCCTTGGAATGCAGGAATCAAACAGCAAATAATAGAACACAATGATTTCGAAGAGAATAGGCAGATATACCGGATTGAATATATAAACTCCAAGAAGAAAGACAACATAACTTGCCTGGAAAACTCTGCTATGTCTGGAAAACACATATCAGTAACCATCCCAATAAATACTACTAACTCGACCGTCCAACATTTAGATTTGGGAAGCTGTTCCCATAGATGTCTGGCTACTAGCCCCAGGAAAACGGTTTGTTCGAATCAGAAAACAGTCATAGAGCTAGACATGAGTCTGACATTTTGGTCATACCTCAGCGTTAGAGTTTTTGTGGGAATCATAAGTGGTACTTCATTTGCCATGTTTGAGGGAGCAGTTATCGCGATATTGAGAGAACATAAGGCTGATTATGGCCTACAAAGGATATATGCTACAATAGGTGGAATGATCAGTTCACCTCTGTCTGGCTGGATGATAGACTATGCAAGTAGAGGCAAAGGTTATACGGATTTCAGGTAAAATTACACTAATGAAATTCTGCATCGAACTACATATTTTTCCATGCTTTCAGGCCGATATTTTTTTTGTATGCGGCATTGAAGCTGGTGAGTGGATTTCTGATGTTATTCATTAACCTGGAGTTCAAAAAGGCAGCTTCCAGTGTGATTACTGAAGTAGTAACTGTACTTAAAAAACTGGAGTTGATAGCATTGTTCGCTTCATGCATAATGTTAGGTAAGATTTTAGTATCTTTATTGAAAGATCTTTTCTCGAGTAACACGTGAAATAATTTCTAGGTTGTGCATGGGGTTATATAGAAAGCTTCCTTTTCTGGTTAATTGATGACCTTGGAGGTTCAAAATCCCTGATGGGTCTTACAGTGACAGTTGGTGGTGTAGTGGGCATACCTCTACTAGTACTATCAGGGCCAATAGTGAAAAAAATTGGACATGCGAACGTTATTTCTATTGGATTCGTTTTCTATGCAATACGACTCCTAGGATACTCCCTGATCTACAATCCATGGCTGTGTCTCATCTTTGAAGCTATGGAGTCTATCACTTTCGGATTGAGTTTCACAGCTGCTGTGACTTATGCTGCCAAATTGTCCACTGTTACTACTGATACCAGCGTTCAAGGAATGTTGGGTGGATTATATTATGGGGTTGGTAAGTTCTGAATCTCGAGGATTCAGTGCAGTAGTTCTTATGTGTCATGTTTTTAGGCAAAGGAATTGGTAGTCTCATTGGAGGTTACTTGATAGAACCTATCGGTATAAGACATACTTTCCAGGTGTTTTCTGTAGCAACGATCATCGTAGGTAGCATTTACTTCAGTTTTTATCACATTTACATGAAGAAACACCCCTCTGAGGGTACAGACATAACCAAAAAGGATGTGCCACCAAAGGCTCCCAGCGATTTTGACTTGAAAGCTATGGAAATCGCGGATATTCAGTCAGATCTGCCAGTCGTATATGAAGATGCGATGTGTAATCCGGCGTATGAAACAACTGAAGCGGAAGATGAAGAAAACGAAGAAAATGAAAAAGACCATCACGCTATGAAAACTATAGTCAATGGACAAATTCGACAGAACCAAGGAGAGACGTAATTTTGAAACTATTTTTGACATTCATCCAATATGGATAGAAATTTTATTTTTGTGATAGGCCAAACTACCTGAGAATCAAACTCAGGCAAATTAAATAAATTAATGATTGATGGTCAGTTTTTCATTATCTAGCTGTGACAATTAACTGATGATATCATTGCTTGAGATATTTGAACAAGCTATTGAAAAACTGGCTCTGAATCCTTCAGTTATAGGAAACAATATAAACATAAAACTCCATCCATACCACAGATTGCGTAAGCGATCATTTTGTGACCTTATAGTTACTATAGGTAAGTAGATAGTGTTTTATTATGAATGATTGTGGAATGATTCACTGTATCTGTGATACTACTTTTTTAGTTGGAATATTATTTTTACGTGAACTGCAGACTTCAGAAGTCGATCCAAAATTCTCACAAAAAACTTGTTATTTCAGTTTACTTTCAAAAAAATATATGTTAATACGTGATGGAAATAGGAGAATTGAATTCATATGAATAAATGGCATAACAAAACTGTAGTTCAAAATAATATATTACTAGAAGATGTTTATTATCATGTAAATCATTGTAAATAATAATTTTAGATATACATATATGAAATCAATAATTTATATTCTTCATTTTTCCTTATCAAATTCGACATGAAGGCGATAAGAACAAATAATATATCGAAATGTTCCTATCTAAAATATTACTACATAAGAACTATATCATCACGGCACTGAAAAACTACTATATACAATAAAATTCCTACATATCACATTTTTTTGTCATTTTCTGTGCTAGATTATCCAATAATATTAAAACACAATATCCAATTCAACCTCACAATATTCATTCACACGATCGAAGAAAAATCTATGATTTTTGAGATTCACAATACTTTTCATCACTTCCATCACTGCATTCAATATAACCATTACACAATCTACTTTCTGGAAGGCACTCTCCTAACGGACACCGATGTCCCAAACAACTGTCCTTCATAGTGAAATTTCTAGAAGCGAGTTCTTTCGGTTTCATATTGAAATGTATCCACTCCACGTAGTTGGCCACTTTAGTGTACACTCCAGGTCTATTTGCCCGAGCACAACCATAACCATTGCTTGTTATTCCTGAAAATTATTGGCACATATAGGCATTTATTTCCTGAATATAAACGATCACTATTTACCCTGTAAAGTCCATCTTCCATTAGGCTCTGGACACATCAGTGGTCCTCCAGAATCTCCTAAGCAAGCGTCTCTCCCTCCTCTTTCATATCCAGCACAGAACATATCATCAGTTATTTTATAGAGGGATAAGAACAGTGTCCTCTTTCGACACTCGGCAGTTGAAATTATAGGGACCTGAACTTCCTGCAAAGTATCAGCTGGAAACCAAAACACATGAATCACTATCGAAATACCAAAAATATTATTTTACTCACGAAATATCCTGCCAACTTCAAACAACTGTCCCCAGCCAACAATTGTACACAGTCTACCATCTACAGGCCCTTGATTTGGCTGTGGCAAGCACACTGGTCTGACATAGTCGCTATAGACTACAGGTGATTCGAGTTGCAAGAGGGAAATATCATTGATGAATCCAGAATCAACATACCCTGGATGCACAAGGATCTTGGACACCCGACGTAACTGTTCATAAGGTGATGGTAGAGACGTTCCTCTTCTCAGAGCACCTAACCTTGCAACCCAATATTCTCCTTGTGAACTAGAGGAAATAATCTTAGTCATCATGGTTTCTCAAGCTGGATCTTGTTACTTACTGGTAGAAACAGTGTCCAGCAGATACTAGCCATCTGTCTGATAGAAGAGTTGCACCACACTGGAATTCGCCTTCTTTATAAAGGGCTGCTTGCCAAGGCCAAGCTCCTAGACCAGCGTTTCCACCACCTACCACTCTAAAAAAATCTGTTTTTGAGACACCTCTATAATAACTTAATGTATCGGTATCTACCTGGCTATATGTTTGACTATTTGTGGACGTGTCCCACATTCCAATGAGTGGCACTCGACCTTCACAGTTTTTTTGTCAGAGCAAGTAGAACTTTTAAAAGAAAGATTGGACTTCGTCTCATTTTGGAACGAATAAGTCAGCTCAAAGTAGTCCGACTCGTTCTTGTCATTTTGATGTTCTGTCACAGTCTTTATCGAAGCCATATTACTGAAAATTATAGTACAGAAGCGTTGGAAAGATATATTGGTACCTACCAAGTTAGTCTTACTGGTATGTCATAGATTTACAGACAGCCTTCCCAAGATCTGGTATCTGCCATGCAATGTGTGATAAGGTGACAACATTTTCGAAATTGTCTATACAAAGTTTACCCCATTTACCATACTTCCTCACCATAAGATAACCTGTAAGTCAACTATATTTATCATATGCTGTATTCATAAGATCCTTTACCTTGTGAATAGTAGGGAAATTTGTCAGCTGATTCAATATCAGCAGCAATTGTGACGCACTGTCTCTCATCATCTCCTTGGGGACAATCTTTGACTCCATCACATATATTTTCTTTATCGATACAGACTTTCGAGTTGCTACAAACGTACTGGTCAGGATGACACCACTCTACAACAGACCCAAATAAAAATTTGAATACTCCCAAAACTATAAATCATTCTTTCTCACCACACTCATTCTCATCTGAATAATCCCAGCAGTCTACCACTCCATCACAAATCTTCCCAAGGAGGTACTGAGACTTCAGGTAATCAGCACAGTTGCAGTTCTGCTCATCTGTCCCATCAGCACAGTCTATCAATTGATTGCATTTTGTTGTTTCTGGAAGGCACTTTCCATCCCCACAGATGACAGAGGAGTTTGAGCAATCTGGAAAATAATCGCGTTGGTTATGAAAAGCGGACATGATTGCATGATTTTACCTGATGTATTCTGGCTGTAGTAATTGTCATTAGTTAATTCAATTTTGTTCAGTGGTTTGGACAGTATCGGTATTCCATTCAAGTTTGAAGTGTAACTGGATGAAACAGCTTTATTAGAAATTCCAGGTTCTTGAAGGAAGCTAGTAGTGTTGTCTATTATCCTACTGATTTCTGATAGCTGCTCTATCTCCTCTCGCGTTAGAATGTTGGAATTGTTGGTTATACTAGGAGGAATTGTCATGAACTGTGGTTCTTTATGAACTGACGGTTCTTTCAGAGAGAGTTCAAAGTCCATCTTAGGATACCTCATAATATCCGACTGACCTTTATTATTCTCAGTTGGCTCCTCGGGTGCAAAATTCAATACACCTATTATTTTGAAATCCTCTTTAGATTTTACTGTCGCAGCTGATGTATCCTCATTAGTATTACCAAAAAAAGGGTTGTTCGGGAAACTCCTGTTCTCCACAACAACACTCATTTCTCCAGCTTTGTAAGGTCTTTTTCTTATGGGTCTACCTATACCTGTGTTCGATTTAGCTGGTAATAATGTGACCAAGGGATGCTTAGTCGTATGAACCATCAAATCATCAACATCATCAATCACCACTTCAACCTGTCCTTGACCAAAAACTGGCTCAGACTCTTTTATTTTTGCCCTATCGTCCTGGATTAAGGAAAGGTTAACACTAGGGTTATCGAGGGTAGAAGCCAAAGTATGAAATATCGATGATATATTGACGAGCATTGGCTCTGTGTCCTTTTTTTCCGGAATATATTTCACTGTTTCTACTTCAATAAACTTCTCATCCGAATCTTCGCTAAGCGGTACCTCCGTGACATCAATATTATTAGGAGCTTGCGTACCTTCAGTTGTTACCTCTTCTGTGAGGGGTATCTTATTCACAGGTATCGGATGACTCCTCAGACCAGTAGACCCCAGCCGTTCAGCTTCATTGAAAATAAAACTCAAGCCAGGATTAGTGAAGCTAGTGTACGTGGGTTGTTTGCCAGGTGATGGTGAAATGGTTGGGTTCCCATGATATTGTTTATTAGCTAGGACTTCGTGAGGTTTTTTCACAGTATCAGGTGACATATTATTCAATATTGGTATCCATGGAGCATCATCAAATGGGTTGATAATGAATACTGGTTTGATAGTAGTGGTTGTTATGGTTGTTTCTGGTATTGAGGTAGTAGTGGATGTAGTAGTGGCTGATGGAGCGATAATTGTACCTGGTTGTTTGGTCACCTTTTCCACAGCAGCTATTTTATACAGAGCACTAGTCACAGAAGACTCTTTGAGTATAGTCTTTTTCATAAAGGATGTAGTAGTCTTTTCAATTTTTGGCTTCTCAGTGGTTGATTCAGTCTTCTTCTCGGTGATATCAGCTTCGGTTTTACTGATCTTGAATGAACCTTGGATAACAGGAAGATCCTCATCTTTGATGTTGACCAAATCCTCAATTATGACAGGTTTCTTTGTAGGAGTGATTTGTGGTAGTAACGATTTATTTTGATGGGGTTTTAGTAATTCACTAGTTTTAGTGGTCAAGGCACCATTTTTTCTATCAGAAGGGAGAATGTGAGAAACAATGGGAGATGGTTGTTGAGGTTGTTGAAGAATATCATTGCTGAGGACTTGTTTTACAGTTACATGTCTCGGATCGAATCTCACGGTTTTGAATACGGATTGTCTAGATATGGCATCGGTAAGTAGAATATCTTTGATTGCTTTCTCTATGTTCGATACATTCCTGAAAGTCATATTCCTATGAAATATAAATGAAAGATATATGAAAGGAATCTCACCTTGAAAGTCGCATCCTGTTGAAAGCTAGCTTAAAGTATATGGTTAGAGTGTCATTGCCAAACTTGTCTACGACACATGATATGAAAGCTGGGCCTAGTATACTCCTTTGGTAAAGCAGCTCGAACTGTCTTTTATATCTACGGGCTTTATCTTGTAGAGCTCCTACAAACCTATCTCCTCTTAGTACTTTGGCATTACAGCTAAACGTTAAAAGTGCTGAAAAAAAATCAGATGGAAGGGTGTATAAGTTAAATTCTGCAATTGATTTTGAAGGGATATTCATCACAATTTGAAAGACGGACATACCATTTGGTGTTTCCGTGTGCAATACACCCATATACAAAGCTAGCCCAGCTATTGCTAATACAGCTACTAGGACCACGAACGATGCTATAGCTAAGGCTATGGAACATAGTTTTCCTCTGGAGGACTTATTATTCTCAAATCCGATGCAGGATATGGGGGTGGGGGGTGGTCTTTCTTGCCAGGGATAGGAGTGAGTAATAGAGGGTGCTGATCTTCTTCCTGTGCAGCTCGGGATAGCATATTCACTCTGAAAAATATTATGGAGAATTCAAAAATAATTCTTGAGTTGGAGTATGAGCATTAAGGTTCAATGTCATGTTCTTTTTGTGATTGTTCAGGAGGAACTATGAAAATATTGAATTAATTGCTACTTCCAATTCAATTACAAAACAGACATATTTTTAGGTCCGTTATGACCATTTAAAGGGAACACTCTAGATGTAATTGATTATATACAGTATACCAAGACCATAACGGTACGAAAAGTTCATTTACACTAAAAATAATTGAGAAACCGTCTCGAAAGAATATTTATATCGAAACACGAAAAACATTACTTCGATGTAGTAGTAGATATATTCACCGAATATTCAAAGCTTATTCGTATTTGAATAATTACCGATGTTGATATATAGCTGGATCCACTAAAGCCAACGTATAATTTGTACGGTATATAATTATCCATTACATAATTTTTTCTTATATCGTGTAATGCTTTGTAGTTTTATCCGATCAAAAATGCAAGAATGATTATACCGTTTAGAGAAGAAATACTTTCAATTTGTTAATAATGAATATAATAGCTATATTTTATTGCTTTTTGAACTCAATTAAAATTGTGAGAGATGAGAATGATGATATAGTTATTAGGTATCTTCATATATTATGATGTATTAATGGTGAACGATCCAGTTCTAATTACACGCCAATTTACTATATTTGCTGCCTATAGAGGTATAGTAACGAGATGATTCTTGAGGATGATTCAACTAAAGGAAAGTAAATCGCTTTGAGATTGAAAGATTCATATATAGTATCTCTAAGCTTCATACAAATTGTTGCTTGTTGAGTAGACTAAAATAGGTACACTATTAAGAAGTATTGAAAAGGAATATTCTCAGATATATTAATGAACACAAAAAAATGGATATACATATATATAAACCACTGTCATCGGTTATGTCAACAAATTATAATTCTCAGTTCGTTATAGTTTCAGTTATATTATAGGGAGATGAAAATTGTGTATATCATGAAGAATTGCTGAAAGAATCACTGGACTTCAGGTTACTGATGAGGATATGATATCCGAAATGAGTTTTACTCGAGTTGTTTGTGAGAGATATAATTCCCATATCACTGATACGAATGATTTTTTTTTTGAAGTTCCAAGCTCATCAAGATCAGAGTTCATACTTCTCCTATACATTTCAATTTTCATTTCAATACTGAACATATTGGTAAGTTATGTTTTTATGTCATAATACATGATATTATTCTCTTCGATTTGAGAGATGATATCAATTCTCAATTTCAGAGGATTTTGATTTTTCATGCTCTCTTTTTGGATATTCAACAGATATAATCCAATGTTCGACGTGGAAAATAGCCAGGAAAGTAGTTGTTTCCTGTTGAATATTCAGAATGATATTATATATGCATATCTTTATATGTAGGAGAATGCAAATTCTCTACTTCAGAAGATTTTGTTTTCAAATTCTTAGCGTGTGTGTTCAATAGATGTAATTCAATATTCGTCGTGACATATAACCAGGAAAGTAGTTGTTTTCTGTTGAAAACCGAGAAAGAATTAATATTTTCATCACATGGAAAATGCGAATTCTCAATGTATTTCTTTATATATTTATCCATTTTTTTGTGTTCATAAATATATCTGAGAATATTCCTTTTCAATACTTTCACTTTCACCCAATCAAGGGTTTCAAACTTGAACGATGGAAACTTGTTATTTTTATAGACTTCAATCGCAAAACCTCTGTTTCATTGAGCAGTTTTCTTCTTTTTTGCTTCAAAAATTATGTTAACTAAGTTTTGGGAGAGCTGGAGGGAAGT